ATTCTCGTACTGGTCTCAAAAGATGTGATACACATTTGTTGAACGTGGCAGGGGCATTACTGAGCCCTTGTGGCATTACTAGTCATTCCCAGAGCATGCCGCTAGGCGTGCTAACTGCGGTATAGGGTATATCCCGTTCCCGCATAAGGATTTGATAGAAGCCATCCATCAAATCCATGGACGAAAAGATGGTACTCTTTGACATACCATCAATGATTACGTCCTTCCTCGGTATCGGCGTCTGAGCCGGTACCGTTGCAGCGTTCAATTTGTTGAACGCGTGCACTATCCGCCACCCTCCTGTTGCTTTTCGCACAAAGAAGGTCGGGGATCTATGTGGGGAAGTTGATTCCCTCACATGGCCCGCAGCTAAACGATCGGCAAAGAACTTGTCGATCGCAAGTACTTGTTCACGAGGCAGTGGCCACTGCTTCATGACACAGTACTTCGAGCCTGGTTTAAGCTCGACCTCGTGTCGAATACCTTTATCCTTCGGTAATTCGCACGGAACAGTTTCAGGGAATACATCCTTTCATTCAACCAAATCTTCATAGAGAGGATTTTTCTTGAGCGATTCCCATGATTGGGAGTCATATCGCTCAATTCGTGTCTTTTCATCTAGGACACTCTCGTCCATAGATGAACTACTGAGAACTCTCTCGTTCTCAGTAAACACTGTTGCTGACCTTATGTCGGTTACACACTCGTCGTCAGCGACGAGTATGCAGATCTGCTTGACTTTGCCACTACGCAGATCACGCAAGAACCTTTTATGTTCGAGCGTTGGCAACTGAGTGATCTCCGAAGTTAACTTCGGAGGCGCAATCAGATCAAGTGTATAAGCGCCTACACTTGATCCGTTATTGACTATGACATTCAATGTCTCTGTCATTTCCTGGGGACTTATTCCCTCAGGCTTCGAAGGACTTATTCCTTCGGCTTCCCGGGGACTTATTCCCTCGGGTTTCGGGGAACTTATTTCCACCGTATTTGTAAAATCGGGACTTATTCCCTTTACTTCCTCTAGCTGGGGTTGCGCAACCACAGCGAGATCCTCTACGAAAGACTCTCCAGTCGATCTAGGATTATCGTTTCGCTTAACCTGAGCGATCGATTGTTTCTCTTCTAGATGTTCCCCGCTAGGGATACATCTTTGTCCCAGTCCACCCGACTTATTCGAGTGGTGGACCTTCGGCGCAGCCTGTGTTTCCTCACAGCCGCCGGAACTTTGCTCCGAAGTGTAACCGTTTGGTACACTAAGGTTTTGTGCAGTCGTACTAACGACCGTACCACAAGTGAGGCCATCGCACTCACTCGTAGTACATCCACACGCTTGTGGACGCTCCAAAACGTTCATCAGATGGCCATCTGATGAACAAGCGGCAGGCATCGTTACTGTTCGATGTTGCCAGTTTACCCGTGGTTCGTACCTTCTGAGCCACGGTATTCCAAGGATGACATCAAATTTGTCATCCAAATCCAATGCGATTAATTCATCGCCAAATTGGGTATCTTCTAGCGTATAGTGGATCTGCACTATACGCTTCATGACGGTTACGGATGCGCCTGTCGCAAGACGTACCGTCATCCTCGTAGGAGGTGTGTCACATTCACTGAATTTAAAGTGACCATCTTCTAGCGATTGGCGTCGCACAAAATTATTGGACGCCCCACAATCGACTGGAGCTCGAAGGGACAACTTATTCGTCACTTCGAGTTTCAAGGTAATGAGTGAGACCTCATTACCTAGAGCAGCAACGCACAACGTTTGTGTGTTGGGAGCAACCTTCATCAAGAGGCCTACAAATTCTCTTGACGTTGCTGGACCAGTAGGGTGCTTCGCACCTACTGATCCTGTCCGTTTTTTGACGGTCCATCCCGTTGTTGCGTCTTTGCACTAACAGCGGACCTGCGTCCCTGCCCCTTTCTCATGGGTGGACGGTCACTACGCCCAGTGCTGCGATACACTGGACGAGGGGCACTACACTCGTAAGCGTAGTGTCCTGTATTCTGACATCTGTTGCATTTCTGCAACTCCTTGTAGTCTGTAGAGCGAGCCTTCTCGCTCTCTACATAACAGAGCTCCATCAGCTCTGGACCTCCGTTGTCATATCGTCAACCGAGAAGATATGATGTCGAGCTGGCGCGAGCCTGTCTCAGACTGAAGTCTTCCTGTTCCGCAATGGAAATGGCTTGTTCTAGTGAATCTAGTTCAAGTCGGAACAGGTGAGTCTTGACGGGACCACCCGCAAGACCCTGCATGAACACCGAAACCAACGTGTGTTCATCCACCGGATTGGAACTTATACAACTCGTGAGATGTCGTATATGTTGAGCGTAAGCGTGCACATCACGCTTACCCTGCTTGAGCTTCAAGAGTTCGGTTCGAGCCCTGAACTCAGCTCTAGGCGGTTCAAACGTTTGTCTGAGCCGCGACTTGAAGACTTCCAACGACCCAAACGCATATGGGTCGTGCAACTTGAGCCCCAGTGCCCAAGTCTTGGCACGTCCTGCCAGATTTGACTGGGCAAATGCAACTTGCATATCCCCTTCGTCGATGCGACGCGCCCTTATGGCGTCATCCAATTCGACGAACCATCTCAAGAGGGAGTCCTCTTCGACTTCCCTATACTTGGAGATGTCAATCTTCAAAGTCTCGGGTCGACGCGAGTGCGACGACCCGCCAGCAGCAGCCTGCTGCTGTCTCAACAGTTCAAACTGTTGAGCACCCTGTTCTCTCAACAACTCTGCTTGTTGAGAACCTTGTTGGTGAAGCAAGGCTACTTTTTCGCGTTGAGCGTCAAGTTCACTTTGAATGAACTTGGCGATAGTAGCATGTTGGGTGTCTCTATTGAGATCCTATAGCATGGCGCTAACAGCATGGATGCCCATGGTTGAACCCATCCGTTCAAACGCATCCCATTCGACATCGCTCAAATGGGAGTAGCCGTCACGCGTAGCGTGTAAGCTTTGGTCATCATCATCATCTAACATATTCACGTTAGGTGTGATTGTGGTCCTTGGACGGACTACGAAGTGCTACCGGGTGTAACGGGGCACCCTCAAGCTTGTACTGGTAACAGTACAAGCTACTTATTCTGATGACAGAATGAGGCGGTGCCGCGTAACTTCACGTACACTCGTACGTGCAGAGGAAGACGGTAAGTAGAAGCGAGTACTTAGTTAAGGTAAAAAGTAGAACTGTATTTATCATAGTTCATGTCTGCAATAAATCACTATTTATCTTCATCTAACTATGTCTAAATACAAATGTGTAAATCAGTTATCTGCTCACCACTCATTGCGTGCGTCTGTCGTGGCGTGTCTTCGTTGGTTGATATAATGTCCTATATCAACCAATTAGGAACTACTCGTAAGTGCTACAGAATATTTGTCCTTATGACAATATTCTGAGAATATAACTCTTATAGTTATATTCTATTAACAATTTCTTATAAATTGTTATGTAACGATTCACCCCGTTACAAATACGATCTTTGCCAGTAAAACGTAATCAATTGGAAGTTCTTGTCTTATGGTGTATTCGCAACGGCGTCATCATCAACAACGGACAAAGTGACTCCGACGAGGCAAATGTGACCGTATGATCGTTGAAAGATCGGTGCTATATGCGAGCCGATGTTCGTTGCCGACGAAAAGTGCCATGCTGAGTCTTGCTTATTATTTCTCTGCATTGATTGCTTTCTACGATATGTGCAATGATTAGTTACCCTTATCAATCCATCCTGAGGTCCAGCCCTGGACCTAGTTTCGTTGCGATGGTAGCGCACTGCGAACAGACTGCCATCGTGGTGATGGTGTCGAACTGACGAGTATCGCACGTTCATTCGCGAGGCAAATGAAAAGAGTGTGTGAGCGGCTGGCATTCCATTCCAAGGCGCGATCCGCTCACCTTTGCTTCTACGTTGACGTTTAATGTGTCGAAATCAAGTCATGAATGATCGATAGCACCTCAATGAATACGGCTCGGCATGCAAATTCAAGTGACGGCAACATATAACCCCACTTCTGCAATGTCCTAAGGTGTCTGACGCGAAAGAATAGGCTCGCTTCGTGCGGAAATGTTGTGAGGTGTATATCGTTATCGCCGTCGGGTCGTAACGGCATCCTAAACTAATTGTTTGAAGAACCGATCCACATGATCCACAAATTCTGCCGTTCGCTCGCTCCGCTTGCTGCTGTATAGTGCCAGTACTAGCAGGAATGGCACAAGAAAAACACGACACGATACGGGCTGAGAAGAATCGCGAGCTTCTGTTCGGAACAGCATCACACACCGCACCAAGCATAACTCGCCAGCTTCTACTAAGCGCACGACAGTAGCAGCAAGACCACGCACCACGCAGCTCATCAATAGTAGCATCACCAATTTTCCACTTGACTTCAAGCTTTGCTGATATCGCTCCGGAGCCAGAAAGGAAGCAAAGCAGACCGTTTTAGAAGAAACGAAACATTACCGGGCTATGCGCTGCGAAGAACCGCACTATGGAGACGCGATATAGTGCTTGAATGGGGTGTTGAAAGAATGCCACAACATCGCCGTGGTAAGTTACGCAAGCTCATGCTATTAGCGTACACAGTACGACTGCGTCGCGGATTGTATGACGTGCACATTGTAAGTGTTGAACGCGTGGAATCGTTGACCTATATACAAGAAGAGGGGCCAATACTCTTGAGCATTTATAAAGAACGCAAATTGATGTCACGCAAAGCCGCTATCTCGCAGACATTTTCTGTTTGCAGGGCCCTACGTCGAATACAAGTTATGAAGAGATGAATATTTAGCCGCTCGGCCATTCGTATGGTCACTATGATGACGTACTTGTACCTCTTTGTTATCACGCCGAGTCTCTCACTTTACTCCTCAATACTTGCAGCAGCATCAGAAATGCCACACGTTGTCTGCTTTGGGTGCACTAGTATACCTCGTGTCGTGACCCGAGGAAGCCTAGATGAGAAGCATCGAGTTGCTAGCAGTCATGAACGAAGGCTTTTCTCGTTCAATTCTGCACCATGAGTGCGCATCGAAGAAGGTTCGACGGCAAAGGCATGACATTTGCATTTATCGAATCCGACACAACTACTTGTACCTACTGAGCTTTTCGGGAATAGGTAAGAATGGTTGAATGATACTCGTCCGCACTTCATTGATCTAATTATGTGTGTCCGTTGTTCGCTTGCACCGAAAGGCTACAACGAGGAGCATTTAACAGAGGCATTTCTAGTCCTGCACGTTCGAACGTCGGCCCTTCTACGACGTCATGTTGAGACCGCGGGTATGGCAAAGTATAAACGTTATACGCAGATACCACAACTACCGCCTCTTTTTGCATAAACAGGTCTTTGGTCTGATGGAAACGCTAAAAATCGCTACCGTTCGAGCGGACTTCCCCCAAACGCTTACCAAAGCTTCTATCTACAGCGAGTTGTAAGTAATGAAGAGACGTTTTGATTTTGTACTCAACGTTAAAGGCATGCATCATCTGGGCACAAAATGCTCTTCAGGACGTGCGCCATATCGTTACCAGATAGATGCTTCATTCCATACAATACGTTGAGGCTACCAGCACTTAACTTCATGATGTATCCTCCTCTGATTTACTACAACCAACTACGTTCCTGTAGTAGGATGTGTAAGACGTCAGATCTGGTTAGTGCTTCAAAAGCTCATTATTAATGTAGCAAGTAGTTCAGGAACATTCAAATGCGCCCCCTTTTCAATTTTTTAGGCTGAGACTATGAAATATATGCGTGGTGGTGATCCATGCAAAAAAATGATCGTGTTGTCGTGCTGACTACCAGCCACAATGCATCCAGACTCTTCACTTTCGTGCGAGTATCGTGAATGCAGAAAATGGAATCAAATGCGGACATTCGTCGTCAACGAATATACCACCACTATCCGTTGTAGCAGAACCTTCCCCGCAGTAGGCTTTTTTCTGACTGTCCTTTTCCATCAGATTGGTCAGCGTCACTTCCATCTGTTCCTTTGTCAGCCTCTCCAAGAACTTGGTAGCAAACGGATTGTTCATGCTTGCCTGCACTACCGTCCCCAAGTTGTCGAACACGATCGTGTGCGTCGTGCAGTAAGACTTGACATGACGAAACCCTGCAGCTTGTAGCTCCTTCAGCACCCTGTCTCGATCCGTTGCTACTACCAACGACGGATTTTTCAGCGGCTCTCCTCCACCTTCTGTAGCATTAAATATCTCGGTGAGTTTATCAAACCATGCCATCTGCGAACTCTTGTCGCTCCACGCCGTGACCACCAACAGACCGTCGTCTTTCAGCACTCGGTGAGCAACTGCCCACGATTTGTTGCGATCAGGAAAAATGCTGCATCCAAAATTCGATCCGATTATATCAACCGATGCATTTGGGATGCTCGCTAGTAACATCCCGTCCGCTTGCAACGGGGTGATTGCTGCTCGAAACGGACGTAAAGTGGGGTCATTCTCAAGTGCTTCGGTCAGTTGCTCCAGCATTTTATCCGAAAAATCCGACGCGGTGACGCGTGCGTCCGTATAGGTGCTAAGATACCGACGTGCAAATTCAAAACTAAGAGCTCCAGGGCCACAGCCAACGTCTAAAAAGTGAAAAGGAGCACTTGGCATCTCACTTGCGTGGTGCTGGAATTTCCGGAGAATTTCATGGTGTGCAACTTGTAGTGAGTCGACTGCCCACGGGTAAGTTAGCGAGCCAAAGACCGAGGTATACGTCTTTGCATGCGCAGACCACTTGGCACCCGTGAAAGTTTTCTCCATTTGCGAAAGGAGTCGAGACTAGCTAGTAAGATATGGCGAGTGCCTAGGAATTAAGTTGTAGGAGCTCTAAATCAGGATCGAGGAGTAGCTACACTACTACGTTGACCTTGGATAAAATCTAGCTCATTTTTCGGTCCAAGGTCGCAGACCCAGGGATAATCCACTTCGGTTGCTGATTTAAATCGAAAACAATAATTCTGACACAACCTCACACGACGAAGACGCAAAGCGCCACTCTTATTGCAACAATACTTGCTCGATGAACATACAATCATCAAGTGCCAACCAATGAATAGTCCTGAGCAGTCAGATACCATCGGTGCTGTCTAGCGCAGCTCTCACCCTTCTTCTATAAAAGTGTGTGTGCTGCGACTTTAAGACTCTCAGCTCTTCGTAGAAATACGAACGCTCTGATACAAGAGCCGAAATACAAGACCTACATGTGCCTATTCAGTATGTGATGTAGACCGCTGCTGACCTCATTATCTTTTCAATGCCATGTCAGCCGAGACATTTCGAGTCGCAATAACCATAAAAAAATCGGTCTCAAATGATCCTAGTCGATATCTCTGTGCACATTATTCGAAGAAATGGTAGAAGAATAAGCAAAAAAAGTCACACGTGACGAACGGAGCAGCTGGATGGTCAGAAGTAATAACAATCGTACACTTTCTGTCCATGCAGCTTTACTATCACTATTCTCTAATGTCCCGCATTCCCCTCCCGTTGCGTCGCCATGGGCTCTACGTCGCCCCTACCAAACTCTTTTTGTCTCGATTCCTCTCGATCTTGTCGTGTTCGGACGAGCAAGTGAGCCGACAACACCAGGTCACTGCTACTACAGTCGACCTCCTCGCTTCGGTGGGGAACACTCCACTTCTCGAACTCTCTACTCTATCAAGGCTTACGGGCTGCAAGCTGGTAGCTAAAGCAGAGTATACGAATCCAAGCGGCAGCATCAAGGACCGTGTGGCCAAGTCGCTCATTCTAGATGCGGAAGAGCGTGGCGTGCTTGAACCAGGAGGAACTATTATTGAGGCAACTGGAGGCAGCACGGGAGTCTCACTTGCACTGTTAGGGGCTTCTCGAGGCTACAAGACTCTGCTCACTATGCCGGATATTACGGCGAGCGAGAAGGTGCAGATGATGAAAGCTATGGGTGCACAAGTACGCGTGCTGCCGACTACGTGTATATCAGACAAGAACCACTTTTTCAATGTTGCGCAATGTCTTGCAGAGACAACGGCGAACGCGTACTGTCCAAACCAATTTGACAACACGGCCAACATGCGGGCACACTACGAGGGCACAGCGCCAGAGATCTGGACACAGGTTCAAGGAGGGATCCACGGATTCGTGACGTCGGCTGGAACATCGGGAACGATTGCTGGAATGTCAAAGTTTTTCAAGGAGCGTAACCCGGACGTAAAAGTGTGGCTCATTGACCCGGAAGAGACTGCGTCCATGTCTGCGTTTATCAATAATGATCGGTCGACAAGTTCGATTGAAAATGGGTTCGAAGTTGTGCCAATGGCCGGTGGATGGACTATTGCAGAAGGTGTCGCTGCGCTCTCGCGTGTGACCAACAACCTGCGCGAGTCGATCGTCGACCGTGGGATTACCGCTACGAATAAGGAGATTGTCGATATGAGCTACTTCTTGCTACGAAACGATGGAATTTTTGTAGGGCCTAGCAGTGCGCTGAATGTTTTGGGAGCAGTAAAGATGGCGCGTGAGCTCGGTCCAGGCCACACGATTGTAACGATCCTGGCCGATGGCGGTGTTCGCTATGGTAGCAAACTGTACAACGAAGCATGGCTCAAGGATCACGACTTGCTTCCTCAAGATGCTGTTGACAAGAAAAGCTCACCGTCACTGGACTTCGTGAGGGGTGTCAGGTTTCCAACGACAGTCTAGAAGCATCAAGACCGCATAGTTCAACGATTGCAGATGTTGTTTTAAGCATCGAGACCGTATTTAAGGATTCGATTGACGGTCATTCTGAGTCATCGAATGTTCCTCCAATGGCGTTCCTATAAATTAACTGCGTTGTTTTTCGATGCCGTGGATATGTAGTCACCGCGGTACACCGTCTTGCAGCGTTGAGACTTCATCCAAGCTGCGCTGTCTAGATCACGCGTCAGTTGCCGAACTTGAAATCAAAACGCGGTAATACCAAATGTTCGAAAATATCCATGGAGCTCCTGGAAGCATATTGAGGGCCTCATTAGCTCTTGTGAGAGATATTTGCAGGCCCTGCAATCCAGCTGACGAGAAGAAACAAACATTGAAGAATTGAGAGCCAGGGCCGTGTACTGGCGCGTTGACGAGTAAAGTAGTACCTTTTTCTTGTCGCTAACGACGTGCACAGCACTAGCTTGCTGAATCGAGCAGCTTGGAATATGGGCAACATGTAAGATCACTGATTTGACACAGCTTTAGAGGTTTGGATAGGGCGAGGCTCATGTATTGTAGGGCCTCAGATTCGTTCTAGTGTCATCAGTATGGTCACAAGTTTAAAAGGGATAAAAGTCAATGCGTGTTGTGAAGACCAGCAACGTGCAGAGGTAGCAAAAGCTGCTTTGCTGATTAGGTAAGTCAGGTAAAAAAGGAAGACATGATGATCATGTTACCTTGGTTGAAAGCCGTCAACACGGGAGAAGTAAAAGACACTGCCTTTGACGAACAAACGAGGCGAAACTCGTATCAACTGGTGTTTTGTAGACAATTCGGTGTGCCTTTTCTCGACACCGGACATTCGCTGTTGCAGACAAGCACATTGAAGTGCAAGATTCTAACAGAAAGCAGATTCTTGCATGATGGTGTTCGTGACGCAAGCAAGAAAGACAGCATGAACGTGTTCGAGGTCAAGAAAGTGCTGTGAACAATTGTAGAATGACATCTATGTGATGAGCATAGGGCGACAGCAACACTTTGACAGATCTTCATCTCCGTTCGCGTTCAGCGTTTATTGGTTAGGTTTGTTCGCATCGGCACTTGCGAGCAAAGAACGACTTAGTAACTACAAGCTGGAACGATGATGACAGCATCTAAATTAACAAAAGCTTGTGCGAGATGGACACTATACTTTCTTTGCTTTATGTACCTGTCGGATATATATCCATCTGAATAATGAAGTAATGACAAATGCTCCATCTTCTGTTGTCCGAAGCATTCATGTACAGCGAACTCGATACTAGAAGCGTTCGCTTGCGCAACGTGGTACATGTCCACTTTATGTATCAATTATGAGAATGCAGGCAGGAGCCGCAGCGGCTCCTCGCTCCCTCTCATACCGAATAAAAAGTATCCATAATTTCTGCAAGAGGTTCGGTCACGACCGGTGGCTACGTAACTCATCACGTAACCAGGTTACATGTACCCATACCCTCGACGACAGGTGCACCACCATAAACGACACCAAAAAATGACGAACGCTCGGCGCTTGGACCGTGACGTGATTACGTTCGGAGACTTCTCTATCGAGGAGACGCAAAGGGTCTTAAGAGACGGTACGTGGCGCTACGCTCGACATCATTGCAACTCGCACCGTCCTGCTTGAGCTCATTCCGATACACCCTCTTCTCTCTCTCTTTCTATCTAATTATATCTAATTATATCTAACTATCTATCTAATTATATCTATCGATCTATCTATTTATCGATCTATCTATTTATTTTTATCTATTATTGATCTATCTATTTATATCTTCTATCTAATTACCTCTCTCTATCTAATTGTATCTCTTTTCTATAATGTTGATGCAGTGGAAAAGACTTTGCAGGCTGTCGAAATAGTTACGGAAAAAGTGGCTCCCAAGTCATGGGCTGAAGCAGTTGGCATTGACAAGACTCAGCCGTTACTGGAAGGGAGTGGACGGGCGACGTCGTGGCCTATTGCAGCTGCTGGTGATGGAAAAAACGCAGCAGCTGCAAGGATAGTGAGGGATCCAACGAAGCCGGTTATATTTGAGGACGTGATTCAGGAGGCACTTTGTTGTTTGGACGTGTCGGCACCAGCTAAAGAGATGAAAAAGAGGTAGAGAGAAATACTTTACGAGCAAGCGAGTGAGAAAAGAGAAGGTGCTGACGTTGTGGTGGTTGTGGATATTGAATTGCTGCAGAGGGCTGGTGAATCAAGGCAACACGTGCTTTCAGAATGTTATCATGCAGTCTGTGCTGGCTTGTCCGCCGTTTTTGAAGTGAGTTGTTTCGTGCTGGGCTGTTACTAGTGTTCCCTTTGGTGTGCTCACTGTGTGCAGTTTGTTGGTCGAGATTTCGACTGCTTGTCCACCAACGACTTCAATGTTGGCGAGTACATCGACGTTCAAGGCGTGGCGACACATGGTGGCGTTTGCGCGCGAGTTTGAAGAACCAACGTTAGCTCAATGTACGTCGAGCATCGTTTTTTTGTAGGTGTAGATGGCGTAAGCGTTGTAGGCAGTGCCAAATGATAGTGCGTCGTTTGGAATTGTTTCGATGAAACAGTGCAGGCTCAAGTCAGTCACGGTGACCGAAAGGCCAACGATATGCATGGCAAAGCACCACAGGCGATTCGAATTAGCGGATACTTTATGGACGTGCTGAGCGCCTTTCAGAAAATGCGCGGAGAGCAGGAAGATGCACTGGAGTTTTTGGAGTTTTTCTTGGAGTATTTGCACGCAGAGTACGAAAAGAGTGGTCTACGTTTGCCTGCCTCGTGTGAAAAACAGACGAAGCGAGCTCCTGTGATCGAGCAGAATGAAGCTAGTGTGGACGCGGACGCTAAGAGTGCTCAAGCGTTTGACGATGGCTGGGCAGAGGTTGGTAAAAAGGGCAAGAGCAGCGTGCTACGCCAAAATCCCGTCAACGCCATTCGTTCGCCAATAAATTGGTTGTTCAAGGGTGCACTACGCTCCGAACTCAAGCAGCATGGCAAGAGACAGAGTTCAATCACTGTAGAGCCATTCCACTGCTTACACTTGAACCTGGACTACGAAGCACAGGACCTCTCGTTTGTAACAGGCGAGAATGGCACGACTAATTCATCCGACGCGTCAATTACTGTGGAAGAGATGATTCGGAAATCATTTGATGTAGAGGTGATTGAGGATGCCAACCAAGTTCCTACCATGAAGAAGTACACAACCGTGGAATCCCTGCCTGTTGTTCTGACACTGAGTGTCAAGCGTTTCACGTATCATCCGGACCAGGGACCAGTGAAGCTACAGCAATTTGTCAAGTATCCGCATTTTCTGGAGTTCCCAACGCAGCTACTGTCAGCTGCTTGTCGTGCGGAGAATGGGTTGGACTCGTCAGGTGCTGCGCCCGTCAATGGTTCTGGCCCTTTGACTCCTCTTCCTGTGTACGAATTGTTTGCAGTCGTGTCCCACTTGGGCAAGTTTGTCGTGGGAGGTCACTATACGTGCGTGTGCCGTGACAACAAAGACCAGTGGTACCGCTACGATGATGAGCACGTAACGTCTATTTCGGAGGCTACGGCGCTCAGCGAAACTGCTTACTTGCTGCTATATGTTCGAACAAGTAAACAGCCACCTGAACCGGTTGTAGTGCCACCCTCACTTTCAAGCTCCCCATTTATCAAGGCGACGAGCGTCAGTGCCCCAAGATGCAAGAGTAGCAACGTCACCGAGAAAAAAGTTCCTGGTGGAAAGAATTGGAAACAGCCCGCATCTGCGTCATCAGTACTCCCTCCGGCACCTCGACTGATTCCAGGCATGTCTCCAACAAAACAAGCCGTGGCAACAACATCGAAGGCAAAGAAGTCTAGTAAGAAGAAAGCTTGAGGGGGGAGGTAGATAGCAGCCAGAGTAGTGAGAGATAACTGCGTGCTTAGAAAAAACGGTTCATAACGACAAACTGGTATACTACCTTGAGTGCACACAAGGAGTTCCTCGTTCGAATAGAGTTCCACTGAAAAGTCACTGCATCGTAGGTCTTGTGGAAGGTGCTGTAATTTATTTTGCTAGTAGGCGATTGACACAAGGTTAGCACGAGAGTGCCCACCGACAGTGTTTTCGCACGACGGACTTGCGGCCGCTGGATTTCCGCGTTGCTTACAATCGAATATTCTGCCACGGTTTCCATTTCATCACGTGGCATCACACTGGCACTGGTTTCAGTATCGGGACGTGCTGGATCATCATGCTTAAGCAGTTTCACCAAAATGTAAAACTGAGAGGCGTTTGTCACGGATTCAAAGATGCCACAGTACATTTCATCAGCCACCAAACACCATCGCGAGCCACTCGACCAGTTTAATAACATGTACGATATAGAAAGCAAATACTTCCGTGCGAGTCCACCAGCAACCGGTGTTCGGAGCTTCATACCGTCAGCAACTCAGGGACTTCCCGTGACTTCTAGGATTTGATACATACCGTTAGCAACACAGGGACTTACCGTGACTTCTGTGACTCGATGTGACATCGCAAGCATACGACGTCGTCACCTCATTGACCCTTCTGACAACTTGTTCACATTCAGTTTATCCGCTAGTAAGTCTTCTAATTTGGAGCATGTTGAGCTTGTTTTTATGGCTGCAGAGTTCTAAGTTACAGCCAGACCTCTCAGTATAACTTGATCGAACTTTTCTTACAATATGGCTCGTTCCAGCATATCAGGATACGCAAAACGTTGTCGTCAGTAACAACGTGTTTGGTGGAGCTGGAGATCTATTTACACCACAAGCCAAGCATGGATTAGTTGCTGCTTGCGTTGCGAATATCAAGTTGAACGTTCCTAGAACTTTATTGCAGCCTTTATCGGGCGGGGAGCAAGGAGCACGTAGGAAGTTGATCGTTCTAGTCGTAATGAACGTTACAACGACACAAGCCGCATTCCCAATCGATGCATCATTAGACTTTCTCCTCCTGACATTCTCTCCTCCAGCATTTTGACTTTTGTTTCTGGCATTTTGACTTTAGTTAACTCCGGCTGAGCGCACTCTTCCTCTTCAATACGACCAAGAAGCTAAGAACAGTCATGAGATTCCAACAACGCAATAGATTGAAATTAGCTCCTGATGAAGCTTCTTCCATGCTTCTCAATATCCTTCAAATCATCTTTGTTCCCTTACATCTCCATGGTAGTTCGAGAGACATGACTCGTGTGATTGAAGGTTGACAGTGGTGGTTCCTGAAATCTCGGTCCAGGCAGTCACTGACCAGCACATGACAAAAGCTCGACCGATTTTGTAGATGTTGATGACCAACCCACGCTCGCCACAAATTGATCGTAGCCCACTGACAGTCCCAGCGGTAGCGCCGCTCAGATGCCGAGTCGATGTTGGCATCAAATTAGCTACGACGGAGCGTTATCGATTGTGAAATGTACTGTCAATATACAACAAAAGTAAAGCATCCACATAAATTCAACAGCAACGAATCGAGTAGGACTCGTGTCGCACGCGTTTGCACATGTGTCAAACTTATCAGACCCTTGTCAGTTTTCTCAAGCCCAGTCAGTAGTAGCTTTACGATAGATCTCCTGGTTTATTCTGGATGTCCAATGCTAGGTGGGGTGGCAGCCTTCGATGAATTTGCAACAGTCCGCTCTTCTATGATCCAGTTCACTACTTCGCCAAGCACATGCAAGCACAATCATTTGATTCGCTATGACCTCCCTCTCCACAACCCAACTCTCCGTCCACCAAAACCAAAAAGACGACGATCAAAAGAAGCAGCAGCCCAATCAGCTCACCCCGCCACCGGATAAAACCTCCAACGCTCTCTCCGAAAAGACCAAAACGAAAAAAAACCACCCACCCACTTACCATCCACTGACACCACCCTTCGCACCCATTTCTATCCCGCTTTCTACCTCCTCACTCCTCACTCCTCCCTCCCGCCCCCGCTCCCGCCATGTCGCGCTTCCCTGCGGCCGCCCAAGCGCCCGACGACCAGATGAAGCTCAAGAAGCAGCTGAACGAGCTCATGAAGCGCGAGGAGAACAAGTTCTGCGCCGACTGCGGCTCCCGCGGCCCGCGCTGGGCGTCCATCAACCTCGGCGTCTTCATCTGCATCGCGTGCTCGGGCATCCACCGGAGCTTGGGCGTCCACGTGACGTTCGTCCGCAGCGTCAACTTGGACGCGTGGACAGCGGAGCAGGTGCAGCAGATGCAGCGCTGGGGCAACGCGCGGGCGAAAGCGCATTTTGAAGCGGCGCTGCCGAGTGGCTATTTCGTGCCGTCGGAACACTCGGGCGTACGGGACAAGGAGCTGTGGATACGGGATAAGTACGAGCGGAAACGCTTTGTGGCGGGGCCACGGAGGAGCGAAGGTCGGAGAAGCCGTCGATCAATGAAAGAAGAAGAAGAGGAGGAGGAAGAAGAGGAGGAGGAGGAAGAGGAAGAGGAGGAAGAGGAGGAACGACGTCCAGTGAGACGTAGGGACTCTAGGACGGGGTCCCGGTGTAAGGATGCAGAGAGGAGACCATTGCAGGTGTCGAGTACGGTTGACATGCTGTCTTTTGAGGAGATGGTTCCTGAGGCTGCAGTTGCCGTGGCACCTGCAGTGAGTTTTGTGGACGAGACGGCTGGAGATAGTGCAGGAGGTATGACACAGAAGAATGGGGACGAATGGACGTCGATGGGTGCATCAGGTTCCGTGCAGTCGGACGTGAAGGATGCGTTTGCGTCGCCGACGCCAGCAGCTGTGGCACCCGTTGATCAGCATGTGAACAAGATGGCCAATATCATGGCGAGTTTTGGTACTGGTACGCAGCAGCAGACGCAAGCGCAGTATGGAGGGAATACGTTTCAGCAGGGAATGGGGACACCGTCGGCTTCGATGATGGGGACGCCGATGAATGGAATGGGGATGATGCAGCTTCGGCCGGTGGGAATGAGTTTGCCTATGAATAACATGGCGATTAATGGACAGGGATTCATGCCGTCCAACATGATGGGATACTCGATGCAGAATCGGATGCTTGGGTTCCCGCAACAGGCTGGAATGATGATGGGTATGGGAGGACGTTTGGATACGGTGGTGTCGAGGCTTGGGATACTCATTTGTTTGTTTGCGGGTGATGTGTCCTATGCTATAGGTGGTGCAGCGTCGATGGGATATCAGGGTCAGCAGATGGGAATGAACCCGATGGGCATGCATATGAACCAGGGAGGGTTTCATTACCTGCAGCAGCAACAACAACAGCAGCAGCAGATGCAACAACAATTCCAGCACCAGCAGCAACAGTACTTACAGCAACAACGTCAGCAACAACAACAGCAGCAACCGCATTTACAGCAACATCAGCAGCAGCAGCCCCAGCACCAAACGCGACAGCAGCCACAAGTTGGAGGACTCAGTCAGCCGTTTGTTAATTTCGGCTAGCGTGGCGGATCTCTTCCTCCTTTTCTTTCTCGATTGCGAGCAACGGTGCTGCTTATAGAGCAAGGGTGACAAGCTCTTCATTTGACCGTCACCTGGTTACAATTTCGATGGGAGTCCAAGTCATGCATATTCGACCATTGGCATCGTATGCTCCACGATCGTGCTGGCTCCTGTGTGTCATTTGTAGTAGTTCAGTACGCAGACTTTAGAAACTTTGTTCCATGTCGAGCTGCATATTGATGTTTTCATAGATCGATATTTTGTCACCTGGTGTTTGCGTATGTTAAATCGATACGCATCTACTCTTTCGTCCAGCAACGTCCTCCTTTTCGACTGAAGCTAAAATATCGCGATGGCTAGATTTAACGCCATCACGGCCTCACAAAAAGCCCTCTAGATTAGAATACCTATTTGGTCGAAACTGTCGCAACATGGATTAAAAGACAACATAATGGCTAAAGGTAAGCAACATTCCCACTATACATTTCCGGTTTCCAGATATTTTTCACACAGCACCGAAAGTTCAACCGATTATAAAAGTGGGGTGTCTTTTACTTGGTGCAATATTTTCGCACACTCGTCACATACTATCCCAAATTTAGGCCTCTGTAAAAGTCCAATGGGGTTAAGGCCCGTCACGAAAGCTCGCCCGACCACTTACACTTTCGGTGGGCGATACCATCGACCGTATGGACCAACAAAGTCATATCGTGCAAAGATCGAATGACAACTAGTTTGTATGGAGTTTAGCCAGCTCAGTACTAAATAATAACTGAATGATGATGGCTACGACGCCCACCACACCCTTCAAGAAATGGGTCACATTGCACTTGCCTCGATTGACACATAATGACAAATAACCGTATCTGAGTTGTTGAAAACAATCACATGCGTAAAATTTAGCCAAGTTCAGTGACATCGATGTGCGTCGATAACCTGGACGCTTTTGATTATCTCGGAGAAAAAAAACGCCGGTCTATCACGAGACGTAATATCGACCGGTGCTAGGCGTTCAACTGTAACTAAGATAATAATGCGTGTGTCCACTACATGATGAGCGTAATGGTCATAACCCACATGCTAAAGCCAGCAGGATTGCAAATCAACATCTCTGTCCTGCTTGGTTTTGCTCCTTACTAACACAGACTAAGGTGGATGAGACCTAAGATTAAATCAGGCTGATCTTTTTGTGACTGCAACACACATTAAAGTCTCTGAAAGGAAAAAGGTACGTCGGTAAATTCTACGTCTACCGTTACCTCACTCAAAGTCCAAAAGCTAGCGAAACAGTTATAGCAAACGTCGTCGTCATCGGTACTGTTGTAAAATAATGGTACGATATACAGGTCGCCTCATCTACGTGAGTTCAATCGCGTAGTAGCGCATATCATTTTCCGTTGTTACTGCTGCATGTACCTATTCTTAAATCGAGAGTACTTACCAACTACGCCTGCTGCATTTGACAAGATCTTGCTGCGTAACTAAGTTTTGTGGAGACTGTGTGCAGAATGTGAGAAGTACAGCTACAACAAACACGTAGAACGAAGCGCTACGAATGTGTGCGGTAGACCAGATTGTGACCAAAGTGTGACCAGAGTGCGGGTTGTGAGTCCCGACACGGAGCGCGGTATCGACTCCTTTTCAACGATGGTGTAGTAGGGCCGAGAATGTTTCAGCATGAGCAGAACCATCATCTCTTGGCACAGCGAACGATTATTTTGAGACAGGCTTGTGATTGTCGCTGTTCGAAACACGATGTTCTGGCTCTTACAAAAGCCTATAAACGAGTGCTCAGCTTTGTCATATAGTTGTAATCGATACATTTGCTCAGGGAAACGGTGATTTTATGTCAGGACCTTCTAAAATAATTGAATCATACGGATAGCTCTAAAAAACACCGTGAAGTGGGAAAATAAAATAAAACCTGTCTATCGTCACTCCTACCTTTTCGCTATCCCCACACCCTCGCACCGGTATTCACAAGTAGTCCTCGGTGGTTGGCTGGATAAAAACCAGCACTTGACAACGCTGTCTTTTTAGCTTGACAGACGCGTTTCATAGGTTCCTCCTATACCGGTTATTCCACCCTCTCGTGCTGATGACACACACTCACGGATTGGTCACGTTTAAGCGCACGACTGAAGTGGTGAAAATCATTCAGCGTTTTAAACACACCTTGAAAACGTCCAAGGTCACTCTCTCGAGTCACTTGAGCGGATACGTGGCCGTCAATTTAGACAAATCGCATTCTTGTCCATCCTGTGCAACAAAAGCTTGATGCGAAACCGATCTTTCGTTGTGTTTATAGTCTTGCTTAGTTGCAGCTTAAAAGTGTGTAATAGACGCTTACTTCAGTTCGTCCGCATCTCCTAAGCAAGTTGGAATGACAAGCAATTATACCCACTGGTAGTTCCTGTCATTCAGTCCTATTGCCTGCACAAAGACACAATTCGCTCAGTTCTACCAATGGTACCACCCCATTCATAGTAAATAATCATTGCCTCCTCACCAACAAGTTAATCGATACTGACACAGTCTCAAGTGGCGTTTTCATTAATCAAGTTGACATTTTCATTATCACCCGACATTACGTAGACCGCCACCTTTTTCATCCATAGTCCTCGTCCTTCAGCCAAAGTGACGATCTTAACAACCGTCGCGACGTTCTTGGATATGAACGGGCTAAAGCCGCCACCGTCCGGTATCGACGGGACGGATTTGAGATCGCTGGAGCATTCTGTTTGTGACACAGAACTGTTCAAGATCGCGGCGACTGCCGACATCCTTACTTTGCGCCAGCAAGGATTACATCTCGACAACTTCTTCTGCGTGACTTACCATGGTCAAAACGACATTATGAGCAATTCAATTAAGCAAAAGGTTGCTAATCCGGCAAATAATGTACCAATTGAACATTTCCAGCCAAGACGTTCCAGTTGATACGATAGTGTCAAGAGTCTAGACGCTATGCCTTGAAGTTTACTCGCATCAAAATGTAAGGTATGTCCATTAGATATAGAGCAACATTGTGGCAGTAAATTGCAGCGAATTTGCTGTATTGCTCCGTTAACATTTTCACGCATTCCATGATTTACTTGGGTCCCTGCCATTCGCAGTTGCAAGGGCGTTCGTGCAACAGGACGAAACGATTGGGGTACACTTGCAATTATCTGATGCATAAACATCTTTGCACAGGACTCAATTGCAATGCAGAAATAAAGTATATTCGCTACCGAGTTTCGACTTCGCCGTCATGGTAGCGCCGACATCAAAACATACAGAATATATCACTGTGAAAACTAACCTGAAAAACGATGCAGTCCAACCAAAATACCGCACGCTTACGTGTGCCGACTAGAGGCAAATCTTCATTTCATCCGGGGAATGGTCACGATTGAAACTCCACACCCTCCAGTCAAGATGAAGTCGTCTATTCCGAGTCGCTTGCCTCCTTCGACTTCTTTTTCGACTTTTTCTTCGACTTCTTCTTCTCCGGAGACTCACCAGACTCTGTCACATCAGCGTTCTCAGCATCCCGCTTGTTCTTGTGTTTCTTCTCCTTCTTCTCCTTCTTCTCCTTTTTGGCCTTTTTTTTCTTAGGGGTCTCATCTTTTTCCGAAACCTCATCCTCATCCTTCTCCTTCGTCACCTCCGTCACCAGAGGCTTTTTTGCATCGTCCTTGTTGTACAGTTCCGAGACGTCCGCTGGAGTGCTCTCGTTCACCTTGCCATATTTGCCAATCTTGCCATCCTTGACCAAGCTTTTGACCTTCTGAGCCATCGGCCCCAAGCCCCAACGACGCGGGTACGTGTCACGCTCCATGATGACACGCTTGATCTTTGCAACCACGCCATGATCACAAGTGGCCATCACAGCAGTAGTCATCTGAGCAATTGCAACAGCAATAGCCTCTCCCTTCGTCGTCATCAGCACCACCTCTTCACCCACATCAATATCATCTGCAAACCGCAAGAGACCGGGGATCATAAACTTGGCACCGTAGCAAATAGCGTTGACGGAACTATCCTTCACCACAATGCGTTTGTACGTCGTCAGCAGCACTTCCAGCGGACGCACAATGCGACGCAAGTACGACTCGTCCTTGTACGTATCGTACTGGTATTGCGCATCCAAGACATCGTGCATGGTCACCAACGAGTCGTTCTCGCCCAACACCCCCGAGCGGACACGACGCAGCTCCTGCATGTGGCCACCCACTCCAAGCACGAGTCCCAAGTGCACACACAAGGTACGAATGTACGTGCCTGCTTCACAGCTCACGTGGAAAATACCCAAGTGGCGGTCTTCATCGTACTCGATTAGTTTCGACGAGTAGATCGTGCGAATCCGGAGCTGGCGCTTCACGGCCGAGATCAGTGGTGGACGTTGGAACAGCGCTCCCGTCAGCGTCTCAATCGCACGGGCGAGCTTGGCCTGACTCTCAATCGCACTATGAAGACGTACGACCGCCACATACTCTTTGCCAGCACCTTGTTGCGCCTTGACAAGCCGCGTCGCTCGGTCCACGCACACAATGAGACAGCCAGTGACCTTAGGATCCAGGGTCCCCGAGTGCCCCGTCTTGTCCACGCGCAAAATGCGACGGATCCAGGCAACAACCTCGTGCGACGACGGATTGGCTGGCTTGTCCAAATTGATCACCCCATAGCGTACGTAGTCGTTAATGTTGCGCTTGAGTGGACTGGAACTGCATGGAATGGGCGTGTAATGACCCGTGCGGACATTGAGCTGGTGGTAGTTCTTGAGCAGGAGCGGCCACTTGCTCGTATCAAGAGCGGGTGTGTGGTTTTCCGGTGCAATGAGATCCTTGGTGCTATCTTCGACGCCTGCTGCCTTGAGCTTCTTCTTCTTGCTCTTCTTTTCAATGTCCGTGGCCGTCATAGTGCTTCGAAGAGGAGGAGGAGGAGGAGGAAGCAGAGAGACACGTGCAATGGGGGACAAGATAATCGCAACTCAGGAGCTACGTTCGTTCGTGTTAATCCGTTGGTCGTGGGTGACTCATGTGGTCGACACCAGTTTTGGAACCCGCTCAATTACGATTTGATCAAAGGCTGTTTGTGATGACTTTGACGGTCATCGAGGCACAAAGTGACTGACTCCATTGTCGATTTCGCGCGATGGGTCGCGCACTGAAGTACCATGAGCAAAAGCTACTTAAGAAAGTAGATTTGCTCGAGTGGCGGAAAGAGAATAACGTGCATGAGATTAAAGTCATTCGGCGGTACCGTATTCCCGACCGCGAGCAGTATCATAAGTACAATCGTCTCGTTGGTCATATCTCCCGGGTCGTCTCGCGTCTGAAAAAGCGTCCGGTCACTGACCCTTACCGTATTCAGACGACCACGACGCTATTGGAGAAGTTGTACCACCTGGGACTGATCCAAACCACCAAGAGTCTGCTCAAGGCTGAAGAAGTGACGGTCTCGGCGTTTTGCCGTCGTCGACTGCCCGTCGTGCTCGTGCGCGTGAACATGGCCGAGAGTCTTAAAGAAGCCACGACGTTCGTGGAGCAGGGACATGTCCGTGTAGGACCGACTGTTGTGACGGATCCGGCGTTCCTGGTCACGCGGTCGATGGAGGACTTTGTCACGTGGGTCGACAGCTCCAAGATCAAGCGGACGATCATGAAGTACAACGACAAGCTCGACGACTACGACTTGCTTGGCAACTAGAGCGACGTTGGCCAGTTGCTTGTGGTAGGGAGCTAAAGCGGTCGTGGTCCTTTTTTTTAGCCACTTTGGATCAGGCAATGACTCGACTTGTGCTTCTCCTTCTTGTTACTATATTGTATTGCAGGTGTTGTGACGATGCCTCAGTATGCGCGAAGCAACAAAGTCTTGGAAGGAAAGTGATGGCACAAATCGATCGAGTCAATGACAGCGCGAAATGGCCTTCGGGACCGCCAACCTATCCGTAGAGGAAACAGTACAAAAGAGATAGCATCACTAGCGTCAGAGCTTTCTCCGAGAACTGACTCAATGTTACCATCAAATCTTGATGGTAATAATGATGCGTAAGGAGAGGAAGCATGCGGCTCAGCTGACGTCATACATGATGAACCCTTAGCACAACCATTCACTGCTTTCAGGCTGAGCTCAAGTTGACCGTATCAGCGACGGCCTGAATCCACATTGCCGCAGCTTTGGCACCAGGATCAGGGATATCAACACCGAACTCCTCACCGACGTATCCAGCACGGCCGAATGCCTTCGTGGTAGAAATTAGAGTCGTGGCCTCGGCACCTCCTTGAGCCGCTTCAGCAGCTGCGATAGCAAGCATAGTACCAGACTCCAAGGTACAGCTGTCAAGAGCTTGGAGTGATGGGACAAGCGCATCCAGCATCGTGCGACAACCCTCCTTAGCTCCGCCGTATTTTTCAATCGCAGTGATTCCAGCGCGGAAGGCGCCGATCCACGCATTAGTATCATACTTTTGACAATGGTCGAGGTGTCGTGATCCAGCTGTTAAGAAAATCACATAAAGCACACCAGAGGTGCCACCAGCACTTCGACTTATTGACGCAGCAAGTGCACGCAAGGTCTGTGCAGCGTCATTCAATGGGTAGTGATCCCTCAAGTCAGTCAGGATAGCTTCAGCTGCATTCTTAAATGTTGAGCCGCAATCTCCATCGCCCACCTTGGTATCCCATCTTGTAAGTTCTGGCTCGTGTTCAATCAAGGTATCACACACAGCCATGATACACTTCTGAAGCAGACGTCCATCTTCTGAGAGCTCAGCAGGGCGCACAAATGTAATTTGAGGCTGAATGGGCGCTTCTGCTTCTACGAATGGCCCGGAGATCGTCGACTGCGAGGGACCAAAGGTTGAGTACGTCCATGCCGGTGCCGACGTGGGTGCATCGAATAACGCGAGCATCTTAGCATCACCATTCGAGTTCCAGAGCGAAAGTGAGAAACCTGCCATGTCCAGTGCCGTCATGAAGGAGCCAACCATCACACGCTCAGGTTCAATGCCCTTTGCTCGAAGCGCTTGTACTGCATACTTGGCCACCACGTAAAGCTCCATCGCCGCCGTCGATCCCAGATTGTTCACCATCAGCACGCATTTACTTCCGTCTCCAAGCGCCAGTCCCATTGACATTTGGTCCGACGTGATCTTCTCGAGCAGCATTTTGCACAGAAATGGCACGTCCTGTTGCTCGCACTTGGTCACGCCTGGCTCGCCGTGGATACCCAAGCCAATCTCCATTTCTTTGTCTCCCCACTCTCTTGAACTATCTTGCTGGCCTGGTAGTGTACAAGGCTTTATGGCCACACCCATTGTACCCACCTTGTTCGTCTCCATCAAGTGATTGACTATATCCACGAGCGCCGCTAGATCTGCCCCTGCTTTAGCTGCCGCCCCTGCCAACTTGTGTACAAACACAGTTCCAGAGAGCCCTCGACGTCCAGCATTGGCTTGAATAACAGCCACGTCGTCTCCAATGACAACCATGTCACACTTGATGCCTTCAGCCTTGGCTTGTTCCACCGCAAGACCAAAATTCAGTCGATCTCCAGTATAGTTCTTGACCAGAACGAGGCACCCGTGCGGTCCTCCAGCCAACCGAATAGCCGTGAGCACCTGCTGCGTTGAGGGTGAAGCGAACACCCCCCCACAGACCACAGCCGTGAGCATTCCGGTGCCAATGTAGCCAGCATGGGCAGGTTCATGGCCAGTACCACCCCCTGAGACGAGGGTCACTTGGCCTTCCCGAATTTTTCGATAGTCGCGATGCAGTAGCACACGCTGCGAACGTTCGAGTACGAGATGGGGATGTGAGAGAGCGATTCCTTCCATCATATCGGTGACGATATCGTGGCTGTTGGTAACGAGCTGCTTGGCTTTCGTCATTGTGAATGCTGTGAGTTGGTAGGAATGAGGAGTAGTGGAGTGGGGTCAAGTAGTGGACAAGTGATAGAAAAACGAACGGCTTGGCTGACTGCTGACTGTTCTTTGGTCGGATAAGGACTTACTTGTGGTGATGCGACGTATGACGAGAAGATACTTTTTGCTGATGCGTGTCAAATGTGGCGACTTTCAGTAGGTTTGTTCAATGAGGTTTTATTTGACTGCAGCAAAACGAATATCCATCCGATCAGGACTTTTCGAGCTGTTGGTCGTACGAGTCACTGAAGGAAGCTGTTGGTCGTACGAGTCACTGAAGTAACTTCTTCATCGACCGTTGCGAGACCGAGCACGGTAGCTCGAGTAGTGAGCATGTAATCGCAACAAGCGATAGACATGATATTCGATTCCACAGGTATGCAGATCTAACAGTAGCCACTACAGCTACCGACTGACACTTGTGTCCTGAAAGTCTACAGCCTGTACCCCCCTCTCTTTTGTCGTTAAATCTATTATCCACCAATCACATCAACGAAGCTATTCCAAGCATCGTGACTCACAAGCATGGGCGGCGGCGGGTTACGCATCCTGCCTCATAAAACATGGCACGTGTGGCGGCGAGACAACATCGAGCGGGTGCTAAAAGATGAGCGGACGCACGAGGAAAAGCGCTTCGACATGGACGTGAAAGAACGGAGGCGAGAGCAGGAGCGACGGGCCCAGCAGCTCACAGCAAAAGGACCGGCTACTACTCAGACGCAAGTCAAGCACGTGAATCTGTTCGAGCTGGAGGAGGTTCAAGCTCGCGGCAGAGACGGTACACAGGACAAGAAGGAGAAGAAGAAGGAGACGCTGCAGAGATACGGCCAGTTGTCGTGGTATGCGCAGCCAGAGAAGGCGCGAAAGGCGCTTACTTCGAGACAAGAGCGTCAGAAGAAGAGGTAGTGTGTTGACTGGTGACAAAAGAGGGTGGGTTTGTGTTGACGAGTCTGAATGTGGTGGTGGTGTTTGTTTTGTATCGGTGCAGAAATTTAGAACTTGCAGATCCGTTACGGGAGATGCGTCCAAAAGAGGAGCAAGCACAGCGTTTGGTCTTGTCTTTGACTCTTTTGGAAGAAGAGAAGGAGGGAAGATGTCGACGTAACGTCGTTCGCGCGGGACCTGGTGGGAGCGACATCCGAAAGTATTCTGGTAATTACGACTATTTGTCGACGTCACGTGATAGCAAGGAACGGAATCGCCTTTGTCGGGCAGAAGTTGAGGAGGAGGGGAGAGCTGATGAAGCTCTGAAGAAGCATAGCAAGTATCGAGCAAAGAAGAGGAAACGTGAGCATTGCAGGAATGAAACGTCGCTCGAGGACCTGCGCCAAGAGAGAAAAGACCGAGAAGCATCTGAGCGGCGGCGGGCTGAGAAGTTGGTGTACGGATGAATGGTGACGAACAGACACGAAGGTTTTGGTTGAAAGTTATTCATTTTGGCATTCCCGTTGACCAGCCATGAGGCTGTACGTCAAGATGGAGCAGCTTAGCTGTCCTTCTCTACCTTCTTAATACCGCGAAGACGGCCCGTGCGGCGCGCGGCAATCAGACCAACCTTCTTACCAGCAGGCGCATCGCGACGTACAGTCGACGGGTGACCAATGTGCTGGTGGTTACCACCACCGTGAGGGTGTTCCACGGGGTTCATGGCTACACCACGCACACGAGGCCACTCGTTACGCTTGACACGGTACTTGTGGAAAGCACGACCAGCCTTAAGAATCGGCTTGTCCGTACGACCTCCACCAGCAACCACGCCGACCATTGCTCGGCACCTGGACCCATCAATCACAATGCAACAACTGCAGTTAGATACACGATTCTCAATCCCTTGACCTCACATTTGCAATATCCTCATAGCACCCCAACCAAATCGTCATACTTCTGACACCAGAAGTATGAGTCATCATCAAGAGATACATACTCACCGCACAAAGGCGGGAAAGAATGATGTAGCACACACACACGTGCATGTCAGCAAGTGACACACACGCGGCACGAACGTTCCTTGCCATCTCACTACCGAAGTAGCAAGCTACAAGAAACGTCGCCATGCCTCAAGACTCAGAGCTGACCTCCAAGCCTTGACTCATTCCCTGAAAATGGCTATCAAGAAGCAGCAACTTACGCCGAAGGAACTGTCTTCTTGGATCCCGAAGGCAGACGAAGCTTGGTCTTGTGCTTGTCCTCGTCGTGGGTGACAATCACCGCGTAATCACCCGAAGCACGGGCAAAAGCACCTCGGTCGCCGACCTTGGCCTCCACATTGCACACAATGGTACCTTCCGGAAGTGCAGACAGCGGCAGCGTGTTGCCCACCGCCAGATTGGCCTTCGGACCCGAGTAGATGAACATACCCGTGTACATGCCTTCCGCTGCAATCAACAGCTCGTGCTTGAGCTGGTAACGGTACGGGTCACGGTACGTCACTCGAGCCAATGGAGCTCCTCGGCCAGAGTCGTGGATAATCTCCTTGATTACACCCTTGATGTAACCCGTGCGCTCGATGTAGTCCAGAGCACGGAACTTGGCAGCGCCCTTACGCAGGTGCGTGTGGGACTTGAAGATCGAGCCCGCGCCCTTACGCTGCCCACGGATAACACGACCCATACTTGCTCTTGTCTTTTGGACCGGGAAATGTCAAATGAAAAGAGCTCCTGGCCACCCATGTTGTACACCTGTTAAATGTGATGCAAGTGGTTTGAAGGGGGAAATGAAGCGTGTTTGAAGGGTGAACGGTCTACTACGATCCAGTGGTGGAGACAGCAACGGTACACTGTACCCTTTTGTGAAAAGACGGCCCCGACGTTTGATCAGTTCCGATTTTGACTGGAGGCGAGTATGCCGTTGATACTGCTGGATTTGTACTGAATGACGTGTATGGTGTACTGCATTTGGTATCTCCACCCCGTGAAGTGCCTTTAACCGCGCGTTTGTGTGCGGGGTGGTCATTGAAATAATGCGAGAATGAACTTCAATGTAGACGCTATAGTTGGGCATAGTGCGGCGCGCTTCCATCCGCTCACTGCCCTGGTATGTCTCCATACATTTTCCATCACAAACAGTCGTCAGCTCCTCATCACGTTCAGCCTTTCAACCACAAGAGATGATAGACTCATTTGTTGCTATTGTAATTCATCTACATACACTTCTTCTCTCTTGTCCTCCCACTGATATCATCACGTTGCTGATACTCTCACGCACACACACACTCCATTCATACGGAGTCCCCAACCTACTTTACACCCCGAAATACCTTCTGAAAGACACCTGATACCAAGTTTTACGCTGCTACCATCGGGATCAACTGCCCCGCCAGCAATGGCAAAGGTACATGCAAACTAGCAGCAGTAGCAACAGCAGCTTCAGTACTGGCTCCAACGATCCACGGATGTTGCAGCATCTGATCCACCGTGAGACGCCTCGCGGGGTCCTTTGCCAATAACTTGGTGACAAGGTCCTTCGCATCGGGTGACACGTTGTTCCAGGCACTGAAAGCAAACGTAATGGGCTCAACTTCAATGCAATGCTCAATAACGTGGTCTGAAGACATGCCGTCCAGGTCAAACGGGTGCGTCCCGCATAGCATAATGTAGAGCACGCAGCCTAGCGCCCACATATCGCAAGCACTGGTGCAAAGACCCGAAGAAAGGACCTCGGGGGACAAGTACGCAGTCGTGCCAATGTCTTCAACACTCGAGATCGCCCCTGCAGGCCCAGCACTGCCAAAATCCACGAGCTTGACCAGACTTGGACTGCTCTCCTGTCGACAGGAAGCACTGCCACTGCTACCACTTCGCTTCTCATCAATGGCACGTTTACTGAACAAAATGTTCTCAGGCTTGACGTCCTTGTGCACGAGTCCATGTCGGTGCAAGAACGACAGCGCGCTCGTCAACTCACGGGCGATACCTCGGGCCTTTGCTTCTGAGAACGACCCATGAGTGGCAATTGCCTCAAAGAGCTCCCCTCCTCGAGCGAGCTCCGTGACAACATACGCGTTCTGACCTTGAACGTACACATCCCGCAGGTCGATGATGCTCTTGTGGCCTCCAAGAGCTTTCACTAAATTGAGCGCCGAGATCTCGCGCTCGAGTGCCATGTTCGAGCGACTGGCACTCGATGTCTCTACAAGTATCTTCTTGACCGCCGCCACTTCGCCCGAGTCCTCGTGCATCCCGAGACACACGGTACCAAAAGCTCCTGACCCAATCTGGTCGAACAAGTGCCACTTGGACTGCATCGTAGCTGCTCGAGCATGCGCTACACCTTCCATCTGCGATTCCAGACCGACAGTCAGCACTGCAGCGCCTGCAATCGCAGCCAAGCTCAGTGAAGTGGTGCCAACGTTTTTTAGCTCCAAAGTGCCTCGTGAGGGCAACTGCGAGAGACTTTGCAGGAATCGAATGCCGCGCTGTCCTTGGCCTCTCGTCTCAACGCTACAGCGGGTAGTAGAGACCTTAAGGACGCTAGATGTTGATCGGATCATGCGAAACATTATGACAAAGACAAGAGATGGAATGCAGTAGCTGCAGCAGACTTTGCAGTGGTAAAGCTGAGAAGAAGTGGACGGATGGCACTTGTCGGAATGGTTGCAGTCAGTCAACGAGCATCCACACGTACGCACGTCTGTTCGTGCCTATGCGACTGTCTCACTTAGCCGTCGCTTGCGTTTACTATCAAGAACGAATAATCGTGGGAACCTGACGACTTGCGACATCTCGATTGCCAGCTCATGTTCAGCTGCTGACTGACTGCCCGGCGTCTCTGCACTGCAACGAAAGTCAAGTCAAGCAGAGACTGCTCGAAGATCAAACCGGCTGTCGAATCGAAAGAGTCCTTAGATCTTTGCAGCTGCTTTCTCCATTGAGAGCGAGTCAGTAATGTGGTCAACCCACACACGCTGCCTGTCCTGCCTTTCGCTTGCGATCGAGCGACATGAACCAGCTGCTTTGCTATCATCTGCAGTATCAGATCTGCTCGATCGTCTTGTCGCGAGTGACGGCTCGATGTTGATGTCGTTCTTCGTGAAACTGCAGGCAGTTGCAAGGGATGGGATGAGGCACGAAACAGACGGTAGGAGTCAGTTCAACGAGTCAGTCAGCATATGATGTAGCTCTTCCTGAGTCGATCCCAATTGAAATGGCGAGCTGGTTTTCTCGGTATCAAGAGATCGATCTCTTGTCGCACGTGACGACGAATCTTGACGCGCTAGTTACGCGTCTTTATTGCACATTACGTGCGACGCGGACATGAGGATTGCCAGCAAAAAGGGACCTGACACCAAAGAAAGCAAACGAAGGATGCTACTGGATCCGATCAAACGTACATAGATAGATACCATGACACGGTGTGGTGTGTTCCTGGTCAAAACTCGCACTCTTCTCATGACGAGATGAGGTGAGTCGTAATAGATACCGTACCGACGAAAACGGCATTGAGCACTGCAGCCAATGTCTTGCTGTCAATGCTGCTGCTGCTGCTGCAAGTTTTCAACTACTTCAAGTCTCAATGGACCTACATGGCGGTTGCTCTCACCCAAGAAGGTCGGACAGCTCAATGGGTCCATTGTCCTTCTTTGCAGTCTTGCTACGAGATAAACCCGCCCACCTTTTGCTTTTCGTGACGGCTGGGGTTGTACTTTGCACCGCTTGCTCCTTGCGTTGCGTCTCCTTCCGTTGAGCAAGCAACTCCTTTCGATGCTGCAAAGCCGAACTTGCTTGTTGTTGACGCTGCTGGACCACTTGAGACGTCTTTTGACGACGTTGCTGGATCACACTCGCAAGGCGCGAGGCACGCGAGGCACTGCTACTGAGCAGCTTGGCAATGTCTGTTGACGGCCGATCGCTGTCAAAGTAGGAAGCAGATGTCGAATCAATCGTCGGTCGATCCTCTTTCCACTGCTCAGCTTCATCGTCGCCTGACGTCGACGAACTCTCGGACGGATTGAGCTCTTCAGGTTCAGTCAAGCGGCGTGAACTCCCCATCTTGCCCGCAAATTCGCACAAAGTCGAGTACGCACTGCGCGCACTTTCAAGATCCTGGCGCTGGACGTTCAGTTTCTGCGTCAGCTCCACCTCGTTCAAGTTGTTGGACGCCTTCAAGACATTGCGCTCACACTTGTAATCGGCCACCGCTGCCTCCAATTCCTCATTGGCTTTCTGAAGCTCTGCGAGCTGCTGTTTCAGCTTCGTGTTCTCTTCACGTACACGAGCAATCTCGTTGTCCCGCTCTTGTGTCGCCCGAGCCATCTCTTCTTCTCGAGCACGAGCCATTGCCTCCTCTTGCAAAGCTCGAGCACGAGCAATCTCTTGTGCTTGTTCCTGCTCAGCTTTTTCAATCTTGAACGTTGAAAACTGCTGACGAGCCAAACGGCCACGCTGGATACTCTGCAGACGCGTAGCTGCTACTTCCTCTTTTCTCCTGACTGCTTGCGCTATTCTGCGCGCTTGTTCCTCCATGATCCTGGTCTCTTGCTCCAATCTGCGAGTCTCTTCCTCCATCCGTCGAGCTTCTTCCGCCATTCGAAGCGCTTCTTCTTCTGCCTTCACTCGAGCCGCTTCCTTGATCGCTGCAAACTCCACCCTGGCCAAATGCCCACGAACGATCCGTTGCATGGCCTTCACGGCATTCTCTCGACGTTGACGCATTACAATCGCCTTCCGTTTGCGTTCATCTGCCAGTCGCTCCTTTTCCCGTGCCGCTTCTTCTCTCTGACGTTGAGCTTCAACCTGCAACCGCAGTCGTTCTTGCTCTTCCTCTTCTTCACGACGACATCGCTCGGCTTCCTCGGCTTCTTCCAGTGAGTCAGCAAACAAACACCGCGCAAAGTATCCACGAACATGTCGTTGAATGAGCACGGCACTGTCTTCATAGAGCACCTGCAGCTTCCGTTCTTCTTCCAGTCGACGCTCTGCTTCCAATCGAGCAAGCTCTTCTTGCAGCTTCCGTTGTCTCTCCTCTTCCGCTTCCACTGCACGCTTTCTTGCAAGTTCTAGCGCTTCTTCTGCTCTTCTCCGTTCCTCCTTTTCAAGTGCAAGCAGGTAAGCAGCTCGACGTCTTGAGAGCTCCTGGCGAGCCAAAGATTGTCGAACAAAGCACTGGATCGACACCACACGAGTCTGACGTAGCACTGCAAAATAGACACGTCGTCCTTTATGGCCTCGGTACATGCGCTGAATCAGCACAGCACTGACTTGATGCAACCGAGTAAGGTAGAGCTTGCGTCCCTGATGTCCTCGCCACATCCGCTGAATCTCCAGCGCACAATGCTGACGTTGCAGCTCACGAAACTCGCACCGTCCAACGTAGCCACGCCATACACGCTGAATCAATGCAATAGCAAGTCGAGCTCGAAGGAAGCGGCACCTGTCGACGAATCCTTTCACTCGCCGTTGAATCACCACCAAAGCACCACGTAATTCCACGTACTTGCAGCGTGCACACCTGCCCCGCCATTGAGCCTGAATCCGTGCAACATAGGCCGAAAGCTTCTGAGCTTTTGCATGCTCGAGCTTCTCGAGCACTCCTTTTTGCAGGTAGATCTTGGTCACACCCATTTGATACTCTTCCGGCGTCTCAAGCTTGAACTGCTTCGCCAAGACGTGACAAAAGGGTGCACTCCACTTCTCCTCTTCTTCCTGCATCTGGAGCTGCTCTGTTTCGCTCAAGAACAAGTCAAAGCGCTCGACAAACTCCGTGTGCAGCAACCGGTTCGGATACCCTGCACGTGCAATGCAAATAGCTTCAATCACACCAGCACAGCGCAATTGGTTAGCCACCATCTTGTCTTCCAGCAGCGTTGCACTCTTGACACTATTGGGCTTGATACACCGAATGTAATTCACATTCGTCTCTTTGATGTTCCCCATAAGCGAAGTCAGCGATTGCTTGAATTGCATACCCACCGTCTTGTCTGCTCCAGCGTTGCTAGCTCCTTTACGAGCGCCACCGATTTTCCGACCACCTGAAGACGAGGGCTTTGAAGTCATTGCAGCTGCAGCAGCAGCAGCTTCGATCTCGGCCTTCACTTTGAACAGCATTTGAGGAAACGGTTTGTGGCTCCCACACATCAAATCCGACAAGTCCGAGAGCAACGCGTCTTTGTGCTTCTCCAAGAACCCCGTAGCTTCGTACTTGACGGTTCCAGCATAATGGTGAATCGCAAATTGAGTCTTTGAGATCCGTGGGAACTCAATGAGCTTCTTCTGCTTGAGGTAAGCACCCGAAAGCTTGCTGACAAAGCCTTCCTCATTCCCTCGAGGACGCACAATCTCTTCGTTCAACAACGCCAAGACACCCATTCGACCTTCAATCAGTGCAAGCGTCTCGCTGTTGTCAGCGTACGAGATATGAGCCCACGTGATCTTCTCGAGCTCGTACTCTTCCTGCACAGCCTTAAACACATCTTCCGTGAACTTCTGCTGCAACTTCTCGTTCGCATAGTTGATGCACAATTGCTCGAACGAGTTGTACTCGAAGCTCTCGAATCCAAAGATATCCAGCACGCCAATCGTGTTGGCAGTCAGTCGGACTGCAGCACCAAGACTAGCATTGATGCCAGCGACTAGCCAGTCGAATATGCAGGCATAAATAGCCTTCGCAAGTGCATCACGTCCAGACTGAGCTTGCTCGACTGTGAGCGGAACCATATACACCTCGCCAGCAGTCTTGATCGTTCGGTGAGTCAAAGCTTTTGCCATGGTGTCCGGGTGCAAACCAAGCAGTGAGCACGAGCAAACGATTGAGTCCTTTTCCAGGTCACAAGCTTCGTCATTGTCAGGGTTCTCTACAAATTGAGCCTCGCCCAAGTACAAAACACCTGAAAGGACCTGGAACAGATCATCTTGTTGATCAGGCTCAAGTCCTAGCAGTGCAAGCGCTTTTCGGGTCTTTACAAACAGCGCACGGTCTTTGGTATCAGCTGCTAGCACAACTGGCACTTCAGACGGGGTTGGTGGGCTTAGCTTTGATTTACGACCAGGTCGGGACTCTTGTTGAGGTGCTTTCTCTTCCAGATACGCAAACTTGGGACAGTCATCGCCAAGTCCCAGTGCATCCCGCTCCTCAGGCGTGGTACCATGCAAAAGCTGGTAGAAAATGTGGTAGTTGCGCTCGCCTCGCTCATGGGAAATGACTCGTGTCTTTTCCAGCAAATACGTGATGCACTGGGCACCACACAGCGCGTGGTGCTTGTCGAACTGGAGCTGCGTGAACTTACCAAAGCGACTCGAATTGTCATTTCGAGTAGTCTTTGCATTGCCAAAGCTCTCAAGCAGCGGATTCACTTCAATAATTCGTGTCGTGATGCTGTGCTCTTGACCCGTTGCAGCTCTGCTTGATGCCGGTGCAATGGTGGCCAAGTTGTCCATCAAGATCTTCGTCGTCTCTGTTTTTCCAGCCCCTGACTCGCCACTCACAAGGATGCTCTGGTTCGTTCCGTTGTCACACATATGCCTGAACGCTGCGACGGACACTGCATACGCGTGAGGAGGTACGTCCTGTTGCTTCTGAGCGTGCATGTACTTCTCGTGAAGTCCAGGTTCGTACAACTCATCCAGCCACTGGTACGGGTTCACTGCAAGACAGATATCTCCCGTGTAAGTATATGGCATCCGAGCTCGAAAGCGCTTCTTCAAGTTCCGAAGAATCGCCGCTTCATGTAGATGATTGAGATCGATCAAGTTGTCCAGTCCCTCGTCATAGTTCGAAAGCTTGGTGTTCTGTAGAGGAAAGCCCACATCCATAGCCACGACTCGAGTGTCCCCCGTCCGGTCGTCGTCGTCATGATCAACAAAGACGCCGCTTGGTACGTCCTCGTCTCGAGCCCGTTGGATCCTCACGGTCACGAGACCTTTGACCTCGTCCACTTCCTCCACATAGACAGGGAGCCACGCAGCATCTTCGTCTGGAATGTAACACCGCGCTCCCACGACAACACTCGGCGTCGTGACCTCGTCCACTTCCTGCTCCGTCATATTGAGCCGTTTCCGCTTGCTTGGGCCTTGATTTCTCCTCGGTATGAATCGCCTTCCAGCACGCGTCCAGCGTGACCTTTTGCTTCTTCTGTACACAATCCCGACAAGAAACAAGAGCCTGTCTCCCGAGCGGACAAGAGACAAAGAAAGGCACCACCACGAATAGACCGACCGTCCAATCGCCTCGCAGCGGTAGCTGAGTGGTAGTAAGAGCGGGGAATTACTTCGGTGGTATTGTGGCGGCTGACCGGACCTTTTTTTGACTGCCGGTTAAGGTCCAAGAGGTGGAATGTCTGTCAGCTCAGCTCCATGTGCGACCGTTACGTCGTCGTCTGGCAGCTGACTGAAGTAGCCAGTGAGCACTCGGATTTAGGACACTGACACTCGGATATCGGAGTGAGGTTGGGGTGTAGAAAAAGGATGGAGGAAGCGGTCGGTCCCCTACCCCGAAAGCCAGCGATTCGGTGCCGTGTGGTCAATTGCAACGCGGGACTGTCTCTCGTGCGAGTCATGTAAAAAGCGTGTTTTTGTACCGGCAGAAAGGGAGCAGTAGTCGTTCTTTTTTTTGGGGTCGATCGTGTCCCATTTGCACGATCACTTTCGATGCTGGACGTGGATCTAATGGAGCGTCTGTCCAGTATGTTGCCGGCGAGTTGAGTCCCACGAAGCTCGATCTGACCCGAGAGTGTGCTCTCTTGTACGTTTTTGCCGTCTGCTAGTGCTAATGGACTGTGCAAAAGACACTATGGTGTCGATTGAACGATCGTCTACGTTGTGTAGTACCGCAGGGTTGTGGATCCTTATCATGAGGGATCAGAGTGGACTGCTTTGTAGAGCGGACTAATGCTGTGGGATGGAGCACTCGCGAAGTAATCGCATGAGAAAGCAAGCAGCTTTGCGTTTACGTCGCTTTAGCTGCTGTTGATGTTTGGTAGAAAGAGACCACCACTGTCATTGCGACGAGGATGCTCGACTGGAGCCATTACGGACTGGTAGACGTTGACGGAAATAAAGTGATCGTGTCCGTTCCTCTCCTTGGTCGTTGTAAGAACTGCTGTTCGTCAACGCAGAACGTGACACGACATAGCAGCTGGTGCTGCACACACGTTACTTTCCGCACCACCGGTCGGCACTCTGAACTAGCTTCGATTGAAATGATCTGATCAGAGCATTGTTTGAAAATGAGCAACACCACTTCGCGTCGTATGCAAGCTGGAAGAGAGGGAAGAACAGTGGAGAGCATTACCAATGCTTAAAAAGGAGCAGCGAGTCATCTCGTTAATGCGTGAGCACTGTCATCAAATCGTCATGGGACGGAATAAACTGATCGTGTCAAATTGGCGAGAGATCGTTCGTGCCGAGCTGCATAAGTGGTCGCTATCGTACGTTTGAATTGGTCGATACCTCCAGCATTGTGCTGGGAAGATGAATGCTCACGTTCACCCGTTAGCCCATACAAGTCCATACACCTTCCTCCCGACATGCCGTACATTATGTGTACCAACTACTAAAGGTGCCATGAAACGTCTTGTCGAGTCGACTCTGAACTCGAATTCGTTTGCGCGTTCACGTCCACAGTTTCACATAATAATCCACGGAAAATTTCGATACACTTTCATGTAAACAACTTTTTAATTTTTAGGATATCGTCAGCTCGGGACCGACGCAGCAGAACTCGGTCGGTATACCGGTATGAATTGATCTCGATCACTGATCCCGAACCCGAAACAATTTAGTCCCAATTGGTACGATCCAGTTGCATTTTCAGAATAGTGACCTCGAGTCATGGAGGTAATCGAATGCCGGCGCTTCTTAGCGGCTTGGACTCGATCCAAGGCCGACAAAGAGATCGTACGGAACGACCACGTCATCACGCAGGTATCTGGTTGTCTGCATTCTGTAGACTGCATCACGGCTCTGTAATCTAACGAAACACCACTCTCTCCTCTTTGTGGACGTGATCAGTACGAGCAATTGGCACTGCACTACCAGCAGCTCCTTCAAGACCAGAACGAGTTCGAGGCGCTGGAATCCGATCTTGCATCGTTATTGGCTGAAATTAAAGTACTGAAGCAAGAGACACAGCCAGTGACGCCACCACCGCGTATTCTTCGAGCATCAGAAATCATCAAGCTCCGAGAAGAGCGCCATCGTGCTGCCGCGATTTCCAGCAGGCTGGAAGCTCCAGTAAAGAAGCAGGAACTTGTGCTCGAATCTTGTGACAATGGGAAGGAAGAGGGGACCTGTGCGAAGCCGGAAACGCATCTGCATCTGACGGCCAATGACTTGAAGTCGATCTTGGACGCAGCGGTTCCACGAGAGGAGAAACCGTCGACCAAGGCGATCCGACAACGCCTTGGATTGATGGATCGATCCAAAGCACACGCAAGTGCGTCAGAGACGGTAGCGCGAGAAGAGCAAGAATCGATTCAGTCGGAGATGATGTCGCTCGCGAAGCAGCTGAAGGACAGGACGCAGCTTATCAATCAATCGCTGCTGGAGGATGTCAAAATCTTGGACGCTGTTGGTGAAAGCGCCGAATCCAACGCGGCCTTACTGGATCGTGAAAACACCATGCTGAAGAAACAACTGGCTGCGAGTATTGGACTCTGGACTTCGCTTTGGTTCGTGGCGATGCTGTTTGTCGTGTTTGTTGTCACGTATTTCTACATGAAAATGTTCTCACGGCGCTGGTAAATAGAAACACGGCAAAGCTTACGTGGAGAAAACACGGGAAGCGCAATGCATACGTTTGTGTTCGTATTCGACCACGATCTTCTTAGCTTTCGTAATGGACCAAGGGCGTGTATGCAGCATCGTACCAATCACGTGTAGTGTGCAGGCCACGCCAACCGCGTAAAGACCGCTCACTTGCGTATTGTGCAATGCATCGCAAGGCCACTTCTTTCTCGAAATATTTAATCAGCATGCCGGCGAGTGCCACTAGAAGGATCCCGTCGTGAATATAGTCAAGATATACAACGCCGCTAACGAAAGCGACAACTTGGTTCACAATGGAGCTGGCATTCCACAACGCGAACAGCTTGCCGCAGAATATGCTCTTCCTCGTGACGAAAGCCAGTCCAAGAAGCGGCGAGCCGGCGATCGCTGCGGGTAAGATACCCAGGACTGACCATAACGCTGTCTGGAAGAGGACGCAAATACGTTGTTACTGACACAGCTCGATAGCATCTTTCGACCACAAGTAGGACGTACCCGAGAGCAGCCAGCATCTTGGGCAGTGGGATCACGAATTTGAACACAATAGTACTCCACCATAATCCAAAAGGCAACACCCATGTCAGCAATAATGAGGAGCACCAACATCAGGGAGAGCAACGAACGAGCTGGTATCTCGGGACGTGGCAAGTTACGCAGTCGGAACAGAGGATACACAGGCCGCCAAAGTGTCGTCAACCATCGCTTCGCAGTGTCATTCGTGCACAAGAGCTTCACCAGCGCTCTCGTTCGTCGCGCCGTGCTACGTCTTTTTTGTGTGTCGCGTGACAGTAGGCTGTCACTTGCGCCGCTTGTTGTGTCTGCGTGTTGACGCTCAGGCTGTACACACAGAGCTTCCGTCCTGATTTGCGAGAACCGGAACTCAGCAGACCGGGAATCAGTCTCAACCATCCTCCGTTCGTTATCCCCGGTCAACGACCCGGGATAGTCTGACACCCTGTTTCGAGTCTTCTTCACGCTGTCGGGATATACTTGTGGCACTTTCGATCTGGAAATTCGAAAGGCTAGTTTAAACGGTTTCTTCGGGTAGGACGCAAAAATCGCGTCTACATTCTTCAACGAAAGTGGCTGAAAACAACACACGCTTCCACCGGCAGCTTCCGCGTCACCAACGAGAAATATCCCGAACATCACGGCGAAACCATCGTTTCCATGGTGTTCGTTGAACGCTGCCACACGAACAATAATATCACGAGCCACTTTGGCAGCTTCCGAAACACGACGGACAACTGACGAAGGCTGCGGTAACACGCGCAATTTCTGGTTCATGTCAGCCACAAAATCAATCCAAAACATGTGCTCCAAAAGCTGCAGACGTGAGGGTACAGCTCGCACAACGATGTCATTCGAATCGAGATGATACGGCCGAAAGAACGATCCACTCCCACCAACCACAAGCACCAAATCTTCATGGTTGGCGATTTGCATCGCGCTCAAGTTCACGGACGAAGCCGAGCCTGACGGTGGAATCAGTACATCGAGATAGCCGAGTGAAAAATCGGAATTGAATCCAATTTTCAGCTGCGTACCATGCACGCGAAAGTTGATGCCGCGGAAAAAGCGACCACCAAATCCCTCAATGTACTTAACAAGCCTCACAACGCGATGCAACTGGCAGCGTCGCATGAAAAGAGTACCACATGGAGGAATCGTGACCACCAAAAAGCGGTACAACCAAACCTCCCAGCTTGTTGGTTTCCACTCCATTAACTCGTTACACGTCGAAGCAAAGCGCGCGTACGTGCCCATTTCGACGATATCACGGAGACTCTCTGGTAAAAAGTACGGGTCCAACCGCCAAGCACTCTTGACATGGTTATCTCCTGTGAGGTACAAGCGAGCAACGTGAGCATTAAGATCGTGGTCCGTTAGCCGAGGAGTCAGCTTTTTTGTTAACGTCTTCAGCGACAGCTCATCGCGCAGCCTTTTCGCCTTGTACTGGGCGTAACGGTGCATCTTAAACTTCGAGCTCCAGTATGAGAAGAATCCCCAGACGCAAAAGATAAGACTGGTGACAGCAAAAACGATAATGACAAAACCCAGTGGACCACCGATAGGTTTCACTAGATGCTCGAATGGCGTTAAGCAGTCAAGCCCGTTGCGTCCCTTGGAGCAAGCATAGGAGCAGTTGCCAGGCATATTAAACTCAGAATGAATGGGTTTGTCCGTGCATGCTGCACACATAGTTGCGCCAGCTTTTGCTGTAGTCTCTCCGACTCCACATCTTGTGCAATTAATACTGCCCGACGAAGCAGCGATGCTACCTACAGGGCAGAACGAGCACTTACTGCTGCCAATCGATCCGGCGAATGATCCAGGTGAACACATCTCACACTTCTTTAAACCCGCTTTTGCACCAAATGAACCCAACGGACATGGCTGGCACTCTTTTTTGCCAAAGTCCGGATTAAATTGACCAATTGCACATGCATCGCATTTTACGGATCCCGCATGAGTGGAACATGTGCCTGGGTCACATGGTAAGCATTTCGAAAAACGGTCTGGGCTATGGCTACCCTCGGGGCATGGCAAACAGAAAACACCACCACGCCCTGGATGACAATTAACACCGATCATTACGCCCGTGCCGCCATTTTCACCTCCTACGCTTTTGCCTCCGTCAACTACAATGCGACCTCCGTCCTTGATAAACATTTCTCCATTACCACCACTCGAATTGTCGGGTGTATCCACATATGCGACGCGAACTATTCCGCCACCCCCACCGCCACCCACCTTACCAGCGTTGTTCATAAAATCACCAGGCATGACACTTGGATTCCAGATCAATGACTGGTTTGCCGAATTGCTTTCGGTAACGACCATCACAGGCACTGGTATCGATCCTCCTGCCAAATCAATGATACCTCCGCCTGTGATGTTTGCAACAAAAAGTGTGAGGGAACCACCAGACCCGCCGCCGCCACCCATCGAGCCAATCCCACCGCGCGCCGAGATGGACGCTGTTTGGGTCAAGTTGAGAGTTGCAGACCCAATGTAGATGATTCCACCTCCACTACCTCCGATAATATGATTCACTGTGTCTCCACTCGCAGCTCCGCTGCCAGGCCAAATCGGCCACCCTGTACCGAAACTACTTGTCATCAATAAAGAGTCTTGCCGCATCTCAAAGTCGGCCGGAACTTCGTACGCAGCACCACCTCCACCACTTCCTGGTAAAACGTTGCCACCTCTTCCACCATGACCTGCCCCACCGCTGGCTTCGCCAAAGATTTTACTCGTACCAGGACCTACTCCGGAACCACATCCAAGTGCTGAGCTAGTTATCGCGCCACCGATGGTCATGTTACTGATGCTACAAAGAATCATGGAACCAGCCGAAATGTTACCCAGCGTAGCACTTTCCGACGCAAAAATACTGACCGAATAGGGCTGGTCGCCAACTTTTAACGTATGTAAAGTTGTGCAAGCAGATGCATCAGCTTGTTGCTCGATGCCTTTACATTCCCTCACAGGACCACCGTATAAGTTGTCAATCGATACGTTTGCAGCCGAAATCAGCAACTTGAGAAATGGGGTGTCGAATGGCATATTCAGCACAACTGAGCCATTGGCCACAATCTGCAACTCGACCTGGCCCATCTCTACCACTTGCGGGCAAAACCTTACGTCCAATTTGCTCACCACGCTTATCAAGGGAATACTTTCAGGGCCACTACCCCGTATAAGCTCCAGTGATTTGCCTGAAGGCTGCATAAAACCGTCTATCTTGGTCGAAGCATTCGTCCGAATATTTACTTGCCCTCGGAAGTTGAGCTCAGAAAACTTGTCAATGGAAAGGTCACCGCGAGCATCGATCGTAAGGTCATGCAGCATTGCCATTGCATTGGAGAAAGACACGTCAACTCCACGTAAGTCCAAACTAAACTGATCCCGCTCTTGCATCGACGTGGGCCCGACATATCCCTGTTCAATCACCATAGAACGCAACATTATTCAGCCATCCGAAAGGGTACAAAGTGTGAGGTGATAAGATTGAGTCATGCAATTTTTCCCTGCCTGAATCGTCACTTGCAATGCTGATAGCCTGATGGTCCGTTCACGATCAAGAGCATTTAGCTCTGACCCGGATTCTAACTGACAATTGAGAGCACAAAAGTACAGCAAACGTCAGTGGCATTTCAATCTTCACGCAACTGAAGCGTGAGTGATTGAAACGTTTTTGCTTCTTACTTCAATTGTGCTATCGATGCCTCCAACATTGTCCTGAAAACAGCACAAAGCCACAGTTGGGAGACCAGAAACCTTTACAAACACAATGACTGCATCTACCTTCAGCTCAATTACCGACGCGCACACAGTTGCTCCTCCGTTCACCAAGATATGCACAAGTGACTCGGGCAGAAATTGAGCACCTCGAGGTGTTCGCTCAAAAATCGGTGTACATCCATAAATCTGGATGCGTCTCACAGGCCCTGTGTGTGCTAACCGGCCTCCTTGCACAAGCAACGTGCTTACAACAACAGCGTGGTCATCATTTTCATGATCATGCCACCTACCACGTTTAGCATCGCGTTTCGACAAACGTTGAGTCTTCAGTATAGTCCCATCACCTCCCAACTGACACCACGCTATCCCATCATTTCTGGCAGCAGCGGTCAAACCACCACCTCCGTACGCGGACACCCGCACAAACTCCTGTCCCTCTCCGTTTGCTGAATTCAGTACAATCCGTCCACCGCCGCCTCCTCCACCTCCTCCAATATCACCGCTAAACTTGCTTGGCTCTCCACCATCTGCCTGCACGGTCCCATTGCCACAGATTCTCCCTTTTGCCACCACCACCACACTGCCGCCCGAACCGGCACTATCATAACAATCTGTACATGCATCTCCTCCACTAGCTACGAGCGATCCATCAATCACAACATCCTCGTCCGCTACTAAGCGGATCCGTCCGCCACCACGACTTCTCTCACTGCCTCCGCCGCTGCCATAGCCTCGGAAATTCGCGCCGTCAACTGCAACGTCCCCAATCGCTCGGAAAAAGTCATTAGCCGGCACATTATCACAGCTAGAGCGTCTTGCCGTGAGTGACGCGCCGCCAATTCCGCCATAACTGCCGCCCATCGCGCTCCACGAGTTGTACCCGGGCCCGAACTTCAATCCACGAGCCGTCACGTTCACGACAGAACGGTCGTCGACCGTGACGTTAGCGGCATAAATCTCCACGGCACTGGCTTGTACTTGGCTGTTGTGGATCGAAACTGCCGCGAGGCTCGTGTTGAGCTTAAATGTCAGTTCCGCGTGCACTCCACGCAGCGGCGAAAGCTCCGAGCTGTCAAGCGTCACGTTGACGATCTCCAGCAGCGTTAGCGTCGCCTGGGAAGGTACATCTAGCGCACAGTTGACGTAATATTCGTTAAACGAGCCGATAAAATGCATGTCCGAGCACGTGAAAATGTCGTGGATCTTGGTATTTCCATCGATCCGGAAGGTAGAAGATGGTCCCATAGCGTCTGCAAGACCCTGGAGCGTCAACAACCACAGCAATGAGAGCGTGAAGACGCGTAGGGGCCATACAGTCGCCGCTCGTCGCCGCGTCCGCCAGTGCGGACTCGCCATGCTTCCGTTGCACTCGTTGGTTTCCTTTTTGGATGTCAGAGTGATGGTCGTGTGTGTGTGTGTGTGCTCGTCTTAAGTACGAATCCTGTCCGCGCCACAAAAGACCGACGGTCCCTCCCAACTCCCGGCATTTTCCATCCAATCACCACAAGCGACAGACATGAGCGCAGGTCTCGCGCTCGCTCAGGCGCCTGCCCTGCGGTTCCGGCAGCTGCACCAGGACCTGCTGGCCTTTGCCGGACAGAGTATGACGGAAGAAGAAGCGCCGCAGTTCATGGCCGAGTTGGTGGCTGCGGCGCCGGAGCTGCTGCAGCCGCTCACGCAAGCGCCGCCCAGTGCCGCTCAGCGCGCAGCGCTTCAAGCAAACACGGTGACGGTGAGTGGCAAGCACGTGGACGTGCCGCCGCTCATCCAGCAGGAGATCTGCAAGCTCAGCGACGAGTTCCACGCGCGCGAAGAGACGTGCGTGGCGTTCTGGCTGCTGGCTAGCGAGCAACCGCAGCGCGAGTGGGTGGAGCGCGCTGATCAGCTGCTGCCTGGTGCAATTGCTGACTCAGTACCAACTGCAGCGCGGCACTTTCTGGTGTCGGAGATGGAGTACAAGCTGCATGTGCTGAAGGAGCTCTTGCGGCTGCGACTTGAGCCGCGATTGGACAAAACCCGCGCGCAGTTCCTGCTCTCGCTCTCGGACAAACTCTTGACGGAAGAATTGGTGACGAAGCTGATACAGGCGTTTGACCGGGACTTGGTCACACTTGCGCAGGTGTCCAGGATGGAGCAGTGCGTGAGCTACTGGCACACGCTCGTGGCGGATTGCCTCGTGCTGATCGTCTCGAGTACAGTCATGCAAGCACAAGAAGTGCAGCAGCTGGCCGAAGTGTTACAGACGTTGTGTGGATGGCTGCAGACGGTCGTGGCCAAGGTGTCACCGCATATTGTGAACCTCTCGTCGTTCTCGCAGTTGTTTGAAGGAGGATCGTTGGCTGGCATGTCGCCGGAAGGAGCTGTGCGGCAAGTGTCGTGTATGTTGCAGACAATCACTGCGCTTGAGGTGGCGCTCTTTGTCGTGTTGCTTCAAAAGACACGAAAACGAAACCGTGAGACAGGGTGTTTGGATAGTGGACGGGCGTTGTGCCGACGAGAGCACGCGCCTGTGGTGACGGCGCTGCACCGCCTTCTTTTTGAGGAAGACTGGGAACAGAGGAGTTTTCAAAGCGTTGTGATGCTTGCGTGGGCTGGATTTCTTGCAAACAATGACGACAGTAACAGCAGTAACAGCAACGTCACGTTTGCTGAAGCAGAAGCCGTGCCTCATGCGGTCAAGAAAGCGGTTCAAGGACGTGTTTTTCATTCATTAGTTGAAGTGCATTTGAAATACTTGCCCGACCGGAAACAGGACTTGCGGCTGTACGACATTTACGAACAGAGTCTGGAGCTGTTGTTCCGCACGTATTCGTCCAAGATGATGATTGACGTACCCACAGTTGCTGACAAGGCAGCTCTTGCTGCTATGCATGCCGAAAGTGACGGTGACGTAGTAACCTGGGATGGCGACTGTCTCGAAGACATTGTTGGTTGTGCAGTAGCGCTGTGCGCTCACAACGCTGCCTTTTGCTGCTCGTTCTGGCGAGGACCAAATGATGAATTTGATTTTCAAAGCAGCAACGAAAGCAGCACAGGAGACGATCTGCGACCTTCGGATTCACATTCACACATTGTCGATGGTGGAAGCTGTCTTGCTTTCTTGATCGCTTGCCGTGACGCTGCACTCAAAAATCCCGGCTGCCTTCCTGCGTACATGCGATTAGTCGCGTCCGCTGCTAGCGGACCCGAGTGTGCCCAACAGGCATTCCACCACATCAAACGAAACCCGCCGCAACTTGGTTGGGATCAGTTTTTTTCTGTCATGGCAAAGTATCAGCGGTTGCTTACTGATGCAGAGAAACCGGCTGGATATGCACCACTTATGCCCGTTGGGATCGATGGCAGCACTTTCAACAGCGTGAGCCATGCTGGTACTGGTCCTCGTTTTATTCGACCGAAGGAGTTAGAGGCATTAGAAACAATCCAGCGACTGATTCAGGAAGTGATTTCGGATCCTCAGTTGGCACTCATCTTCTTTCACAACCACGACTGGTCCCCGATTCCAACGTTTGTAGCTTTCCTTCAGTGTCGTATCCCGAGCTCGCTCAAAGGCTCGATAATGAGGACACTCGCTGTGTTTGCGCGGGTGCCAGACATTGCACCATTCGTATGGCGTCAAGTTGATGCGTTGCAAATTCTGCGTACTACGGGGGATACGTCGGTGTATGGCAACCAGGATATCAGTTACGAACTTGAGCACTATGAGTCTTTGAGTAAGACATACCCAGCAACAAGAGGATTTGTCACGCTATTGTATGAATTGTTTGGAAACCCTCACGCGTGGAAGTCGTTCGAAGGTGACGGTCGTGTTGCAGCGATTCAATTTTACTTTGAGTTTTTGCTTGAACATGTGTTCTTGAAGTTTGATTTGCGTAAGTATGAGCGAGAAGAAGAAAAGTGGGCGCTGGTAAACGGAACACTCGCTGTATTCAAGAAAATCCTACGGCACACGGGCATTTCATCTACTGACGGTAGCTTATCGTACCAGATGCTAGCTCGATTCTTGTCGAGCAGTCCGTTGTTGAACAAGATGCTCTCTATTATATCTGGAGATGGAGGCGTGGACAATTTGGAGAACACGTCGACCGATTTGCATCTCGAGCATGCATTTTTCTACTGTCTTGACATTGTCAAGCGCGAGACAGAGGCGAAGCACGGCTCCTTGAACTTTGTCATTGACGTGTCCAAGCGATCTAGTGACACGTACCTGACCAAAACTACAGCGGTCGCCGCCCTTCGGGAACGGTGTGTACAGCATGCTCTTGAGATTGTGATTTTGGTGTTGGAAAAGGACGCCCAATTCGTGAACTCTGATCTCAACCGTCAGCTTTCGCACCGGCTTCAAGTGGAAATGATGCACGTCATCTTGTGCCGCCACCGCGCTGACTTTGTAAACATTGTCAAGTACATTAAGTATACCAAGTCAGCGCACATTCCGTATCTGTCAGCGGTGATTTTGCGTCTTATCAGCGCACGCATGAGTGGATCAGATCTCGTCGATGTGCTTATTGATAGCGGAGCAAGCGCAGACATCATGGTTGGGTACATGAACCGTTTGTTGAGCGTGTACGATGACGACGAAGTTGAGCAAGTCGAGATGGATATGGAAATTAGCGGTGATCCTCAGGAGAAAACTGGATCGGAATCTGGCAACATATCGTCATCAAGTAGGCAGAGACAGCAAGACAGACGAACGATATCTTCTCCGTTCCAGTTGCTAGCTCAAGAGACACCTCCGCCCCTTATTCGTGCTACTATCTTGGATCTGCTTCTCGAAAATTTAAGCAAGCCGGCGCCTAACTTGGCACATCTTCTGCTGGGCAATGTCAAGCAGTATGGAGACTCGAAAGTCGCAACGACGCCAACTTCTTACATGAAGACTGGTCTTGCCGCCGTAATTACGCTTGTATCCAGCGCAGACTTTGGCTTGGAGAAGCCGGAGCTGGCGGGGCGTTGTTATCACGTTCTGTACAAGCTAATTACGCATGAGTTTTCGTCGTCAAGCACTATTGCTGCATTGGAAAGTGTTCCGACTGATTACTTCGTTTCTCAGATTCACTTGTTCAGTCGTGTGTACCATGTAGCGAAGAGGAAGACGGCTGCTGCTGCTGCTGTTGCTGAACTAAACATGCGCGGGTGGTTCTTTAAGACGCTAGCAGTGTACCTACACGTGGGGTTACACCAAGAGCCTTCTCGTATGAAGAAGGTTAGCAAGCTGATAGGACAATTGCTGTCCGTGATTGTAAGCAGCCACGACGACCATCGTTCGATGGAACAAATGCTGTTGGTTCAGCAGCTTGATGAGTGTTCGTTCCACATCATGCCGCCATCGGTGCCAACGAACCAGCAGGTTGTGGCTTTGGCTGAACGGGCGACAGTGGCTGTTGAAAAAGGGTGCTTTTACAAGTGGCTCAAAATCGATGTCGCGCAATTTTGTCAAGCAATTCAGTCGCTCGATCTGACTGCAACTGATGACGGGATAAGTGATTTCTACTCATCATCGAGCAAACGATTCCGCGTGAATGGGGATGGTACAAGCAGTACTAGCAGCCAAAACAGTGTGGATGCAGCTGCGGAGAGGTTTATTCAGTGGGCTGTACAATGGAACATTTATTCTGAACGAATTGCTGCGGAAAGCCATGCTCTGAATTCTTTGCGGGAGCTCATGGAAGTGATCGTGCTGGACTACCTGACATTGTCTCGAGAGCAAGAGGAGAGCGAGACTCCAGCTTTGTGGCAGGGTCCGGACAATGCTGCGACAGCGGAAGTACGGCTGGAATTATTGAACAGTATTGCAGCAGCCGTGCTGAGCAAGTTGACCAGGAAAGCAGGTGCTTCTGCTCAGTTATTTGAGATCGTATCCAGGATCACTTTGATACTATTTTCGCAGCTCAGCTACATCAGGGAAGGAAGCTGGCCATCGGCTCGAGTAGAGAGCCGTTACCGTCAAAGCATGAGCTATCTGGAACTGCTGTTTCGTTCTGTATGCAGCAGCGCTGGAGCAACAGGAAATCCGTCAGCTGCGCGCAACTCTCGTACACTGTTGTACTCTTGCATTGTACACGTGCTGCATATGTTACCAAGCCGTGCTTTGCAGGAGCCGGTCTCGTCGAGATTTGAAACTGCTGGAAGTCAGAAACGGCGTGTTCGGCATTTCTTTACCAACCAGATCGTTGACCTTATCTGCAGGGACGCAAGTGATGGTGACGATACGCTTAGCATGGCACTCGCAGTGTCAGTGCTTGAGTCTTTGATCGCTTTCGATGACGACTCATCGCTTGTCCCAATATTTCGTGAGCGTGGCTACCTGTTGCACTTCATTGACATATTCAAGAAGCTGAGTGAAATGGACGCAGTAGCTCTTGATTCTAGCAGTGGCAATTCATCCATGCTAAAAAGTAGTGTGCTTCCGCAGGGGATGGATGCGTCAACCGTTGGCACGATGTATGAGTGTTTTCTGTCGCTTTTCGCACGGGTTGCTGAAACACAGGAAGGAGCTGTAACTCTGCTAGAAGGTGGCTTGATCCGTGTGCTACCTGATGGTCGAAATTTGCCAACACATCGACCACAGCATTTTGCGCAGAAGCAGCAAGACGCCGTTGCGTCCATGGCTTTTTTCCAGCGCGTGGAGGATTTGTATTATCGCAAATGGCTTCCCGTCGCGCGTCTGTTGAGCGCAAGTTGTGCCTCGTTGCCCAAGAATCGCGCACTTGCTGGCCAAGTGCTGTATTTTGTGAATAAGAACCGAAAGTTGTGTACATCAGCACTGAAGCTGTGTTCCAGCGGTTTGCAGTCGCAGCCGATTTCTGTGAACCTTCTTCGTGAGATATCGTACGTCACGTTTGTCTTCCGCTACGTGACCCAATTCCCTGACCTGTGCCAGCAAACACTGGCGGCTGCCAAGTGGGAGAAGATATCACAGCAGATTCTTCAGGTTTTTCTGCACTTTAGTGCGGAGCTTGTGCCTCCCAATAACGAAGGTGATAGCATGGTTGACAGTAACGGCGCCTCATGGTGGACTAACAAGGCTGTGGGTTCCGCTGAGGAACCGCGCAACGCTGCAATTCAGCGGTTTTCTTCTGTGGATTGGAGAGATAGGCTCTTGGAGCAGTGCGATGCTCGAGCCATACAGTCCAGTGAAAGCGCCAGTCTTCTGCACTTGTCCTTGCTTGATGAAGAGAAATTGTACGCATCTCGGATGATCTTGTGCAATGCTGCTGCTTTCTGTGCAAGCCGCATGATGCATGCTGTGAGTGAGGAAAGGGCTGGTCGTGCAGCTCCGCTTTTGTCGATCGCGGATAAGGCGCAGTTGCAGCGAAGGAATCAGTTTCCGTCTATGTCCTCGGTGGGCCCGCGCGCGTTTGCGGCAGCTACGGATCCATTGTGGACTCTTGCACCGTCAGTCAATGAGTTTACAGCGCGGTTCGACTCAGTCGTGTTTGCTCTGGAAGCGAGTAAGCAGCTCGTTGGTGCGCTTACTGCTTTCAAGAATGAAGCTGCGTCGGCATCCGTTTCTTCTTCACCGTCGCTGCAGGATCCCCTTCGCCAGCGTGAGCATCAACGTGGTATTTCGGCACTGGAGAACGTACTGGAATATCACGCCGATAGCTTGACGTTTATTGTGGAGAATATGCTGGTGGTGCTGTGTCTACATTTCGCTCACTACTTGGAGCAGCCCGACGTGACAGATAGTAAGAACGTTGTCCAGCAGACACTTGTCAAAGTGCTAGCGATTGTTGGCGGTATCGAGGTACGCACTTGTTTCCTATTTCTGTGCGGGTGATCTCTTTCAACATACTGATTGTGCGTATGTTGCCAGGACAATTCGTTTGTCCACGCTCTTGCCAGAAGACTACGAGAGCTAGGAGGTTGTTAACAATAGGATTGGCGCTCCCAATCAGTCATCACTTTTTTACGTGTGTGCGTGTAGTAGCGTCGATTGTATTCGATCAGCATTTCCTGTCAGCTGCAAAAGGATCATCGAGCAGTTCTGATGCTAGAATTTTCCTGCAAACGCGCGACCTAGTTCTTTGTCTGGGAGTACATGACGTCGGTGCGCAGCAAGTACTTCACGCCTCGAGTGACCAAGGCTCCTTCATGCAGCAAACAGCGATCCCCATGACCATGTACGAGCGCCGAACCTGTCTCGGGAACTACGTCCAGCACCACCTGCTCTTCTTTTGCACCAGCTTCGTTCGCATAAAAGATGGTGCTACCGCCCTGCAAGTCCGAGTCTGTCGAGTCGTTCAGGTACACGAGCACAGTGAAGCGACTGTGGTAGCCCGTACGTCGATCCACGTCACTTTGGTCCACATGGCAGCCAAAGCGCTGTCCACTACTGTAGCGGTAGAAACGAATGGCTGGGTTCAACGCGACAGCGTGCATGCCTTCGAACTCGGTAGGGACGTGCGGCTGCAGGCGCTTCCAGAGCAGTTCTGCAAACGCCGGAAGCCGCAGCAAGAGCCGATCGTTGTCCCTAAACGCATAGTCTCGACTAGCCCGTTGTGTCACGCGCTCGAATCCTCCTGTGTCGGCAAACGAGCGAACACGCTGGCACTCGTCGTGCGATAAAAACGAAGGCACGGCAAAGATGAGGTCGCCGTACAAGTTCTTGACGCGCAGGGCGTGACGCGGTGTCTTGAAGCAGAGAGCAGACGGAACTCCGTCTGCTTCCCACGCTGCAACTTCTCGCCTCGCAGTGTGTGTTGTCGTCTTCTTCTCCCTTTTGCCCATACGATCGAGAACAGTCGCGTTCCAGCAACGTACCGTGTCCGTGCACTATGACTATTCAGGGGATTGGTCCGTCGTCACATCGCAGCCACACGACGACCCTGGTCAGCCAATCATTCACGCGCGATGCGCGTGACATGTCGTGTAGCCATGTCGCCACTTGAGTACCGCACACAATCAACCGCCCGATTTCCCATCGACATTCGAATCAGGCCTGAGTAGATTCAAAACCCCGTGACTCTCTAGCCTTACTTCACGAATTATCAACTTCCACAGGTCCGCCCCTCCATCGTGCCGTGGCAGTATCAGCAAGAGCTACTTCCCCACGCCATCGAATGCCTTAAACGCGCTGTAGCTGCTCACCGCACTCTCGTTTCTGTACCCTACAACCACCGGACAAGAGCGCAAGAAGCCGCAGAAGAAGGAGCTCCACGTCGGGACGATGATCGAAGACGTGGCGGTCTTTGAACAAGCCGCGAAGAAGTCTTGGCAGTCGTTTAGCACCATGCGGCGCTTTGTAGACGAAGCCACGCGCCTGGAGAACACGAGCTGGCGTCTCTGGTTCATGCAGGGACGACATCGTCCTGATTCAAGCGATGGAATCGACGTGGACCACGTGACTGAAGAGTTGCGGCTGCTCTGTGTCTATTGTGAGCTGCACAGCGCTAGTTTGAGCTGTCACGGCTGCTGCCACGATGCGTACTGTATCAGTTGCTTTAAGCTGATTCACAAGAAGGGCAACTTGGCTACTCACACGGCCGTCAAGATCCACCATGTAAGGAGTTCTGGTCACTTGCTTTTCGTGTCTTTCTTTGTGTGTTTTTTTGCAACGATAGAAGCAGTCGAGTCGTTGGCTAACTGTCCATTTATTCATTGTGCTGTGTCGTGTGGAGAGCAGCAGCACATGGAAGGGCATGGAGACGGTGGCGGTGGTGGTAGTAGCAGTGGCGCGTCTACTGTTACTGAAGAAGCGGATCTGTCCACGACGTCGCTTTGGTCGATGCGAAAGAAGAACGTGAAAAGTGACGTGGCAAATGTGGGTGGAGGAGATGCATCGGGTTCGCTACAAAAGGCGGGGGAGTTTAGCACGAACAAGCCATGGGAACTGCAGATGGATATGCTGTTGCAACGACTTATGGTGAACAGTATACACAGCGAGCTCGACGTCGGGTACATGAGCATGCATGTTTTTCTTTTGATGAGGGAGATGGACTTGCATTACGGTGTGTTCTTGATCTAGAGCAGTAGTGGATGTGCTGACATGTTGTCTGTGCGTGCTGTGAATGTATTGTGCTTGTAGTGTGCACAATATTGACGCTCGTGATACGTTGGATACTTTGACGACGGACGCCGAAGGCACGGCCCCGCTGCTTTCGATTGGAGGCACAAGTGAGTCGGACGAGAAGTCGAACCAGGCAGTTGTGGCAGCTGCAGTTGCCGCTGCTGGTCGGCATCGAGCACACTCGTTGACATTTGAGGAGAAGGGGAAGACTCATTCGCCTGTGAGACCGAATGGGATCCATCCGTCACTTCCTCCCGGTGTAGATGGCAACATTCCTGAAGGCATGGCACTGCCAACGAGTTTGTTTCCAGAAAACCGACCGCGAGCCAACAGTCGTCGCACGGACTCGCAGATATGCGCGAACTGTAGTGGGAACCATATAACGGTCGAGTGTCCTTTGTTGGAAAGCGCGTTTTTGCCTTCGACGAGTGCGGTAACGTCTGGAGGCTCCGGCGTTGACACAGTGCTGCGGAAGTGTTATACCACAATCCATAACAGCAACATGGCCAACAGTACGCACGCATTCCTGGGCGATGAAGTCAGCGTTCGGGGAGGCAGCAATTTCGCAAACATGAAGCAATGGCCATCCGGCAACGCCTTACAGCAGATGGACCGGCCATCACCGTTCGGGATGAACGTGATTGCCGAAGACAACTCGATGGCAAACGATGATATCGTTCCGATGCTCGGAAAACTTGCAGTGCCGAATGCAGGAGGTCGTCTTCACTCGTGGAGTGCTGACTCATGGTTGTTATCATGCTTGGCAACTGAACTGCCTTCCGACGTGTTTGAGCAGCAACGCGAGCTAGGAAGGGGAGACAAGCATCGATCCTTTTCGGCTGAAGCTGACTCGATGAAGATAGCGCGCACAGGTTGGGCTCACGTGAAGGTGCAAGAGCGAAAGTGGTGCAAGCGCTTCATGTCTTTGTACCGCAACAATCTCTGGGAGTACTTGGATACAAACGAAGCGAGTCGGCCAGTGGGTCATGCCAACCTGTCGGAGGGATCTGTGCATCCGCAACACCAAAGCACGGTCGACTTTGTACTGAAGTACAACAGTCACTCATCAGATTTGTCGGCATGCAATGAGGTGTGGCTCAAATTCGATTCCAAGAAAGACGCGAAGCAGTGGAAGGAGGTGATAACGCGGGCAACCACGCTGGACATTGACGACCTGTTTGACCTTACTCCAGATTCTCCTACAGGAACACCGAGAAAGAACTTTGAGCTGGGTAAAGGACGTTTTTCGGTTGTTCGTCGTGCACGCCGGAAACAGCAATGGGGTGACTCCTCTTGCTCGCGAGATTCCGCTCTCAAGATCGTCGAAAAGAAGATGTTTTGGGATTTGGTTGCTCGTGATACAGAACGCGAAGACACGGTGGTGCGCGAAATTTTGACGCAGAGTCTGCTGACGGTCCGATCGGGCTCTTCATACTGCCCAGTGATTCGGCTTCAGTCGCTCTTCGAAACGCGTGACCATCTAGTAATGGAGATGGAGCTCATGCGAGATGGTGATCTCCATGAAGAAATTGCAATGAAAAGTGCCGTGGACGAGACCCGTGCGTCGTTCTTGATCGCTAGTCTTGTACAGGCAATCGATTACTGTCAACGGAATGGCGTTGCTCATCGAGATGTGAAGCTCTCGAATCTTGCGCTCGACTGTGGACGTAGTAGTACAAGCGGAAAAGAGTACGTGCTACTGAATTTGTGCTTATTGAGCGCTGTGTAACAATGTGCGTTGATGGGCGATAGGTACTCGGTGATAAAAATCGCCGACTTTGGCATGGCCGCATTTATTCAGCCAGACGGAATGTTAAGGGGGCGGTACGTCATTTCATTTCTGTGTGTGTTTCACCTGTCTACTGACCGCCTCTAGCTCCAGTAGCAGCGTTAGATTTGAGTCTGATTGACTTTGCTGAACGAATGTAGATGCGGGACCCCAGGTTTTGTCGCGCCGGAAATTCTCTCCGCTGGCAAAGGTCAAGCATACCTTAGCGGAGTGGACATGTTTTCTGCTGGCGTTGTGGCCTACACGATGTTGTGCGGCTACGAGCCTTTTTTCGGTGTGAACGACGAGGAGCTCATTCAAATGAACAAGCGAGTAGACTACGAGTTTGAAGAACCAGAGTGGGCTAGTATCTCCGACGATGCAAAGGACATGGTAAGTTTTTATGTGTGATGTGTCGCAAGGATGATCGATGTGTCGTCAATACTGATGTGCACCACTTGGTTTTCCGGTACAGATATGTCGTATGATGGAGAAAGACCCTTACCAGCGAATCACACCGAAGGAGGTGTTGAAGCATCCATTCCTGCGCGAAGCAAACATTGTGCTGGAGGAGCTTTTTCGAGAGCAAGAACCGATCCATCCAACTCGATTGCTATGATTGATCCGCATCACCGATTCTCTGGATTACAAATGGATGGATAAGTGAAGCTGTCTTCTTCCGGGATCCTGCATCGATTATAAGTGCATTCCGGATGCAACAGCATATCTATTTGAAGAGCTGACACGTTACCAGCATCATGTAGCCCGGTTTAGATAGGCGTCTAGAGGAAAAGACAAATATCGTGCGGTTTCTTGCACAAAACGGGCATCAGCGAGGCAGCGAAACTTGATGTTGTCCAGTACGTGCGGTGGCGTGGTTCGCTGGAACAGCTGCATTCGCACAAGAGTCGCGAGCTACAACAACCATAGGAAACACTCACATCATGTTAGCAGGGGGGCCGTGGACTGAGTTGCAGGGCACGCAAGTACGAAACATACGTGCGCGAACACCTCCTCGCGTGTTTCAGGGGAGCACAATTCGTCGTAGAAGAGAGTATTTCCAGCCTCGGCTTCCACGCGAAGGCTGAGATAAATGGCTAGAAGCCGTTGCAGCGTGAAGATCCGAGGACCAATGAGCAATTGACTGATGTGCTGCTTTTTGTTGCTAGTGGTAACTGTTGACACAGTTAAGTTACCGTCAGGAATCTTCTTAGCACGCTTTTTCCGACGCATTCCACCGGAAGACGAGAGGAAGCGCACATCTGTTTCTTGAGGATTGAACGAGGCCAAGTAGCCTGCTAGCACGAGCAGGAGACAGTTTCGACTCAGGTTGGTGCATGAAATCAGCTCGGATAAATCCCCGACGCCACCCCCTGACACCTTGTGGTAGCCAAAGAGATCTCTTCGCCGCGTCCGGAGGAACGCTTGCACGACGGTTTTCGTGTCACGCTCGATTTTGGTCTTCATCCTAGAAGCTTGACAACCTTGTACAGGCAGTGTGAACAAGTCGCGAAACTGTGGTAGCAAATGCACGACTGCCGCACGAAATTCAAGCCAATCTCCGTCCGGTGCAGGAGGCAGCAGTCCGTGCAGGTACACGAGCCAAGTATGGAACATGTCGTGTGCCTCCTTCATACCCAACTGCTGAACCAAAATATCCGCCAGCTGCCCTACATCAACAACCCAAGTCATCAAGTCAGCATCCATCACCAACCGAAGACCACCTCGCTGCTGTACCTGGTTTGTACGGCGGGAAGTGCACATAAGCTGGATAAAACGGCATCACGAGTCGATCAAAGTCCAGCGACATGCCTCGCGTCAGCAGCAGCACACAGACTTCCCACGGCGGAGCATCCTCAAACATCTGGACACACCCGAAACCAAAAAAACGGGTCACGTCACGCACAGAACCACTGCCGCCACCTTCATCACGTTCAAGCTCACGTTCAAGTACGCGATCTGGTCATTTATCGTGCACACACACGTGAGCAGCGCCCCAAGTCCTCGATCCAGCAATTTGTCCACATGATCCAGTGCGAAATATAACACGTTTCCACGATTAGCGTCTCGTCTGCTTTGTCGTTTTGTTGCATTGAGCAGCATCAACTTGTCCAGCGTTTTAAAAAACCCCAAGAAATTTAACGAGCTAAACTGTTCCTCGTTTTGAACCTCGTCGTTCGATTGACCAGCAGTACTTGGAGCCTCGTTTTCAATTTTAATCTCGTCCATCGTACAGTTTTTTTGCATCGACGATCCATCGTACAATTGTGCCAACGCTTCTCGGTACAATTCTTTGGCTGAATAGAACGCCGTGCAGTCCACGAGGATAGACGGCGACGGATGGGTCCTTAACGTTTGGGCCACTGCCATGCTCTTGCCAGTAGAAGCGCCACCATAGATGATCACAAGCGGCGCTGGTGACTCGAACGTGTCGGTGGTTAGCCCCGCTGCACGCGTCAATGCTGCTAACGGACCTTCTCGTGCGAGCATTTGCCGCGTTCAATTGGGTTCGCAGGTCGTTTGATTGGTTTTTATGGTAACTTACATCATGTAATTTACACCGCGTAAATTACGCGTTTCGGAAGTAAGTGCGTGTTGCTTGTCGTCTGTTGTCACGTCGGACTTTTTGATTGACATCAACAAAACTGCCCCGCGTCTCGTCCTTGTCCGGATCAAATGGCCCCATCTTCACGTACAGCAGAGGTGTTTCGCGTCATGCGCGACGCTGTCGAGCACGACGGTCCGTCGCTCGTGAGTCGTGTACAGAGCGTGATCCAGTTTGAGGTCGAAGACGCTGGCGTGTGGCTCGTGGATCTCAAGACTAGTCCCGGTAGTGTCAAGACAGCGACGACAGCAGACGGGGCGGCTGATGTGACCATCACTCTGTCTGAGGATACTTTTCTCAACATGGTGGACGATAAGATAGTCCCACAGCAGGTACACTGACACCACTAAGTATACATGGGTACACGAATGGCGACATACCGGGTACGACAGTGTTTACGAATGGCCGTTTTCTGTGCAACAGGCGCTCATGAAGGGACTGGTCAAGGTCAGAGGCAACATGAGACAGGCCATGAAGCTAAATGTGGTGCTAGCGGCTACTCGCAAGCATCTCGAGATGAAGAGCGTGGACAAGCAAGGGCCGACTGCTGTGGTGTCTGATGTTGCTCCGCCGACCGCTCCCGCGCTGACGAAAAGTCTTGACTCGAAAGAGCTTTTCCGTCTGCTTGGCGAGGTCGTGGTGACAGACGGAGCTGCAATGGCCAAGAAAGTGAAAGGCGTCATCCAATTTGATATCCCAGGTGCTGGCCAGTGGCATTTGGACCTGAAAAGCGACGTGCCGGCACTGACGGAAGACGTGAAGAAGGCAGATGTGGTCATTACGGTCAGCGACAGCGACTTTGTAGCGATCGCGATGGGAAAACTGAATGCCCAACAGGTGCGAGAAGTGCGTGGTTGAGTCTGGATGTGAGGAGGTACGAATCACGTTGACACGACGTTCTGCTGCTCTGCTGCTACAGGCGTTCATGAAAGGCAAGCTCAAGCTCAAGGGCAACATGATGCTTGCCATGAAGCTGCCGGTCGTGTTCAACGCACTCAAGCCGGTGTCCAAGCTGTAAGACTGTCATGCAGCTGTGTCCAGTCTACCTTTGTAGACCTTTGTAAGACGACAAAGCTAGCAAAGCATGCTAGTGGTCCATCCATCTGTCAACGTCGAAGCAGGTACCAATGCAATAAACACTTTGCCCGGTCCCCTTATCGATCCGTCTCGGCCTGCTAGTAATCTCGCATATATTTTTGTGTTCGTCGTGATGTCAAGCCAGACTGTCATCTCGTCACTCAGGACCGATCGATCGATCGATCACATCTCGCACCACGACACGATTTGTTCGTGCAATCATCACTCCATTTTTGTGTACGAGAACTACGAAGTGACAGGCACAGAACCTGCTATTCCACGTCAATAAAGCTCAGCTGTTCAAGCTAGAGTCAAGACTGACCAGTCCGCAGTCCCAAAGTCCCGGTCTCTCCCTCGACATCACCTGCTGAGATTTGAGCCAGCGACTTTGTCCTATCGCCCAGCATCTACTGCTGCTTGGACTTTGCACTCTTCTTCTTGCTCAGGACCGTTTCCCACCCATCGTCCACATCCTTCTTGATTGCAGCAGCTGCAGCCTTCTTCTTCTCCTTCTCCTTGTCCGTCTCCTCTGCTCCTGGTTTGCCTGGAGTACTACTCACCACAGCGCGCTGTTTGGCTTTGGCATTTTTCTTCTTTTGCTTGAGCTTCAGCTTGCGTTTCTCTGCGCGAAGTGCCTCTTCCTCTTCTGAGTCCGGCCCATCCTGTCAAAAATAGACAAAAATGCCACAAAACGTCCGTTTTGTCAAATGTCAAAAATCGACCGTTTTGTCAAAATGTATCAAATGCCAGAAATTGACACCAGTCAAAATCAGATCAAACGTCGAACAGCTCCAATCGTCGTCGAAACGCTCTCTATACACCAAACAAATGGACAATCAGCGACGTACGTCGACAAACTCTTCGAGGTTTATGTCAGAAGACGAGGGCGCCTCGTGATCCGCGGGGGCCACTGCCACCGTCTTCTTCTTGCCCTTGACGCTCTTCTTCTTCTTCTTTGACGCTGTCGAGGTCTTCGAGGACGGAGACTTGTCACCGCCGCCCAGCGCCTTGGCCGCTGTCAGACCCACGGCGGCAACAACGAGCGCGCCGCCCACGGCAATGCCCACGGTCGGATTTTGCTCGAGGATCGTCATGATGCTGGCCATGGTGTTGCTGCTCTAGATGGGCGAAACAGCGAGAAGAGATTCAAGCGACTGCGCGGTCGAAATACCAAATGTGGCGGCTGACGGGTGTGGCACGGGCAGTCGAACGCAAAAGCCACGTGGCTTTTGCGTGCCGAGATTTAGGTGCTTGAACCGTACGCTAAACAATGTTTGAGATGCATATTTAGTTTTGAAGGTAGCAAAGCAGAGTATTTGCCTAGTGGATGAAGTAGTCGACTGACTGATTTACAGAGGGTATTGTATCACACGATTTTCCATCCTTCAAAACATGCACTTTATTTGTAGCTCAGCCACGTACGTACGTGCTATTTACGATCCTACACGCCATCGATCTTGTTCTTTCATATTTACAAAACTAGCCGCACGGTACCACCACGGAATGATTGTCAATGTTGCACTTGCATGAAATGCGCAACAAATTGCGCATTGACCGCGAGTTGCTCTGGCGCAAGCTCTTTGCGTTTGACGACGATGACGACATAGTGGAGGACTCGCCACCCGCGTGTGACGAAGATGTCACACCCCATCTTTGCCGCGTGATCCAGACCGCCGTGGACCACGGACGTGCGACCCCGCTGCGCGCAATGTTGCTGCAACGTCTCGGCTACTGGCTCCGTTCCGATGTTGTCCCTCAATTCTGGCGTTTCTTCGACACGCTATTGGCTAAAAGTGAGAACGGTCGCTACACAACTCAACGCGGTCGTCGCCAGATGGCTCGTCTCTGCACACGGCAACTTACGCTTGCGTTGCAGTTTGCCGAAGAGGCGTTTGCGCACTGTGTGCAACTCGCCAGTCTCTTCGACGCGCGCATTCCGTTGCCGCAACTTCAATCAACGGACAAAAACGGTCCAACAATGGTGCAGGAAGTGCGCACTAGTTTCCGCTGCCTCGTCTTTGATGACGCGCACGCCCTCGAACGCTTCGAAGAGCTGCTGTGCATCTGTTTCTCCAGGACGTGGTCGACGTCGATTGGCCAAAAGAAAACAGCTGCCTGTGTGCGCGACGTGAGGTCGATCCAGCAGACGCTCCAGCAGCTCGCGTGGCTGCCCGTGGCTGAGTCTGCGCTCGTGCGCGTGCTGCACGCCCAAGTGAAGAAGGCGGTTGCCTTGACATGTGGACAAGTGTTTGACGAGCAGCTGCTTGGCCGCGTAGAGCACTGGGGGCGCGCCGAGATGCTGCCGTGGCTTGAGGAGCTGCTGCTGCTTAGCGAAGACGACGACGACGACGACGGTGCGTCACGGACCAAGTGGCGGCAGAGGCTCGCACGGCAAGTGCTCAGGGAATTCGCGAGTCTCCGCATTGCGCAGCTGTTTGAGATCATCAAGGAGTTTTCAGACAGGTAGCGAGGGATGGACGGTTTCTGCACCGCTGACGTTGATGTTCTTTTTTTATTCTGTTATCGTGTTGTTGTTGTTGGAAAGGGGTAGGGGTGAGTCAAAAACGTACTGATTTGTGTTACGTAGTGTCCCAGCGCTGGAAGATCTGCGGCAGTGTCTCGAGCGCACGCAGCAACAGGACGAGCTGGTGCGAAGCTTTCGCGACTCGTTGCAGTCGCGACTGCTGCAGCCAGGAGCGAACACGTCGGCGATTCTGGGTATCTACGTGTCGATTATAAAGGTACAGAAGCGCTGCGTGGTGTGGGCTGGTCTGACCGGCGGCTCGTGGGCAATCGAGAGAGAGAGCGAGAAGGGGTTGTTGATTGCAGCTTCTCTGTGGTTGTGTTTGGTTGGTTGGTTGATCTAGGCGTTCCGGCTTTTAGATCCAAAGGGCGTGCTGCTTGAAGCCCTGAGTGGACCACTGAAGGAGGTACCTTTTTGATCAGAAAGTAGAGCAAAAGTAGGATCGGTATGCTATTTTAGGATCTTGTTTAAGCTGGACGTCTTTTGTGATTGTTTTTGTGTGTGTGTGTGTGTGTTTTGTTTCTGGCAGTACTTGAGGCGACGCAAAGACACGGTGCGGTGCATTGTCCAGAGTCTCACTGATGAAGAAAACAGCGACTTGTTCAATGAGCTTCGTCGTGATAACATGCACATCATACAACACGTCGACGATAGCGACGACGATGAGGTGAGCTTGCTGCAACTCATTGCATGTTGTCAAGTGGAGATTGTTATGACACTTGTTGCGTGTTTGTTTATGGTGTGTGTGTGTGTTTTGCATTAGGATATCTCGCCTGATTTATGGGAGCCAGATCCGATTGAAGCAGACCCGTCCAAGACGTCGCGCAGTCGGAGCAGCGACGACATTTTGAGAATCCTCGTGTGCTGAGTGTTGTTTGTTGTATTGGAGGTGAATGAGATCCAGGTTGTAACACTTTTCTGTGCGTGGTAGGTCAACATCTATGGAAGTCGTGAGCTGTTCGTCCATGAGTATCGGATGATGCTGGCGGACAGGTTGCTGCAGAATCTGAAATATGATACTGATCGCGACGTACAGACACTGGAATTGTTGAAGCTGCGTTTTGGTGCGGAGAGTTTGCAGCAGTGTGAGATCATGGTCCGTGACATTGAGGACTCGAAACGGCTCAATGTGAATGTTCGATCTTCGACGGACGGGTCTGTCGCGGAAGCAGCAACAGCTGGAGAGGCTGTTAACTGGCCTGACCATACGAAAGTTGCGTCTTTATATGTCGATGCAACGATTGTTTCCCGACAATTCTGGCCACCGCTACAAGGCGAAGATTTTGCGCTTCATCCGAGCGTGTTGAAGCAAGTCGTCGCGTTTACCGATTCGTACCATGTCCTGCGCAACCCACGGTCACTACATTGGAATTGTTCACTCGGGTCCGTGCAGGTGCGTTGGCTCGACTGCTTTTTCGCGAAGAATGATCGATGAGCAGCAGGGCAGTTTGGTCACGTTCTGTTTACCTTTGAATAGCTGTCAATTGATCTCGAAGGCAAACAGCGTGAGTTTACTGTGTCACCTCTTCAAGCCACGATCATGCTCTATTTTGAAGAGAAAGGTAAGTATGCAGAGTCCGATTCTGCAGCTTCTGCGTGCACCGAGGTTTTGTTTACCTTTCTGCTTATTTTGCACAGATCGTTGGACTGTCGATGAGCTTTCTACGAAACTCGAGATTTCCGATGATTTGCTTCTGAAGCATGTGTCAGTGTGGGTAAACTACGGACTGGTATCGTTTACATCGGGGCGAAAAGAGCTGGTTGCTAGCACGTCCTTCCAGGACACTCGGTGCGACGGTGACTCGACGGTTGAAGAACTCGAGACCGCCGTGTCATCGGACGCGCAAGCAGAAATGGACCTCAAAGTGCTGGAAAACTATATAGTGGGAATGCTGTCAAACTTTGGGTCGCTGAGTATTCAGCGGATTCACAATATGCTTTCCACGTTCGCCCGAAGTGGAGCCCAGCCATGTATGTGATTAATATGTTCACACCTGTTAAACGGCTGCGGTTGAGCTCACGTGGTTGGTATTGTTTCACATAACTGTATACAGACACTAAGACTATATCTGGACTCTCAGGAATTCTCGGCAAGTTGGCCACTACCGGTAAGCTCGAGCTGGTTGGCGATCAGTATCAACTCTCCGCGTAGCTAGCTCGTGGACCCAGAGTTCGAAGCTATTTCGCTCGTTAGAAGCCTTCAGGACAGCTTTTGTACGTGTGTCCTACCTTGGCACACGTCAAGCAAATAGGCTGTGGTGCAGCATCTTCTCCTGCTTTCACAGGCTTGCGCGTCAGCTGACCCATTGCGTACGCTCTGGCCACCCGCTTCTCGTACGTCAAGCCGCTGTGGCAGCCAAACTACGGAAAGCAAAAGCAGAGTTGACAGCAGTCAAGTGAATGCCGCGCCATGACATTTGAGAACGCTGTCAGCTCTTGCAACACCTTGGCGTCCCGCTCGAAATTGTTTGGCACGTCGTAGAATTTCTGCAGTGTCAATTACAAACAGGAATGAACGGCGAAGTCTAGATCTGGAATCGTCAAATTCACGTGCCTTGATGTACGCGAGAACGGTCTTCATCTCCGCCGACACCTCATGCTCCTCGTGGCTGGATTGATACTTGACCGCCTGCGCAGTAGAATCAACCGGCACAAGAACTCATTATCGTATCAGCCACGCGGAAGGCAATGAATCGTCCTTACTTTGTAGATAAAAGTTGGCACATGCGCTTTTGCTTCCTCATCGCTCAGCCCCGTTGTCTCCTTCTGATCTACAAGAGCGTCTCTCCTCACTTGCTGCTTTACGCCAGGATGCGATGCACCCACTTTCTTTCCACGTGTCTTGGGCAACTTGGTGACACGCATAAAACTCGTCATCTTGGTCATCTTTGCTCCTGACACAATGAGGAATACGTCCCGCAATGTAAACTACGACCTTAGTACAACCTGAAGAAGCCAGCCAGCCAGCCAGCTCGCTGCCTTGATCGAACCCACTTCAACATCGTTGGTCTCTTCTAACCCCACAACAGCTTCAGATGTTAGCTCCAACAACTATAGCAGATTTGTAGATCCTGTCCCACTCTTGTGTATCAGCTGGAGATCTCGTGATCTTGCAGTGACTTCGCTCCATCCGCTTCGTAATCGCTTGTGTCATGTTTCGGTCATGTGCTTCCTTTTCCTTCAACAGGATGTTCAATGCCCAAAATGATGCACATCTTGCAAAGACGTTCACGAGCTGTCTTACTGTACTTCAGATATCAATGTCTTTGCCCATTAGACTGTCGGTTCTTGTTATTTCGCACGTCAAATTTGGCTGCATGACCCACGAAAAGTCCCGAGATGCAGGTGCAGCGTCAACAAACCACTTGCAGGCTGTAAATTGCAGTGTTTCTCCAGTCAAGAAGTCAGAGGTGTAGTCGAGTGGGTCAATCAAGTGTGGAGGGTCCCGAACTCGAGTAGGGAGGGACCAAGAAGCTGTTGACGAGAGTTGAATCAAGTCCAGGGAAGTCGACTCCGTCAGATCAATCAGCAAGAGGTGGAACGTGTATTCAAGCCAATTCAGTCGATCCACGGGACGGCAACAACGAGTCCTCTTCATTGCGGGCACTCGAGACCTTCGTGAACGAGGCCCCGCTGCAATAGGACGTTTGATCCAGTTCAACCAATTGAGCCCGAGCAATGTCCGCAGCCTTCTGGTTCCGCACGAAGGTCGCGCATCGGAGACACAGCGTCAGCATTTGCTCGAGAATGCCGGTTCGGCTACTGAGGATCATCTTGAGTTGGCACGATCGACGGCACTTTGGATCGCCGCAGAGCTCCTGTTCACAAAACTCACACCGAGTCACGGCACCACGTTTGCTTTGTGACTTGAGCGACTTGGCTGCACACGTTGCAACTTTCTCGGCACATTGAGACGGCGCAGTCGTCCGGAGCTCCTGGATCAATCGCCGTTTGTTCTTGACACACCACCACAGCTTTTTTGTCTCGAGACTGCGCGGGACGAACTTCCAGAACCTCAGCACGGATTGGCACAGCGTCCCTTGCTTCACAACGTCGGAGAGACAATTTTTCGCGTCGACCACAAGTTTGCAGTAGACAGCACTCGATCCGTCGTCTTGGGTCCAGAAGAGACGGGCTTGCAACGCACGGGAGCGGGACATGAGCGTATTGTTGCGAGACCCTTTGCACGGCAACTCGACCGACTGGATGAGCTCATAGGCACACGCTTTGCCACCTGCAGTGGTCGTGTACCCGGTTGCAATGGCGAGGATCATTTCCCGTGGACTCTTAAACATGGTAAACGGCCAATTGTGCGTATTCACGAACCGAGTGGCAGCAAGGAAGCGAAACGGTTCGTCGTGCGTCGGCGTCTCAATTGGCACGAGTTGACAGTTCTTCTCCAGTCGATGGTCCATGAGGAAAGCCCGGAGCTTGAGAATCGCAGCATTTGGTGTCATGACGGCAAATAGCACGTCGTCCAGTGAGCACTCCATTCGGCCAACGGCCGTGACTGCAAGTGGGTACTCCCATTCTTGTCTCCGCATCAGTGGGAGCCAGGCCGAGTCCGGTGTCCGATCAGCATACACCGAGACGTGGGCATTCGACTCGAGCGTTTTCCACCGTTTCTTGTCGAATCGCACTTGACTCACATCGGGTGTGGCGGCAACACCTAGTTCCACACAATCGTGCAGTGCCTGGTGAAGAAGTTGCTGCGTGAGGTCACGACAGACGTTGCCATCTGCACGGGACAATTCCATGCTCGCGACTTTTTCGTGTCACACGTGACTTGGATAATGACTGAATGGAGTGTCAAGGTAGAATCTATCTATCTATCGATCTATCTATCGGAGCTCTTCAGTTTCTCGTCGTGGTTCTCGTCGTGGTTGTCGTCGTCGTTGGGACTCAATTGGCGTCGAAAAGCTCCAGTGTAAACTGAATCCCACGGGCGCGAGACCTCCGTCGTCCCGCTCCGTACAGAGCCGCGCCACTTCCGCGGGAAGGGGATGGCACCGAATCACTACGACTTCTCTTCTCTTCATGCACAAGAGAGATGCGACACGTCCGTCCGTCCGTGGCATGACCGTCCCTTGCAAGTGACGACACCCGCGGGTGTCGCTTCAACCGCAGGGAACAACGGCCTTGCTGGAAATGATTGAGGCAGGTCAATGGCACTTTCTCCATGTACACGAGGGAACCTCGATAGCGGGCACTCCTATATCCTCACGAGGTGGGACATTACGTGATTGATCCCTTCCCTTGTTGGCGCTACTCGCATTGATTCATTCATTCATTCTAGACTCATCGTCACTTGTGCATGTTCATAGCCTACTTGACGAGCTCATGAGCTCGTTCCTCGTCCTGAACGTCACCCCTGTCTGCCTGATGGTGTTTTCCAGAGCAGTCACTACGGACTGCTGCATTGACAGTCATGACCTACCTCGGAAGCAACGCGTCAGCAGCTGCTACAGCAACAGCGGACCGTCTGAGCTTGTCGCTGACGCACGCCATGCCAATGGATTCACTTGTCGCATGTTGCAAGTGCTGGCTCGATCCCTGCGCCCCCTCACTGGATGGGCAGCATCGATTACGACAAGCAGGACGTCAGGCTTGCTCTCGAAGCACCTTTCTGTAAGCTTTTCTATTGCTATTGCTTGGTACCTGCTTGGGCCAGCACCGTCGTCGCTAACTGATCTCCTGCTTTCTATCGAGTGAGCCGCTTGTTCCTACTGTTGCTCAGTCACGATAGCTCACTCTTGTGTGCCACTGGACGTCGTGTTGCGCTTGGCCTTTCTACTGGTTTCGTCACTGCAGGTGGCGATTGCGCTGGACTCGTCTCTGGTCAGGAACCGTTGCAAGAGGTCAAAGTGGTTCCTGGACCAGATAGATAGATGCACGAGTCCCATTGCGGCACTTGAAAGGTCCGTTCATGGCCCATATCCATGACGTCCACGTCGTCCACTCAGGATAATGATGACCTGCGCTTACGTAGCTAGAGATGCTGGCCACATTGTCGCCTGTCCTGCGTGTGTAGCGTAGTGAGATTTACCATCCATGGTAATGAACGGATGAGCGCTCCTCTGGCTCCGTGCAACGGTACACTGCAGATGCGAATCATCCGTCCAACAGCCTCAGTAGTCGATCTAGCGGCGTCACGAGCAACGCCGGACATGTTTATCCATCTTCTTGTCCATCTTTACGGACGGAACTTGTGTCTACGATCGTCATGATGATCTTACACTGACACGAAAGCCGTCCGCAGCATGACCTCCTTGATCCATTGCAGCAGTGCATTCGAACCCCGTCACGAGCTTTGCATCACTCGTGACGCTCTCAGTGTAATGGACATGTAGCTGGCCTTGGGAACACATACCTCAGCATGACATGGAAGTGGTGTCCACGAAGCACAAATGACAGCTTCACTCACTTCATGCAGGTTTACATGCCTTCAGCTCCTGCGCAAGTGAACAAAAGTGAGAGATGAACAGACCTTGCAGTCAACGCTGACCTTCATACGTGTACATACATGTATGTGAATTTAATAGCACTCCAAGATACCTACCTAACGAGCGTCGAAGAGCTCGGAGCGCGCGACGCTGACTGCACTAACGTTTCGTGCAAAGAGAATGCACCGTGGACACAGCGCGAGCTCTTTCTCGCAAATGCTGGCGCCCTCACTAACCACTGCCATGACTTGACAAGCTGCTCGACAGTACGACTTCCAGCAGAGCCAGACGTCGCAGAGGCCACACCGGTTGTCGTCCATTTTCCTCGGGCCACCATCGACGAGTGGCAACGTATTGGCTCCACATCCGCCACAACTTGCCAGGCCGCCTCCCATGACTTGTACTTGACTCGGTTGTAGCAGCTCGTGGCACAACACGCGTTTGTACTTGAGACACCAGCGCAGCTTCTTGGTCTCAATGCAGCGAGGAATGAACTTCCAGAACCGCAGGACGCCACGGCAAAGCATCCCGAGCTTCACCGACTCGGGTAAGCGATTGCGGATGTCCACCACGAGCTTGCTGTACATGCCTACCGTGCCATCCGGTTCTTCCCAGAACACACGGGTCTCCAGCACTTGTGTACGTGCCATGGCGGTCTTCCGATGCACTGGAACGGACAGCACAATCTCGTACCCGAACCGTCTTCCATTTGCAGTCACGACTTCCCCCGTTGCAAGTGTGAGCACCATCTCGCGAGGACCGACGAACATGGTCAAGGGCCAGTGCTGCGTATTGACAAAGCGCAAGACCCCAAGGAATTGGAACGGAGAGGCTTCAGTTGAGCTCACAATGGGCACGAGCTCAATGTCTTGTTCAGGACGTCGACCCATGAGTAAACCCCGGAGTCGAATCGTTGCGACGGTAGGAGTTAGGAACGCTAATAGCAAGTCATCGAGCGAGCGATGCAGGCGCCCAACCGTAACAACTGCCACGGGTTGTTCCCAGTCGCCTCGATTCATAACGGGGAGCCAAGCCCCACTGAGAGTCCGATCCGCATACACAGTCACATCAACATTGGACTGCAGTTTTTTCCACCGCCTGCTGTCCAAGTCCGCGTGACTTCCCGTGTGCGTAGTGCCTAGACCCAGTTCTTCGCAGTCGTAGAGCGTGCGATCGAGAAGTTGCATGGTAAGGTCTCGACAGTCTTCTTGGTCTTGCAGAGTCAACTCCATCACGAGGAACCTACCTACCTACCTAATCTACCTACCTAATCTACCTACCTGCCGTCTGCTGTCGAAGAAGAAGAGGAAGTGGTTGCGAGTTGTTCAATGCACTTTTGATAGCGACTGCACCCTCGCGTCAATGAGATTTGTGGCGGTCGAGTAGAGAACTAAAAACGCTCACGAAGCCATGACGTCGCACGGTCGTGTGCTGGACAAGTTTTTTGCTCTTCTTGATGAGCGGAGAACGCACTTGTCGAGAGAGCTCCACCGCAAATGAGGACACAGTAGCCGCTCTTTTTTTTCAGTCGATTGAGAGCGTGTAGAACTTGCACTTGGGTACAGGACGAGCATTTCTACCCATGCATACCTTGAAACGGCGTCGCGAGCTCGTGTCGTGTGCTTTATTACTCATCTTGTACAAGTGGAACACATTTGCTGGATCGTAGTCGACAGAGAGAGAGAGAGAGAGAGAGACGGAGAGAGAGAGAGAGAGAGAGACGAGCTGACTCACTCTTTTGAGCACGCAACGACACGAGACGCAACGTCAAGAGGTGCAACTCTTCCGACGACATACATGCTCTTTTTTTCCAGAGATCAGTCAACTGTTGGCTGGTGTTTGGTCGGAAAACGTAGGCCTAGCTGTCGTAATGAGAATGAAGGAGAGATGCCGTGACACATGTGTGAGAAGAAGGATGTAAGATTCAACTTTTCATGGATCTACCAATGCGGGATGCATGGATATCGATGTACCCGTTCAAACGGCTCAAGTTGAGGCTATTGCCAGCTAAGGTCGACGACAACTACTTCCAGCTCCTATTTCTGTGGAAGAGTCAAGTCTTTTTTGCGTCTTCGATGACGACGATCTCCAAGTCGCACGACTTCTTCACTTTGTACGACAATGTCAATTGGAGACCAAACAGTTTGCAGGAGCGAAAAGAGCACGAGAAAAAAGTACATGGCAAAGTTGAGGCGATCGATAGGTGTAAGTACCATCTACTCGCGTAAAAGCCTGGATCCCTCACTTATTCCTCTTCTTTGGTGCAACTGGAAGCGTGAGACCGATAGGCAAACCTCGCTGTCGAATGGAAGCAACTGATGCATATTAGAAAAGGGAGCAATGACGTCGACTAGGACGGCAGTGACATGGCTACGTGCCGCCCATCGCCTGAAAATCTTTGCTTGGTTTGCTTCCGGAACAAGTCAAAGGCGCGCTTAAGACGGGACTACTATTGACTCGTCAATACTTTGACTGCTTCAATTACAGACCTACGCGAACGACCGTAAGGCTCATCGAGCGCCCGTAACAAGCCACATCCTGTTGTCGAAAGTCTCACTCAGCCTTTATGCGGTTTTCCAGGATCTGTTCGCGCTTCGAAAATAGAGATACGACGTCCACTCATCTCAATAGAGTCGTGCGGATAGCGTGCTCTAAATTCCTCGTCTCGCTTTTTTTCGGAGACTTTGGTCGTGTCGCACATTGCACGCAAAACCTTCGATACAAATTAACAGTCAAAGTATTGACATCAAGTCAAACTCCCGACGTACAAGTAGCTCCTCAAAATGGCTCGTCACAAGAAAAAGCAACGATCAGCATCGCGCCAGGACGAAGCTGCCGCTCGGCGAAATTTTCTCGACGCTCTTGAAGCTCAACGGTCCAATGCCCGCAGCAAAGTGAGCGAAACCTGTGACGAAAACGTCAAAGCGACGCCTCCAGGGGTCCCACTTCCAGGTTTTTACTATGACGAGGACAAGTGCCGCTACTTTCGGTCTTCCTTCGAATCCGAGCGCCATCGACGCCATCAACTGGAGCAGCAGGAGCAGGAACGACAACGTGTCGTAAAAGAGTGGGACATCCATGGTCAACTTCAGCACCGTCCTCGAAATGGGGTCGTCACGCGTCACAAGAACTGGGTGACGTCTCTCTCTCAACGACAGCGTGACTTCACTTGGAGTGCATGCAGTCGAGATCAACGTGATTTGATGCCTCGCTTTCTGTCCAAGCTGCTGGTACGTTGACTGCTGAATGGTTCTTTTCTTTCGTGTTGTGGTCTGATGGTCCGATGACGACTTCCTGATCCGTTGGCAAATTTGATGTTCTTCTTGCCATAGTCTTCGCAGGTAGTTGAATTCCAGGATGTGGAATGGACTGGTCGGCTCACGGCATTGGCGTTGCATTCACGGGATACCGATCTCGGAGCTGTGGGTGGTGGGTGTTAGGGCAGATAGCTTGTCGAACGAGTGCACTGGTTCGAATCGGAGTACTGCTACTCATGTTTTTTTTGTCTTGGTGGTTGGTTGGTTGCTGACATCTTAGCCAGCAGTGGCATGGTGGAGATCCTCGGGATGCGGAAAGTGCCGCCGGAAGATGGACAAGCCACACCTTCGCGACTAACACATCCAGTATATGATTTTGCTGTGGACGGGGTCGTAACTTCTTTGCAGTGGCGCCCAGTGCAAGAGCTCGCGTTGCTGGCATGTCATCTCGGATCTGGCCAAAGCAGTAGCTCACAGACGTCGTCAGGAAACGTGTGGTTTCTCCCAATGCATGGTCACGACCGCAGTGAGGCTACACCCTCGTCAATAGCACCCACAAAGGTTTGTGGTGATTGTGTACAGCATTTTGCCTTCGTCATACGTCACCAGGCAACGCTCGTTTGTGCTTCTGCTGTTCTTATGGTGATAGCGAATGAAGTTTGTCGACCCATGGACAGCACAATGGTCCGTGCGTGTCGAGTTTTGTGCAGCAGTATCGATGCTTATTGACGCACTCGTTTGTCCATCTTTCGTCTTGACTCTTGACAATGCAGGAACCCGACCGAACCCAGCAAGTTTAGTGTCGGATGTGGCGAGTGCGTCGTCACGCTTTGTCATTTTTCCACGTTAATGTCGTCACTTCTGAACCTTGTGGATCGTGCATCAGGTCGTCAGGCGCTGCGTACGTGGACATTGTTGCAAATACCGATGATTTCCAGCGCGCTCCAACTGGAGCTCTTACGAGCGACGTCCATGCTCAAAGCTTATTCAGCACGGTGAGGTTACATTACATCTCGCTGTTTTGTTCTGCGCCTCATATTCCTCGAGAGCTCTTGACCATTATTGTTCACGTAGGGCCACGTCGTGCTGAATGGGACGAAGAGCGGCGGGTGGTGGGGCTGGGATATCCGAGCTCCTCGTCGAATTTTTGAACAGGAAGCAGAGACTTGTGCAGGTCAACCTGCAGGCTCGATTCTCGATATTCACGTACTGAGCGATTGTCGAAGAGCTGTAGTGCAGCGATCGAATGGAGAATTACGAGTCATGGATCTCCGGACGTTTCGACCGGTGCTGGAGTTCGTGCAAGGCGCAACAAAACGCTATTTGCCAAGTTTGCGCTGTGCGGTCGACAGCAGCGAGTCAATTGTTGTCTCGGCTGGTGATGCAAAGCATCCACAGGCAGTAAACTGCTTCGATCTTTACAGTGGACGCCGTGTCGGGTCAGTTGAGGCCCAACATGCGCAGCAATTAGAGCACAGCTCGGCACCTGTGCAACAAGTGCAATTGAAATCGGATCAGCATGGAAGTCGCTGCGCAGACAAGTATCACGTGTGGGCCATATCTCGTAACGCACTTTATGTTTCCAGTAGGCGGACCACTAATCAGACAATGTGATCCGTCGATGTTCTCATCGAAGCCAGTAACTCCAGAATGTGTTTTTGGCAGGTCCAAGTGAATGAGCGCTGTAAGCTGTAGATCGTCTCTTGTCTTCACGGATCCCCGAATAGTTCGAGCTGCTTCACACGAATTTGACAACGCCGTGCCGGCTTGGCCCAACCATCTCGCTCAGTTGACAGCCGAAGTATTTATCATCTGTAGCTGTCCCGAGAGAGGTAACTCAAAAAGCCGAGAGCGCCGTGATACGTACATGGACGTGGTTTGAAACATGGTGCCCACAACGAATCCCATGTTTCGAGCGAATCGAGACTGAATGACTGCCACATCTCCCAGTGACACCATGACATCAGGAGATGCGGCTTCTTGCCCCAATGGCTTTTTACCTCTGCACTCATTCGTCTATGAAAAGCATGTGGTCTGGACGGTCGTAGCTTGCGTTGACGTCCATCGGTAAGTGCTTCCAGGCGCTCCGAATGACCAGCTGCGCAGTAATTTCGGTCGCGACTTCTGTAATAAGACTTTTGATGGTCACCTGAAAGTATCGGGTAGAGCTCACCATGTCTGGGCTCACCATGTCTGTGGATATACGAGCAGTTTGCGCTCGTGAGGGTTTATTCGAACCAAGAAAGAACGAATGCCAGCAGGAGCCCTCTCGATCCACACGAACATAGCGATGCGGTTGTCGAGCAGCTACAATGTGCAGCCTACCGTTGCAAGCACAGTGTTCTTCACTCCGACTTCACCTGGTAGTTGCATGCTCATGTGGCGGTGAGGCATGACGCGGCAATGCCGACGAAATGCAACTTCCAGCGGTACCCACTCCCAAAGCCAGCTTCATTAACTGCGCTCTCTTCTCCATGGCCTGCCAAGATGAAGCAAAAACACACGACAAAATCAGCTCGAAGAATGTCTTGCACCAAAACTGGTACTCATTTCACACTGCTTGCTTCGAACAACTCGAAGTCGAGAGCCAGTTGTGGCAATCACAGCACAGGCTGACTCGCACGTTACAACCGGAAATCGTGCAACGATTTCGGAATGCTTGCAATAATCTCGATCATCGCGTCTTCCCTGTTCACTGCCGATCAACCCCTCATCAACACTTTCGCATCTTTTGCGGAGCCGATCAGCAGCTTGAAGTCCATCGGTCTGTACAATACAGGCTAGAGACAGACATCCGTAGACCGCTTCTTCGAACGATCCACTGACACCGGACAGGATTGAGAATGTTTTTGCCACCATTGCTCACTCTTCCAACATCCTGCAAGAAAAAAAGGACGTTGTTAACAGCAAGGAAGACAACCTGTAGTTGCAGCATAAGCCCCGTCATATGGCTGGTTAATCATTGAGTTAGAGGTAACCCGCAGACCCGACGCCCTCCCAGGCCATTGTGGACAAGTCTTCGCCCAGGTCGGCCGCCGAATCGTCGTAATGATTGATGCTGGGTTGGTACGTCGCTGAGGAATTGGCCCGGCGTGCTGAAACACCTACTTTCTTTCTCACTCTCTTGGGCTTTATCACTTTTTCACCAGCCGAAGAAGCTGGAAAACGGCAGCAACAAACAACCAGTTTACCAAGTCAACCATCGGAAGTAGTTCCCGTACATTACCATACCTCGTCGTTGTGCAGCTTCCGACTTCCTCTTTTGACTACCTCGACCTGCCTTGCCACCGCGTGAGGAAGATGTGGACCTCCGACCTGCTTCTCTTTGAGCAACGTCTCGCTTGCGCTTTCGTGACTGTGTTTGCCTTGTTGCGAGACGGTCAGCATAGGACTTATTGGACCTGTGACACGATAATGGCACCCTTAGGAGAAGTTGCCAAAGAGCTACATTGTGACTACAACTTACCTCTGGCCTGCAAACATTTTGCTATAGTTGATGCAGCAGCCGTAGTCAATACGCATGTCTTCCAAGCACACAAAGTGCTTAAACTCCTTTAGATCAGGACGCACGTTTTGTGAACGTCGATTGGTCACGGACATCATCGGCTGCTTACAAATGACAGATGTAATATGGAGCACAAGAGGGGTGAGTTTGAGCCGAGAGCTGTGCATTGGATGCTAAATGTCTTACTTCATGATCATCGATCTCTTCAGCAAATCCAGGATCGAAGCCAGCAACTTTTTGCGGTACTTCATACTTACCGTTCGGCGTCAAACATGCGTGTGCATTTACAGGGATTCTAGGCGAAGACCATACACACACAAATCGGTCAGCGCATGATGCATCAAGCAATGGCAAATCAACCGACGCATACAAGAGTATAAACCGTACTCTTTCCTGGCAGCATAATCGGAATTGCGAGCTGGAGGACTCGAGCACAGGTCGACGAAATGGCTGTCAGGAGTCTTGTCTTCGAAATCACAGTGAATCAACCAGAGCGTCAATATCAATCCGACGCAAAACGTAGCGAACGCAGAGCAACTTACCAGTTGGCAGACTTGTATTGCAGATCTCACATCGCGTATCGCTCAGCAAGTTGATATTCGTGCAAACTGGACACTCACGTCCACTCTTTCCCGCGGGCTCTTTCGGTTCCTCCTCTCGCAAACGATCACAAACCTCGCACCGTGTAGTACTGCCTTCATTGATTGTTGTGCAAACGACACACGCCCACGTTCTGTCCGAGCGACCGTTCAGCGCTCCATCATCCGTCTTTCGTAGACTCAGACACACCAGGCAGTCGTTTACCTCAGGAGGATTCAGATTCGTGCAGACATGACACGCCCACCTCAAGCCTGATCCAATAACTCTCTCAGTCTCGTGATGCTCATCCCGTTGTCGTTTGCAGCTGCAAATTGTGCATTCCACCGCACTTTCTTCGTTAAAGTTTGTGCATGTCTTACACTCCCACTTATTCATCCACGACTCCTTCACCTGATTGCTCTGCCTCAAGTGCTTCCGTGATGCTGTCTTTTCCTCCTCCGAGTCACTTGACAAATCCAGTCCTGCACTCGACAACTTCTCGTCGATTCCTCGCCCTTCTACTTGCACAAGTTTGCTAGCCGGCATGAAGCCAGGATACCGCAATGCGGACGACGTGACCACCACCTCATCATCTGCATCACCTGCTTCAATCAATTCATGCTTTTCTCGATGCTTCGTCTCGTCCGCAACGCAAGAATCATCCACGGTATTGTCGATAAGTGGAGCACAAAATATGGCAGCTCCTGACCCCAGCAGATCAAAGCAAGGCTCGTCTATTGCCAAGTCCTCTTCTTCCTCCTCTTCCTGTCTCGCCACTGCATCTCCCGACTCCACTATCGACCGTACAGCCTCCAATGACGTGTCACACATTGCACCGCCTACCATTTCGACTGGTTTCACAGCACTTTCCACTGTAGTAGAGTCCAAATACCGCTCAATCATGTCCGTCTCGAGCATCTCGTGCCTCTTTTTCTGCATCTCTCGATCAATTGATCCTTTTCCCGTCCACTTTCCACATCGGCGATTCACAACAAGTCTTAGCTCTTCTCTCCATAAAGCACTGGTGTCTTTACTGCCTTGGTTGTATGGTAAAGAGCTAAAAAAGACGCCTCGAACTGGACGATTGACTTGATCCTGCACTGTAGACACCGTAGCGACACCCACAGTGGACTGCTGATACTCAGATTTTTGGGACTTCTGGACAAGAGGCCGCGCATTGTCGCAAGCTGCACAGCGGGCATCATGAGCCGCGTTGAGCAGCGTACACAGCGGACAACTCCAGTCTTCAGCTTGCCATCGAGTGCGCGCCATTTGGACGACTTGAGCAATAATCGGAGGTGTGAAAAAGTAATTGATCTGATTGGCCAATAATATTATCAAAAGGGTGCTAGCCAATTAAAAAGCGTGCTGGTCAGCCGACTTAAATGACGTGCAACAACTGGTGCACGGGATAATTCCGTGAAAACAGCTGTCGACTGCAGTAATGGCTACACTATACGTCAGTGAGCCAGTCGTGCTGCAAGAGCTCTGCTGCTGTAAGACGCGACTCAACAGACACCTCCAACATGCTCTGCACAAAGTCTTTCGCTGCCGGAGAGACGGCGTCCCATTCGCGTTGGTCGTACCATACTGCACCGAGACTGATGAGCTTAAACAACTCCGTCTCGTTCCTTGCTTCATGGAACGGGACCAAACCACTCAACATCATGTAAGCGAGGATCCCCGTGCTCCAAATGTCTGCTGGTGTCCCGTATCGACGTCCAGACACGATCTCAGGGCTTAGGTATTGCGGAGTGCCACACATCGTGAGGAGGCGGCGGTTGCCGAGCCCCAGCTCCTCCGACAGCCCAAAGTCGGCGAGTTTCACCGTGAGCAAGCCGTCTTCGTTTGTACACAGCAGGACGTTCTCCGCCTTTACGTCTCGATGCACTTGGCCCATCGAGTGACAATAGTCCAGCGCAGTTAGCGTCTGTTTCAAGATCCTCTTGGCAACTTGCTCTGGAACAACCTTGTGCTCGTTAATCAAGTTACGGACACTGCCGTAGTTGCAGAGCTCAAGCACAAGCAAGAACTTTCCATCTTCATTGTAAAAGCCATGATGGGCAATCACGTGCCGATGTTTCAAGCGGTTGAGCGCTCCCACCTCAGCAATCAACATCTCTCGTCCTTCCACTGTCAGCTCGTTGTCCGGAATGACTTTCACCGCAAACTGCTGCCCCGTCTCACGGTGCGTGACTTCACTAACACTAGAGAATTTGCCTGACACGAGCTCCCGTCCAAGCTCGTACGTGTCGTGAAAGTCCGCCCCACTCGCTTCGACCATTGATAAGGCCCCGTCATAGTTTTTAATGTGAGCGCGTTTCCCTCCGAGCGTGTGCACGGCACGTTTCGAGAGAGCAACGGCGTGGTCACCCATACTACTCACAAAGTCATAGATCCGTCCTCCTTTTTGTCCCTCACTAGGTGGTAAATGGGAAAAGCACCAAGACGTCGAGTTCTCGTCCACTTCAATGCAATTGTCAATGCCAGCGAGACGCATGACTTGCTGCAGGTCTCGACCGCTCACGTGGGAGCCACGGACAGTTGCCCACGAACGTGGAGGGAGCACGCCCTTGGGCACTCCCTGTTTTTCTAGATCACTCTGTGGCATTAGCCGGATGACTTTGGCACCTGGACACAAGAGCCCCTCGACCTCTAGAGCGGGTAGGTCCCCCATAAGGCTCACGTACAGTGTGTGGGCGTTTGTAGCCTGAGCAGCGAGCGCTTTCCGAGCGTCAGTGCCGAGGAAAATGAGGTCACAGTCTGCGAGCACATCGCGATTCGCGTCTGTGGTCGTGAAGCCAAGACGAGTAAAGACGCGACGACGCTCTTCAGATGGGTCCGAAGCGAGCAATGTGGACACGAGGCGCTGCTTGTTGTAGCAGAATTTACGCTGTGGGGCCACGTGCTTGATGAGGCTGCGGGCGACGCGTTCAGCCAATCGACCCGAGCCAATGAAACCGACACTGACGACGGTCATGTGGCTTCGACTGGGCAAATTGAAAAGTGAGGAGCTCAGGAGACCGGTGGAAAGGTGCACGCTGGCCTGTCTATGACGCATCGGAGAGTGGTATGGTGATGCTAAATCAGTAGTACATCGACATGGACTGGGGTTGAAGGTAGAAGGGTAAAAAGTGTTTGACTATTTGTTCGAAAAACGAGGGAGAGATCTTTTCTTTTGAGGAGCCGTTTCGTTCTAGGGTTTTTGCTCGGGTTTGCGGATTTGCAGGTCATGACCGTCACGAAATTAAGGACGATACCTAGATACGACTCGAATTAACGAAAAGAGACTTGGACGGGTTTACAGGTAGGCTTTGAAAGGCTCTGCGTTTCATACGGTTTGGATATGAAAACGGCAGCTTATGCAAGGAACGTGCAGATAAAAATCCAAAAAACAACGTTGGCTATTATGCGAGAATGAAGTCAATAGTCTGTTGCTATCGCCGTAAAAGCCGTTAACCATTTGGCTCACTGACCCTCGTGTTCGTCAATGATTTGTATCGGCTGCAAATCAGGCGGTGGTCGGTCAGATTTGCACACTCCTTAATAGGAATACTACTTTCTCATATTATCATCCAGAAAAGCCTTTCCTTTGCTCGGTAAATTACGAAACAGAAGACCTCTTGATCTGGTGGGAGGAGGAGGAATGGGTTCTGTCGTATCATCACCCTTTCCCGGCCGGGTTACCTGCGCTCGATCCTCAACAGTGTGCGCTACATCGCTTTTGGGGGACACTAGGCTGGAGTAATAACCCGTGGATCCAGGACGGCAATGGCCTTCCGTTAAAATCCGCTACCTACGACCGGATCGCGATCTGCCCCATCTCGGACCTGCACATTCGGCGAACAGGGCCAACTGAATTTATTTTTCGCATTAAGCCGGTTGGACCCCGATCTATTCACCACTCGCAGCCTAAACTCCGTCGGTGGGCGACGGCAATCTTGCTGGCATCCCCTACGTTTCCCATTGGGGGCGAATTAGCGCTCGAACCTGAGCTGGTTCTTCGCCATGCACCACCTTTTCGACATGAATGGACCTGGGCCTCGGTGCAACAAGGTCGAGTGGTCGGGAGGCGAGAGGGGTACTTGGAAGTCGCTGACCAGCCTGTTGAACTGCAGCAGAGTGCGGATGGAATTCGCTGGGTTTTCACCTCTCACCTACCGGAGTTAGCTACTAATTCGGACGAGGACAGATCCATTTGGGCCCTACGCCTGCGTCGTCACGGCGTCGTGTTTTACTCCCATCCCGGGCATCATGGCTTTCCTTGGGCCGTCGCCGAGTCGGTCGCGAATTTAGCTATACGAAAAGCAATTTCACGCCTGGCGTTCACGTTTCACAAAAGACTTCTTGCAGTCGCATTGCGACCGCTGGTGCGGCGTCTGGACGCCGTCTGTGACTTCGATCAGTGGCAGCGGGCTGCCGCAAACCAAGACCCGGCACACGTTTGGAAGCATGCCAATGGCCTTTCCGACCACCAGGTCTGGACGTGTTACCGTATAGCCACCAAGCAACTCAACTTGTACCATGCCGGCTGTAACGGGGTGAATTGTACATAACAATTTATAAGAAATTGTTAATAGAATATAACTATAAGAGTTATATTCTCAGAATATTGTCATAAGGACAATATTCTGTAGCACTTCCAAGTAGTTCCTAATTGGTTGATATAGGCCATTATATCAACCAACGAAGACGCGCCACGACAGACGCACGCAATGAGTGGTGAGCAGATAACTGATTTACACATTTGTATTTAGACATAGTTAGATGAAGATAAATAGTGATTTATTGCAGACATTAACTATTATAAATACAGTTCTACTTTTTACTCTAACCAAGTACTCGCTTCTTCTTACCGTCTTCCTCTGCACGTACGAGTGTACGTGAAGTTACGAGGCACCGCCTTATTCTGTTATCAGAATAAGTAGCTTGTACTGTCACCAGTACAAGCTTCAGGGTGCCCCGTTACACCGGCCGTCCGGCGGACAATAGTTGCCGGGCGTTATCGGCGTGTCACGGTTGCAAAGAAACGTCGGTTCACATCTTTTGGGACTGCCCCAAGGCGCGCGCGTGCTGGGGTCAACTCATTACCCATTGGACAGGTGAACGGGCTGGGAGGCCGTGGGGAGAGCGTAGGTTCGTCGGGAGTGTGAATCGTCACGCGCCGGAGATACCGTCCAAGCAGCGTCTTCGGATTTACCATATGCTCCCGGAGGACTTAGAGGCTGGTGTCGCGGTTTGGAAGCGTCTCTGGTTTATTATGAGCAGCATTTGTCTGACCCACTTATGGAATGAGCGGAACGACGCGGTTTTTCGAGGAGTGCAGTCGACGCCTCTCCACAGCGCCGCCCGTTTTTGGGCGCTGGGAATTCGACATCTTACCGCATTAGCGAAACGCGAACATCGCGGTCCCGCCACAGCTGTCGCCGGGGCTATCATGCATACCTGTATCGACCTCTTTATTCTCGAACCTCGGGATGGGCCGATACCTTTAGGTGACAGCCACGACAAGCTACCAGTTCCGGAGCTATTGTCTTGGCTTAGAAGTTTTCAGACATCTTTAGCATAATCATATGTTAATAGACGGTCATGAAATCATCATCATCAAGACCTCTTGATCTCTGAGAGCGCCTTGAAAATAACATATCCGATCAAATCTGCCATGATACAAGCACCACTTAGCGCTAACATGTAATTCACGCATAAAAGGCCGCGCGACTCCACACTAGACATACCTTTTATGCGTAAACTAGTTCATCGCAGTCCTTACCTTTGAAACGACAGTTGGTACAAGGCGAAACATGCATACGCGTTGTTCATACTAAGTACAGCATACATCATCTATAATCAATGTAAACATCTTGGCAAATACCAAGACCTTTGCCACTGACTGGACAGGCAAACAACTTCTGCAGTTGATGGTCGATCGAGTTCAGCGAGCAAAAAGCACGCTGTCTATAGCCTTGTAGCATCTTCCTTAACCTTCATCGCAGGAAACATAATAACCTCCTGCAGACAGAACGAGGCAGCAGTCACACAAAACATAATTAGTGACGTTACGTGTTCAATTGCAACTTCCAACATGTTCTACTGCAACTTCCAACATGACCCACGTACGTACCCGAATGTGCGTCTTGCCCGAAAGCAGCATGACCAAGCGGTCGACGCCAATACCGAATCCACCTGTTGGTGGTAAGCCATACTCAAGCGCCGTGCAAAATTCATCGTCCTTGCTATGCGCCTCACTGTCGCCGCGCTGCTGATCCGCCTGCTGGGCTGAGAACCGCTGGCGCTGGTCGAAAGGATCGTTGAGCTCCGTGTACGCGTTGCATAGCTCTTTGCCTGCCACAAAGAGCTCAAAACGCTCAGTTACGCCCTCTTGCTCACGATGTGCTTTGGCGAGCGGACTCATGCACGTCGGGTGGTTGTACAAGAACGTCGGCTGCACGCACTTGGGTTCGATGAAGTGTCCAATGAGCTTATCGACCAGGCGAGCGCATGTGTGCGGCTTGGAGCATTCCACTTTATGCTGCTCGCACAGCTGCAGCAGTTTCGGGATAGAATCTAGTACACATGTGCAAAAACATGATGAGCATCATAGGTTCTCTGGAACAACATGCACACAAATATACCGCCATCGTTACCTGGTGAGTTCACGTCCGGGAGCTTGTCACCTAGATACTCTTCGAGTGTCTCCAGGACTGGAAGACGCTTGTAGGGTGGCGTAAAGTCAATTTCGACCATCGATGGTTTGTCATCAGACCTCTCAACGGTCTCATTGCTAGCGTCTTCAATAGGGTACTGTATAACGCACGACCCGGTCACGTCCTTGGCGATACCCGCGATCATCTCCTCTGTCGTATCCATGAGGGTGTTGTAGTCCGCGTACGCCTGGTAGAACTCGCAGATGGTAAACTCTGGATTATGCGTGGCATCAATGCCCTCGTTCCGAAAGACCTTACCGATCTCAAAGACACGGTCAAACCCACCGATGACAAGCTGTTTCAGAAACAGTTCCGGTGCAATGCGTAGATACAGCTCCTTGCCAAGTGCCCGCGAGTCCGTCACAAACGGCTGAGCAGCTGCACCGCCTGCCGCCGAGAACAGCATTGGCGTCTCGAATTCGACAAACTTGCGGCTTTCAAGATACCCACGAATTCCACGCACAACTTTTGCGCGTAGCTCAAAAATCGACCGCACGCCTGGATTCGTCAGCAAGTCCAGATACTTTTTCCGGAAGCGGATTTCCTACCCACATCAGAAAAACCAGCCATCATCATTAGCATGCATGCACTGGTCCGCTCACCCACTTCTCTCCCCACACCGAGCTCTGTGGCTTCAACTTACTGGTTCTTTGATGCCGTATTTGCTATTCGGAAAAGGCTGGAGACAAGGTGCCAACACCTGCAACTGTCTTGGAATTATACTCAATTCGCCTTTTCCAGACTTGCCGGGAAACCCCTTTACGCCAATGATATCACCACGACGGAGACTCTCGTGCAGGGCTCGGAACTCGCTCTTCACCGTATCGGCATTGCGACTGCTATTGGACGGAGCAGCCCCATCACCTTCTGATCCTTGGAAATGCTTCACCTCGGACAACACTTGCACCGTGTAGCCATCACTTTGTAAATCCAGGAACACGAGGTTCTTGCTGGCGTGACGAATGGCCACGACGCGTCCTGTTAGCCACACATAACATTAATCCGTCATAACCTTAACCTGTATATACACGACCACTATGCTGAAACAGCACCTAGCAATACTGTATTTGACCTGCTAGTGCTACCGACTCGTCCGTGCATCGAGCTCGGGCTTCGAGCGCTTGGAACTTGAGCTGATACTCCTGCAATGACATCGACACAGGAAAGGAATGCGGGTACTGCTCGAACGCTGGTATGTCTTGGAACCGTTGCATGGCATCAGTAACTAATGCAGAAGGCACTGTCCCGGAGAGCAGCCGTCGACCATGGCGTAGCCACACGTTGCGCAGCATTCTTAACGTGCTTTAGATAGGATTAGGACGAGTCGATCAGGGTCACGTTCGGCTGTGGCGCTAAACCAGCAATACACAGTATAAAGGTAAGCGTGACCTCGATCGCAGTTTTTCTATCCTGCTGAACCGACACGACGGTCTTGAAAGCCATAAATTCAATGACTACCACGTAAACAGCTTAACCCAATCATCGATTACGTATAACAGAGCCTGACTACCCGCTAAGTGACATTTCTTGCACAATTTCACCATTTGCAACAATGTCCGAGCAGCTCCAATGGAGGAAATTCAACTTCTTGAAGCCAAAACGAGTGGACCTGTCTTCGGACCATTGGCTCAGCTCTTATCTGCAGCGTTATGACGTTCCAGACGTACATGCCATGAGAAGTCGGGCATCAGCTTCCCGATAGGAGTCACACGTGCCTTGCGTCCCATCGCAGTCCCGGCTGAGTCGCAAGGGATATCAGCTGCCCCGAAACTTGTCCATTGCCATGACTTGAATCACCACATGCCTCACCTCCGTCGCCGCAAATACCTTCACGCTGGAAGTCAAAAACTGGCGCACAGCTGGACCTCTGGCTTGGCAGCACGTTGTATGTTGTCGCGGTCCATCGTCGCAACGGAGGTGGGCTACGGGACGTTGTCGTTACCGCATCGAAAAGCCTGTTCGCTTCGTGTATCATTTAGCATGTCATTCACTGCCGACCCCGTTGCCTCACACGTCACATGACACGACAGTATAATTTGGTTGCAGCTTTGCATCCGCTGGTCGATAATATGCACATCCTCACGCTTCGTCTGCGCTAATCGACTGGATCGCCATTTTGTAAGCGCGCAACGAGTATGCAGGTGACGTCTTCCACCAGCGTACTGTGCCACAGCTTCACACCCGTTTTTATCTCAAATGACTCGCGAGCCTCTTCTTTCAAGCATCGACTGCTCTCCATTTGCTGATGTCGTTCTATCTGGAATGATAGCCGTTATATCGCGTATGGCAAGCTCTTTTAGCGCGACTTCTTAGCATAGCCGATCCATCCAGCACATATATCCATCGTTTGCCCTCCACCGGAGCAACCTTTGCCAATGAGCTTGAGCGTGCGTAATCACGATTCTCACTGTTGTTGTAAGCCCTGACAGCAAGACAGTGTTATCAAGAATGATCCTAAACTGTTCGAACACAATCAGGCGCATTCGCCTGCACACAAACAATGGCGCGTGTCTGGCCGTGCTAAGCCAACGGGCTTCAACGAACGAATAAGCCGTACCCTCCGTCGACAGGGCCATCAATCAAGATCCATGCCCATAAAGTTAAGCACCGGCGACCCTTCAAGCCCTAGCATACACGTGAAACTCCAAGACTCTCCGACTGCAGTATAGCAGGTTCGTTTGTCAACCTGCGCGCCGCTGGGTCTGTTAGATAGTGAAGAGTTTCTTCAGTATGACCTCGCCACTCGTGACCGTCGTTCCACCAAGAATAATTTGGTACTTCTTGTTGTCACTCAGCGCATCGTGCACTTCTTGAATCTACAAAAAAGCATTGTCAGCTCTAATCAGGTGCGTCACTCTTATACACGACTCGCATTACACGACAAGAACACACCTCCTTGAAGGTGATACCTCCCACCACAAACACAATCAGGGTGCTTGAATCGTCCAGTACTCGTCTGCCGTCGGCGCTGTGTTGGTCACCCGCACTTCTACTCCCAATGCCAAACCCAAACTTGTTGAGACCGCTCTTGAGAAGATCAATGCCTGCACGCGTTAGCTGTTCAGACGCATCAACAACCTGCATTGCGTCATTGATAAACAGCGAATGTTGATGTTAGATATATTTGCAAGAGCGACACAGACGAACAGCATCCGCGCACACTTACGTGCTGAATCTCTAAACTAGGCGCTCCTGCCGGATCCATGATAGAACTACACAGCTGCGCAATCATCGATTGCGGGGCGCTTTCGGTCGAAAGGTTCGCTCCTCTATCGTGAATCCTTACAAACTGGTCCAAACAATCCTGCGACAATAAAGACAGAGGTCAATGACTCGTCAGCAAAACTAACGCGTGCGCACTACAACATGGATCTCAGCACTACCTCTAGGGATTCGATCACATTTCCAACGTAAGTTTCAACGACAAGCTTCGCCTCAAGCACATCACCACTGCGCCTGTCAAAGATTCCGACCGATGCGGTCGGTGAATCGCTACCATCATTCCACTCCCAATCACCACTACCAGTCTCAACATGTTCTGGAGCAACACCTCCGTCGTCTGATCCATTCCTGGTAACGTAAGGAAGTAGCAGATCGTATAGTCTAGGCAGTTCAGACTGAACAGACGATGGGTCGGTTCTCACAGCCTGAAACAGTACAGTAAAAAAATAACATGTTAGCGTAACTTGCTCGACGACCAGACCTTAACAGGATGTACTACCTGCAGAACGTTTTCAACAAGAGCCTTGTGCATCATTTGCGTGGTGAAGTCCTCCAGTGGTACGCCAGAAGACAAGGCAAACGCATTCACCAAAAGTATCAGCAACTCATGCAGCGGAATAAGCTCGTCACTGGTTTGAGATGCACCCGAGTGCACTGCTGATGTTTGGCGTTGCATGATATCAGCAAGTTCAGGGAGAATCCACTCACAGCCGCCTTTCTTACACAGCTCGAATTGCCGCACTGCCCGCTCACGGCACATATTCCACCGCTTCTGCGATCGGTCCATCCGCTCCAACGTTTCCAAGACGATCACACCGAGCTCAACCAGAGAGCTCCATTCGAGGTTTGTAGGTTCACCGGCTTCCAATATCTTGCTAATTCGGCGCAAAACTACGTCACGCCCACGAAACTTTTCTCCAGGTCTGCGTGTGGCAGCAGACTTCTGGATTTTTTCCTGTCGAAGCAAATCCTGCTCCACAGCTTGGAGCCGCTTGTCAAGATCGCGCAGCGCGAGCTTTGCCGGCCTAAAGGCCAGCGATCGAAAAACGTTCGAGCTGCTGGGTATAGTAGGATGACAAAGACTAGCACCACCCTTCCACTTGATGCGAGAAACAAACTCTGACGGCAGATATCCAGACTCGTCATGTGTCGCAGCAGGCGGCATCGACAGTGGTGTCGGCTCGCACCCATGCAGCGGGAAAATGTCTGTCACGTTTAGCTTTCGTTGCATCTGTTATCATGCGCATCATCATCCTGTTGTCAGACCAATCATTTCAATTGCGCAAACCAGACCATCTATCGACGCACCGTGTCACTCTGTCTAGCTGCGTTTTCTCCTACAGTACAACTTGTAGGTGTCTGGGGAAGTAGGTCGAGAATACGATCAAGAAGAGAGCTATCGAATGAGCAAGGCGAAGCTAGGTCACACGTTCTGTCGCACATGAAAACATCAGTACTGCGTACCCAGTCAACACTCCACAACGTACAAAGTGTATCATACCGATCAACGATGACTATCGAGGTAGTCTGTTCGTCTTGAAGCAATGCAGGCGCCTTCACTCGCATGTCATTCAGAATTCGTAGCAACGTGTGTCCGATCTTAAGCGACGTTGTACCAATTGCAAAAATGTGCTCTCTGACGTCCAGTCGCGCGCCAACCGTCATTTCCGCAAGTGTGTATGCCAGCAACCGCATGGACTTTCGAAACGAGCTCGGAATATGTTCCGGCAGCACGTCCTTCACATGCGCATACATCTTCGTACCCCTATCTCCAGCACCATCCGTCGATCTTCGCTGTTGTCGTCCAGTAGCTAGTCCCTCGCCTCCCACTTGATGTAGCAGTAACGGGAAAGCAGATGCACACGTCGGGTGCGACAGCACAAACACCGACGGCTCAGGACTCAACGTCTTGGACGACAGCAACGGCACGACACTCAGCGGCAAGTGAACAACGCGCACGCGCGTCTCCACACCAGCCCAATCAAAGCTTCCCAAAGAGCAAGACTCATCCATCTTTCTCTCCTCGTTCCAGCTCCAGTCGTCGTCCTGGTAATTGTCTTCTCCCCTCTCTGCTAAATCATTTACTGTCCCCTCGATCGTGCTCTTGTCCAGTAAATCAGCAGCAAACTCGTCAAACTTCATCACCGGCACTTCTGATGTCACTCTCTCGAGGTGCTCGACCGTATCCCCGTTGTAGCACTCGTGCGCCCGCTCAGAGAGAGCGCTACAGACTGTGAGTCGCCTCACAACGTCCAGTGCCAACAACCGCTTCAAAGCGGCTGTGTAGTCCCACAGAAACCCCGTCAGCATCAACACGACGTGATCAACACGCTCGGTCGCGTCAGAAACGCCCAGCAGACCACGCAGCGCTTCCGACGAGCCACACACGAGCACTTGCTCGGCCGAGAGCACGTTCTGGACGCCGAGATTGCGCAGTAAGAGCGGCATAGCGCCAGCCCAGCGCAAGCTCTCGATACAGCCGGACTCGGCGGCAATGACAGCGCCTTGGAGTTCCTCTGCGGCTTGTAGTACGCTGCTCCGGACGTCCTCGGCGAGGTTGACGACCATAATGGATGAAGGGTTCGATAGGGTCGGTGGTGGGGAAGGGTGGTAAATAGAAGTAACATGAAATAGACTGACTTCCCGTATGAAGTTCCAAAACTGATAGAGTGGGTGGTTCTTAACTGACATGTGGCGAGCGAGGTTGATAGAATCTGCTGTTGATATTTGTGCTTTTTTTGTTCTGTAGGGCAGCGTTTTTTTTTGCTTTTGATATCGTGTGCTTTTTCTGTTCATTTCTATTTCGTACGAGCTCATTTGGTTTGGTAGGTGGACAAGTGGCGGAACATGCAGCAAGCACGAAAAGTCATTCTTGGCTTTGGCCTGACGTTAATCGGCGTCGCAGGTGCGTGTGCGCAGCTCTTTTTTGATTGTCAAGTCCGATCACGGAATGGGATCGAATCACCGGTTGTTTTTGCTGCTTTCATAGGTGCACTGGGCATTTACCTGCCGCGATACAGCACAATGGCCCAAATGGGTCGAGACCGCACATCTCGATCCCGTGCACCTGTCGAGGAAAAGGACGATCAACACCAAGAAGCTGAATCGTCAAAAGGAGTGCCACCTCCGTTGCGAAACACGGAAAAGAAGCAGGAGTAGATGACGTACGCTCGAGCTATGAGAGACGGTCCAACAGAGACGCTCGATGACGTGAAGCTTGCCAGGAATCACATTTATCGCACGGACATCTACGATATGGTAGGTTGCAGCGTTGGTGACGACATGTCACTCCTCCCGTCATTCGACATAATTGACCAGAAGAATCCGAGCGCCTCCAGTTGCATGCGATCAATCTCGATAAAGTCTGCATATCGCTCTCGTCGTGCAGGCATCGTTGCCAGTTCCCCTAACTTTAACCCGTGCGACTTTATTGCCCACGGGTCGCTGCATGGCACGACAAAGTCTGCAGGCACATTAGGGTCCCCAAATTCCCGCACTTACGTGTGTAAAGCAGGTAACACCGCGTGCTCCCACTTGGCAGCAGCTACGTTCCACACAAACCCGATCTCCTCTAGTGCTCCAAGGTCTTGCGCAATTTGCAAAAAGTAATCACCGCGGTTCCGGATATTTCGCACAATAAAGCCAAGGCGAAGATTCCACGCCGACGGTGGCCACGACTCTTCTTCCGGTACGATAAAGCTTGTGTCGATGTCGCAGTTGCCGTAGATACAGAAGTACGTCTTGAATGCAGGCAAGATCGTTTCTGTCCATGTACGGTCATGACTATTCAGGTAGAAGCCCAACTGCTCCAGCTCGTTCTTGTCGCGCTCCATGAAGTGTAGAAATGCCGAATTCGATCGAATGCGGTTCACCGTCGCTCCTAGACGATAGCCTGTGAGTTCCTTTGCCCACGAGTGCCAGCCTTCTGTTCCACTGTCACTACTGACACCAGCCACGTAGTTCTGTGGCACATCGCAGTGACCGTACAGTTGACGAAATTGTCGTAATGCTGGCATGAAAAGCACGTTCCAAGCGTAGTCTGCGACAACCCACACGAACTCAATCTTGTCGAGGTCCTGAATCTGATACATCGTCATTGTGTCTCGGCGTCGACGTAAGTAATTTACGTGAGAGCCCAGTCTTAGTCCCCACGTAGCTCTCGGCCACTGTGGATCTCCAGTAGGTACCACAAACTTACGAGGTACCAGCAGATTGCCCTCAATCTCCTTGTACCTGGTCAAAGCTGAGAGTGACACTTGTTCCCACTGGAAGCGTCTCCAGTCGCGAATAGCAGGAAACCCAACAGCGTCCAATTGCTCTCGCACAGCCATAAGGTCCGTTGACTCTTCCTCACGACTCGAAATGCCCACAAACTTGCGGATTTGGCGGCCCAAGTGGAATCCACGCGTATCTTCCGGCCAAACGAAGGAGTCGCTGGCCTTGAAAGGATCTTCCGGTGGCACCTGAAAGTGGTAAGGCACGACAAAGTGATTGTATTGCTTGTAAAAGGCTTCGAGAGCAGTTGCAAGCAGCGGGAAGCGATTGGACGGCCGTCTAGAGCTGAACAAGCGACGGGTCGTGACAAATGCTTGCAGCCGCATCTTCACGAATGACATGCTGCGTGATTTTTACGATACTGTTATATTTTGAGGACCAAGACAAATCCAACATTGTATTATGATTGGCTAGTCTGAATATGAGCGAATCAGATGCGAGCCTTGCGTAAAATTTGTTCGCTATCGTCACAAATGAGCAGCACCGACGACACGGAGGTTGATGCGTCGCTGCCACCGCATGCAGTATCATTCGCGCTCACAGCAGTGTCTACAGTAGCTGCAACTTTTCTAGGAGGCGGTATGTATGCGCTCGGTCGATTTGGCCGTGTTGAACGGACTTTTGCTCACGTTGTGTCACTGGATGTGCATTTTTTTCGACGGAATTTCTATTGTGATATTGTGCTCTAGGCTTCTACTATGGTATGACCAGGCAGAAAAAAGCGCTGATAGAGGAGGAAAAGAGTTTCGGCAAGACTCAGAGCAGTAAGAAGGAGTTTAAGCCCAAACCTGCAAATTTCTTCGAGCGCAGAATGGCTCTGGATAAGCCTATGCCGCCTGGTACGGCGGCCTGGAAAGCTCTGCTTGGAGTAACGATCATCACGGTAGCGGGATGTTGCGTAGTAGTGGGTGGAGCTGCTGTTTCTCTCGGACTAACCAATGTAAGAGCTGCTTTATTTTGTCATGTGTAGATGCAGTGCATTGACTCTATGCGTACTGGTATCTGCTTTTGCTGACCTTGCGTAGACACACGATCTCCAAAAACGACTGCAGAAGACCCCGCGGTCTCATGGTACATTGCTGTCGAAGCAACTTGAGGTTCAAGAGATTGGAGTAATTGAGAAAAGTGCCGTTGCGGGTGATGTAAAGAAAGGTCAAGTCGAGCGTACGAGTGAAGAGACCGTAATCTCTTGAAGACTTTGCGTCGGTAGCGTGTATTTACGCAAGGATTAGTTGTATTTAGATTGTGGGTGATCACTACCTGGACATGACACGTCCGATGCAAAGCCTACGGAATGACTCTGTCATTCATTTGACCTAGAGCCGATGCATACAAGAGAAGAGAAAGAGTGCCGCCATCTTCAGTAGCAATTTTAGTATTACAACGCTGTCCCATTCCAACTTTTTGCCTTTGTTATCACCTGCTTTGTAGCGAATGCAATCCGTCTACAACGAGACTTTAAAGAGCAGGCGCAGCAGTGCATACATGAAGAAAGTGTCCTTCTGACTGATGCAAATCCTGGAGACTAAGGGTACAGTGCCGTATCATTGGTCTATATTGGATCAGACACCTTGCAGATTACGTTTGGTCTTGTCCTGTGTCTTTTGACTCAGCAATATATTATCAGTGAGTGTGCGCAAGGTTGAATGCCGAGCATTTAAATCGTACTTATCTGTGTCTGTCTGCAAATAACGCGGTGAGGTGTCCCTGACTCGTACCAAGTGCGAGCTAGCCTGTCCCCCCGTAGGTTTAGGTGTATCCGAAGCCACTCTTTGACTAGGTCACTATTGTGGTGCAATAGTGACCTAGTCAAAGAGTGACTCCGGATGCTTGTGATTGGCTTAAAATCGATCAGAGGTGAAAATGAGCACATACTGAAAGCTGATGAATTTGTGTTTGTCGGAATCGTAATCAAATGCATCCATACTGTACTGCATTAATACAGACATCATCAGCATCACACTCATTTTTCAGTGACTGCTGCCGTTGGATAGTCTATTTCAACTTGATCCAGTTCTATCTACTACATAATGTATACCGAAAGGGCGAGCTCCAGAGCTTGCACCTCTATCTTATCGCCTATGTAGTTGCGTACGAGTCTACACAGCACAACGATTCCCCTATTGTCGTCTGTGGAAAGCCAGTATACCGAACCGCCACCGCCTAAACATCAATATTTTATCGACTACCGAGTAGGTAGCCGCAATTCCCGCATCAAAGTGTACGTGGCTCAAACTGACGACTACAAGAGTCAAAATGCATCGCATAGTAAACCATGCAATGATGCACAAACAAGTAACGCTCTCAGTCAGCCTGTACTTGATTCAACTAGCTAGACCCACACGTCCAAATTTGTCTTCCGAGTGATTCCCCATCGCGTTCCATTTCAGCCAGAGTGGCTCCGAGCGTGATGTTCTAACAAACAGACCGGCGAGACGGCCGAGGACCTGCCGAGATACTAGATGATGCAGAACAAGGATGCTTGCACTGACACTTCGATTTCTGCTTGACAGCAAAAGGAACTTAATCCACTTGAATTGATGCTTCTAGGCTGCGAGCATGATACAGCTGCCTGGATCTAAAGCGTTTTACGGCCATTGACGTCGGCAATGAACTTGGCATACAGCAGGCTATCGCGACCTGCGTCCATGTTGGCCATAGCTGACACCGACAAAAGCAGCATAGCAACCAGCGATACTGACGTCCACAGGATGATCTGGTACTCTGCGATGTCGGGCATCGACACAGCTCCAGGCGCACTCGAGTTGGAAGAGCTAGTAGAATTCGCATCTTCTTCCCACACACTGCCACTCGCTGCGTCCAGATCCTCTTCGTCATCGTCCATGGCACTCTCGTCCTTTTCACTCACTTTGGGCTTCTTTGCCGAACGCGTCGTCAATTTTCTGTTCCGTGCACGACGCGAGAGCGTCGTCACTTGTTGCATTGCAACCGGGAGAGTGCCCGTCATGACTTGAGCTGCTACAATCTGCTCTTTTTTCATCAAATGATCAAGAAACTCCGTCACAGTGGCTGTCACGAGCTGGTCCGCAAGCTCCTGCTTATGTCCCCGTAGACTCGAGAGCCCCACAACGTACAGCGTCTTCCCGTCTTGGTGCTGCTCCATATCAGCTGTCAGCTGTATCACCTGAGCCAACTGTGTGGCGAACGCAACGTCTGCGTCGTCATAAGAGCTCAAAAAGCTGTTGGCTTCAAGCACCTGCTGGACGATTTTTGCATCCCCCGGTGTCGTCAAAGCCCCCACGCTGCTGCAAATTGCTCGAGAGCCAGCACAATAGACTGCTTGTGGGTACTTGGTTTTAAAAACTTGGGCAACGGTCGCTGGAACCGTCACTTGACTGTCTTGGACTGGATACAGTTCGTGGAAAACATCTTCACCGTCCAAGGCGGCGTCGACAGCCTCGACACTACCGGTTGATCGCCCTTCCAGTAGAACCAGAGCGTACACTTCACTGTGTGTGAAGATGTCGGCCTGTAGCGGGCTCAGCGCAGCAGAATGCGAGGAAACGCGACCACCAGTAGGGAGACCCATTGAGCTGAGCGCTAAATTGGCCAATCCAGCGTTGGAAAAAGCGGGGGGAGAGCGAGTTTGGTGCCATAAGGGAGCTGCCGACTTGCCGAGGATGAGAACGCGGTCCGCAGAGACGTGGGAGGCCGCGGTAGACGCGACAAAGAGCAGGGAGAGCGCGCGCATGGCAGGCTGATCGGAGTCGCTTGGATCTGGAGAACAAAAGAGGGATGGATTGACGCGATTGGCCGAAAAGGAAGGAGGCGGTAAACTACGGAGAACAAAGCGTTGGAGGGAAGGATTTCGACTGAAACGAGACGGTAAATTACGCCGAAACGAACTGTCGAACAGGTTGCTGGTGTCACCGATTCAACTGTGATGTTGCGTATGTTGCGCGTAGGGAACTTGTGGATTTCACCGAATAGAAACCCTTGATTTAGTCGTCTCAGGAAGCATGATGAGATGTGACTTAAAAACTGACAACCTTTTCCAAACTAGGAGCTCGGTCACATGTGAGATTTATCCCATGGATGCGCGTAAGAGGCGAGTCTTAGCCAGACGTAGGCTTATTACTATTGCCTCCAGACAGACACTATCTGTTGTAAAATGCACTTACCATAGTTGTCGCTGAGGTGCAAGTGAGCGTCAATTTATATGTGGACATTGAATGGATCGCCGACTTTAGTCGAGGCTTCAAAGAGAACTGCAAAGCACTTTTGGCCTCTGATGCGTTAACGCGTTTGGGTCGCACACTGAGTCGTGAGTAGTTAGCACGAAAAGAGGACATCCAGTCGACACCGGATGAGTGAAAGTGACCTGATGGGCGATAGCACAACAGGAAGGCGATTACGGACGCTGGACAATCGCACTCATAGACCAAAGAATAACAAGACAGCAGCAGTAAAGTTAGCTACTTCATTCGTCAACATTAATTTGCGGAACCAAGAAGAGGGCAAACGGACACAAGGGCGCCCGACACCATTACATGTCAGCTTCGTACATTTTATCTACAAGTGCCGCCAGCCTTCGTATTCGAATTGATTTTCAAGAGCTTGTGATGGAGAACAATATACTACTTGACACTATCGCCAAGCTCGGATACAAAAAGTAAGTAAACAAGAGCGTGGACATCCGGCGCACATCATCTTAGTGTCGATCACTCAATCGTAGCGGCTAAGCTCCATGACAACCAAATCCTAGTAGCACATTTAATAACACGACGTGCGCTGCGGTCGCTCTAACAAGGCTGACTAGCACCCTCTAACTTAGAGACTAAGGATCAGTAAGTAAAGTTGGAACCGTCGAAGGTGGCGAATATATAGGACAATGCATCGCTATGCCAATCCAAATTGAGAAGTCGCACGCTTGACATATGAGGTGCAGGTTTCTTGAGCTGGATTCACTGAACGCGATATTGTAATGCCAATTTGAATCAAACTGCCACAATTAACCTCGACACAACAACTTGACTTTGGGCCAGGCGTTCGTTACTAGACTTGGTGGTGATCTCGATATGAGCATATCGACATGAGCCCAGCGCAATCTCGTGCTGAAAGACTACACCTTGTCGTCATTGTACGCTAATTGATACGATTCTCCATATCGAGCAAGAAGGTGAGCAAAAATAATTACTTCGCTAAGACCTACACGGGTCTGCGTGAGTCAGTGGAAGCTATTCGGCTGCCAATAATACTTAATGGATCAGGTCTGCCAAAAAGCTTCGACAAGCGGCTCCTGTATTGTTGCAACATGAAGCAGCCATAGAGATAAACGTTTGAAACAGTGCACATCAACACTCAGCCACTTGGCCATGTTATTGCAGTCGTTCCGTTGTTGCTAGGAGTAATTGCTTCAGTAGAAGACCCGGTGTTCGCATCAATCAATAACGTGAAGATGAAGCGTCCATCCAGCGAATGCCAATCCTTGGTTTTAGGCGATTGAAACGCATGCGGTGAGTGTCAGTTCGTGCAACATTCACACCGTAAAGAGACCATGTCTAACCGCCAGACGCTTACAGCCCTATAGCTCAGCTGAGTATATTTCCACGTTCGTTGAGCAAACGCCCTTGAAGCCTGCTGAACCAGTTGTGGACGAGAGAAACAGCGATAAAAGTAGGAAGATAGAGCGGTGTGAATACCTTGAGTCAGCGACGCGTGCTTTGGAGAAAGCATTGCAAATCTCCAGGACGTTGTTGCCTGACCAAGTCGCAGCTGAGTTTGTGAAGATATGTGAGAGCACGTTCGAACGCCTCCATCGGAACAAGGATAATGACCTCTGAAAGACATCCTTTGGGAATGGACGAACTTCAATCGAGAAAATGAACACACGCTTTCGGGTTGCAACCATCGAGAGCTGGAACTAGCGATTCTGATGAAACAATGCGAACCAGAGATTGTGGCTGCGGGACTGGTTCGCCTTTACAACGTTGATGGACAAGAGACTGTTGCCAGCGAATTGCTCGGGTTGCTGCTTTCACACTGTAAGCAAGAAGATACTTCACAAGTGATGCAGGATGCGTGGCTGGAGTGGAATGTATCCCCTGACCGACTTTACGAGGTCCTTGACCTTGGAAAGCCCGGTGTATTGGAAGAATCAGTCGAAGCTGCATGGCAGTTCTATCGATACACGCAGTGGAGATACTCACAGCTGAGTGTACAGGACAAGAGGCATTACGAATGGATCACTACGGCGAAACAGTTTTTCCGCAACTAACCCGCGCCCGCAGTGGAAGCCTTTATGACCCGCGCTGCAGAGGTGTCAGGCGTGGTGGAATTTGGCACGTTGATGAAGGAAGTTCAGCTCGCGGGTATGGAGATAGACCGAAGACAGTGAAGCAAGCGTCTTGGAAACACGAGACGTGGAGTGAACGAGGCCAAGCGAGGGATAGTCGCAAAGAATTGAGTTGGTGATTGCAACCGTGATGAGGAGGGACGAAGCCATTTGTTACTCTTTTGTGAGGCAGATAGTAAGCTTAGAGGTAGCACGAGTAGCATGAGAACTAAGGCCTTCTTCTGATCCATTTCTGCATTTTTCATCCGACCGCTCAAGTGTCATTTCAGCAGGTTACATACCCATAGCGAAGGCTGCACTTTTGTCGACTTGGACGATATGTTTGGGATATGTTCATACCAGCACTTCGGCTTTTTGCTGTGCTGGTACGCACGCAAGCTGTTAACAGGAGAGCGAAGACTGCATCCATAAACGATCAGAAGAGAAGGTCGCCAGGGCGTCGCTTCCAGGTACATTTCATTGACACAAGCTTTCGTTTATCTCATCAACACTTTGGCGGTTCGAGCGGAAGCCTTTGTCGCTGCTTTCACGAGTCTTCCCTGGCCAGTCGACAATGTAAGTGATGCAATCACGATCGTTGCCAGCCATGGCTATTATCTGCCAGCTGCTTGTAGAAACACAGCGTTTGCTCTTACCGCCAAGGTGACTCATCTCCATGGCCACTTTGTTTCATTTTTAGCAAAAATCACGCCATCCAGACAGTCATCGTCACTTTCGCAAACCTCACTCGCAACGTTCAATTTCGTGGCTCGAGTTTTCTCACCTGGCATTTGTCTTGACCAATGTCTTGTAACTGCATACGCTCTTCGAGTGCTTACTGCGATGAAGTTTCCGCCTTCACCCCTCGCGACCACCGCACACTATCTCTACCCTCCCAATCTGGACACGGTTGTGATCCTAGGCAATTCCACAACTGTAAAACAAATCTCGCCGGCTGTGTCTTCTGACTGCGCAATGAGAAATCATGATGCACGAGTTCAGTGTATACATGCGAGAATTGTCCACGACACCCTGTCAAACTTCAATGGCTTGAGCCCATTGCTTCTCACCCGAGTCACGATGCGTGCGCTCTATACGCATCGTACGCGGCTTCAACACCTGCTCCACAAGAAGGCACTTGCATCGACCCGTGACTTGTGACCCTGAAAAACGCAGCATTGTAAAATCCTCTTTTGGACGGTTGTACTGCTCTCTGGCAGGTACCCGTCACTTGAGTACATACGATTACACTGAAGCTGCTTGACGATGTCGATTCCAGTGAAAGGTAGCAGATCTCTGGTGCCATCAGCACTGGTGTGCATAAGTTGCACGACCACACCCACTAGTACATAGAGCGTGACAGTCGGCAGTGCGTGATAGAGCGTTCGCAGCAGCGCACATAGGTACTCGGATGCATGTTGAATGCTGCCAACCATATTTTTACAAAGCGCCTAGCAAAGCCATCGTCCAGCATGCGTGACTGCGCAGCTGAAGAATCTCTTGCGTCGCATACCGTCACTGCCCAGTTCTGTAGTAAGTCGTACACCGGGCTCATTCATGCTTTGTTACGAGCACCGACCGAGATGAGGACTGCGTTGTGTCCTTTTAAGAAAGCCGTCGGCCGGAAAGTGAGGAAGACTCAAGACAGTTGCGCACAGCAGTTTCATCTGTAGCTAGAATCACAGTGCTACGGTGTCATTGTCGGTGCATTACCTCCAAATAGTCACAAGCGTTCTACATCTCGTATCAAAATCGGCTCATTCAATCAGTGAAACGTGGAAGAATGTTCCCGACTCAATAGGATTGCCTTCTCATTTCAGCAAGCCTCCATTACTTGCTTTCGTTCTTCCAGTGCCCTACGAGTGCCTTAAACAGTCCATCTTGCCTCTTTTGGAGAGCCTTCGGCGTGTCAAATTCACCAACAGAGCCACGCTCCATTACAAGGATGCGATCCGCATCAAGAATAGTGTTTATGCGGTGCGCAATTGTGAGGCATGTGCAGTCACGGAACTCCTCGCGAATGCTGCGTTGAATTTTGCGGTCGGTTTCAGTGTCAATCGAGGCTGTTGCCTCGTCCATGAGAATGATGCGCGAGCGTTTAAGCAGGGCGCGAGCAATGCATAGCAACTGACGCTCTCCAACGCTGAAATTCGAGCCCTTTTCATCTACAGCGCCATCAAGTGCAGTCACGACGTGTGCGAGATGGGCACGGCGCACAGACGTCCAGATCTGTTCGTCCGTATACTGGCCAAATGGATCCACGTTGCTACGCACTGTGCCTGAAAATAGCACTGGGTCCTGCGGTATGATGGAGATCTTGTTGCGCAGCTCGTGCAATCCAATGGTACTAATGTCCAATCCATCAATGAGTATCGAGCCACTGTCCAACTCGACAAGACGCATCAGAGCCACAACGAGACTCGACTTGCCGGCGCCCGTACGACCTACAATGCCAATCTTTTCCCGGGGGCGAATTGAGATCGACAAGTTGCGCAACACGCGAGGCAGGCCTGGACGGTAGCGCAAATTTACATCGCGAAATTCTATTGCGCCTGTAGAAGGCCATTCCTGAGCAGGAGGAAGCTTGCCCACACTAGTGAGCTCGGCTTCCATGTCCATCATCGTGTAATTCTTGATACGTTCCACAGAAACCATCTGCGTCTGCAGCTGACTAAGCATGCGCACAGACCAATTAAGTGACTGCGTGACATTGAATGCGTATGTAAGAGATACACCTGCAAGCCCAGCAAATTCTGCTCCATGCTCCGGGTCCGAGCTGTGGACTAGGACAGCACAGAGCGCGGCGAAAGCTGAAATTAGTGTCCCGGCGAACTCGAGACGAAGCGCTAACCAGCAGTTCACCGCAAAGTTCAAGAAATAAGCACGCTGGTTTCGATCGATCAACTCTTCGTTCTTTCGGCAAAACTGGGTCTCTGCACGATACGCACGAATAGTTGGTAAGCCGTCAAGAGTCTCTGCCAGAAGACTGAAGACAGGAGAACGGCTGATAGAGTCCAAACGCTGCAGCTCGCGCGAGGACGTAATAAAGTAGCGCTGCGAGACGTAGTAGCCCACCATGAGGGGCAGCAGGATCACCATGAAAATCGGAGTTATGTATGAAATAGTGACCAGCGTCACCAGCACGCTAACAACCGTATTCAGAAGCATGCTCCACGTAGCAGGTATACTCTCATCAACAGTGTACACATCCTTCGATAGACGGTTGACGATACGACCCGTGGGTGTTGTGTCAAAAAAGGAAGTTGGAGCACGCAGAATGCGAGCCAGTAAGTTCTGGAAAAGCGACCGGCTTGCACGCAGACCTCCCTTGTATATAGCGAGAGTGCGAACGTAAAGCGCCACGGCGTATAGTCCATTGAGGCCCATGTACACATACACGTAGAACATCTGCGATGGACGATCTGCAGATTGGTCGTTACTTTCCTCAGACTGAGACTGTTCTGACCAAAACGAAAGCCACCACGTCGATAGTAACTCTAAGAACTGAGTCCCGACGAATATGGCAATCACTACCAGACCAGCACAAATTCCGCCAAATGCCATGATCCATGTCTTGTACACCGGCCATGCAACGTCACCCACGGAACGGTCCTCGTCAGCGATAAGCTGAGTATTCACATCTCCTTCGCTTGTTGAATGCTCGCTCCGCACAGACAAACGGCTCAGTCTTCTACCCAGACGTTCAGGTGTTGGATTGTCCTCTTCATCCTCCTTCAACTCTTCCAGCAAAGTGACATCACTAGGCTCTTCACTCGCAGGTGGCTCCTGCTGCTCCCGGTATTTGTAGTTGGCCACGAGGTCCATCAAAAGACCGCCTTCCTTGTGCATAAGGTGTTCGTAAGTGCCCTCCTCCAGAGTCACGCCGTTTTCGAGAACCAAAATCTTGTCACACTCGCTTAGGAACGTCAGACCGTGCGTGACTAGTACCACAAGCTTACGCTTTAGACATGTCTTGATGCATTCGTTAAAAATATCATGCCCGACGTGGCTGTCCACAGCCGATAAAATGTCATCGAGCAGGTAAATGTCAGCGTCCTGGTATACTGCACGGGCAAGTGCTACACGAGTACGCTGTCCGCCACTGAGATTAATTCCCTTCTCGCCTATCTCCGTAAGGTCTCCTCCTGGCAGCGTAGCCAGATCCTTTCGCATCGAACTGACATGTATTGCCTCAGCATACTTCGCTTCGTCAAACGGTAAACCGAAGCAAATATTCTCACGAAGTGTCGCATTTTGAATGAATGGCTGTTGCGACACGTAGGCTACAGATCCACGAAGACTTATTCCACCGCGACTACATCGAGCATCACCTAGAATCCCAGCAAGAAGCGTGGACTTGCCGGCACCCACATGACCAACAATAGCAATCCGATCGCCCATGCGAGCCTCCAAATTCACATTTCGTAAAACAGGCACATTGTCACCATGTTCCGACGTCTCCTTGTCCACAGCTGAATCCTCTACCATCAGCTTTTCGTCTTCCCGTGATCGTGACGATGCCTCCGATGCTACGGCGCTTGGTGCCGTGTCCCACATGAAGTCAGCATTGTTTATGCGAACACCGACACTGTCCAGACCTCCAGGCCCTACCTTTTCGCGTTCTTCTTCCTGGAAGTACGAGCTTAAACGATCAATACTCACACTAGCCTCAACGATTGAGTTCAGCACTTGAGGTAGCATGAACAACGGGAAGCGTAAGATATTAAACAGGGCTAGCGACGTGAGAGCGGTGCCCACCTCCAGCGTGTTGCCGAGCTTGACGTACGTGTAGAACGAGACCACAATCACGAGCGAAGGCATCGCCGAGAAAAGGGTCATGGATCCACTTCGAGCGTAAATGTAAGTGCTGAGCTTGCTCAGCTCTTCATTCCGATATTCCAGCACACGTTTGGTGAACGAGTGTTCCCAAGCCTGCAGCTTGATAACCTTCATGCCAGCCAGTACTTCATTGCAAATCTTAATGCGTTCATCTTTCACCTCCATCAATCTCAATTGCAAACGCCGCATGAGTTTCGAGAACGCCGCCGTGAGAGGCAACATCAGGACAATCACTGCAACCCCAGCAAGCGTAGCGGGTCCAATCTGCTTCCACAGCAAGTAGCATGCTACGACAATCTGGAAAACAGAGTACCAGACACTATTGACGTACGTAGATAGTTCTTGGAGTCTTTGAGCGTCAACGGACATGAGATTCGTAATCTCTCCCGTCGTCTTCTTCTGTCTCGCGGCAGCCGACAGCACGAGACTCTTGCTATACACAGCAGTACAAATAGCCGACCGGACTCTCATTCCGGCTTCAAAGCAATGGAAAAAGTAGTTCCGCAGCAAGAACGACTGTGCGATGCCCGAGACGAACACAATCGCTGCATACACGAGTCCTTCACTCAACGGCGCGGTCGGGTCCTGCAAGTACGCAATGATCGCCTTGATCAGCATGGGGCCTACAAACTGCAGCGAATCGTGCACTAGTTTCAGTGCTCCCGCCTTGGCGATCTGTCCTCCAAAGCAGGATGCCAGCACCCACGTCAGACTGGGCTGGCCACGTGAGGTACGACACTGCTGCTCCCAAGCGTCTTGGAACGTCGTCGACACTTCGTGCGCACGGTTTACTGGGTCCAACAAGTACAGGTCATTGTGCTCGAGTGGGCGTTGACTGCCTAGCTTCATTATAGGTGTCACCCACGTGAACAAGGCAGACGACAGGCACGTCGCGTCTTGAGACGGGTACCGGTCGCCCAGACCCGACGAGCGACGAGAGAAATCCCGGCTGCTTGACGACGCGCACGTGTCAGCAAGCAGCGGCTTCTTCTCGCCGTGCGAAAGCAGCGTCGGGTCGGTCATCCCGTGTGACTTGCCAGTCATTTTTTGTATGGAAAACGACAACTGACTGCGATCTTTCGGGTTCACGGCAAATCCAAGAGTGCGGACCCTGTGCGCATTTCACGTCAACAAAGAGTGATGGTCACTACTTCATTGCGGTGGACAAAACATTTAGCCAATCAGAAACGAGGACGACGCCTCCCGTTTGCATCAGCACTTCGCCACAACATGGAGCAGTACCTACTGCAGCTACCGAAGCGCTTGGCGCACGAGGTACGCGCCGGCATCGCACATGGTGAACCCACAAAGGTCGATATGGTGTCAGGAGGTACGATTTATATATCGGGTTTTTGGTGCCTATGGAGAGCGAGAGAGGGACGAGATACCGAGTTACGTAACGTTTGTGTGTATGTTCGACGGTGGACTGGGGCTGATAACAGCGGATAACAAGCACTTTACACTGCACGTGAACGGAAAAGAGTATCCAGCCAAGATTGGTGCGCTCTTTACGACGTTTTACGAGGCGTTTGGAAGAGTCTTTTTATGGTTTAGGAGGTGGAGACTCGAGGTCTTGACTTTGTGCTGATGTTATGGACGATAACGGCAGCGCAATTGCCGTGTATTGTCGAGACGCACAAGACGTATGACGACAATTTCTTTTACAAGAGCGGTGAGATAGGGCAGGTGTGTAAATTCGATGGGCACCTGGTCGGTCCGAACGTACTGACATTTGTGGCGGGTGTTGGTGGATGGTTGCCTGTATGTGTTTCGTTTCTCTCTGGAATGCGTAGATTTTTGTCGTGACGGATAAACAAGAGGAAAAAAAGCTACTGGAGACGCAGGAAGAGGTACAAAGTGGTCTCACACCGCCAAACACAAATGTGATCAAACGCAAATACGAGAAAACGAAGAAGACCACGCCGTTTCCAGTACGTTCGGTGTTGACGTGGTTGCTGCTTGTATCGTGGGTGGCGTTCGTGATTGTCTTACGATGTGTTTTACGTCGTTGTTTACTTTGCTGGTAGAAAGCTGACGTTGCTCGCGTGGAAGAGGACTTGGTAAAGATTATTGCGGGCGGGGCTGTTGAAGATATCCACGAGGAGCTAGTTGACTTCTATGACTGGATGGCTGACGACGAGCATCCAAATGGAATCACCGTAACGGACGAGATGGCGCTTATTCGGGAGCATCCAGAGTATCTTACTTTGTCGGAAGAACCGCCAACGAAGCAGATGCGAACGATGCCATTAAGTGCAGGGAACACTACAGTGTCGAGCACTGCCAACACGTCGGTCATGAACACGCCACTCGCAACGGATGCAGGATCTGGGACCGAGTCCCAGGCGGATGGACAGCGTTTCCTGCAGCGCTCTCCGACATTTGCACCAACGTCAAGTCCCAAACTCTCGCCCTTGGAGCTGTTTCCATCTACCAGTTATGACCAAGACGAAGAGAAGGAGGTCGACATGCTGGAGGATGACATTCTCAATGATTTGGACACCAAACCGGCTATGCCATCTCGACAGAAGGCGTACTTGACGGACGCAGACTACCTCAACCTATTGCCCATACGCGAGCGACTACAAAAGTCGGTGCGAGATCTGGACCGCGACATGAGTGGGTTCGCCGCCAAGGTCGACGCTAACTCGAACATTGTCGTCAAGGTGAGCTCCATCTTGTCTCACACTTTCATTCGTGCTTGAGTTGCTCACGTCGCTAATGCTCTTGCTGACGACGTGTGCTCGATAGAATCGCTTCAAGCAAATGCTCGAAGCTGCGAGCAAGCAGCGGGCTGAGATCGTGACGGAGCTGGACAAGGTCAATGCGAAGATTGTTGCGCTCGAAACGAGTTGAAGGTCGTATACGGTCCAGTGGCTACAGTTCCACCACGTCAGCTAGTGGTATGACAATCGTCAAGTGCGTGACAGTTGTAGTGTTCCCACCTCGTTCGACAAGAGTACGTACATCTGAGTTGACTGCTTATGCTTATTTTGCACAGATCCGCTACTTTTCGGTTGGTAGCCGTCGCATTTTTGCCGATCTTTCGTGAAGGTCCCATAGGCGCACCAACTTGCAGCTCCTCAAACACGGCTGACGTCTACAAAACACATAAACTATCAAGTGAACCCATTGTCGACTCCTCCGATCGACATGGCTACTTCTTCTGTGCGCGTTGCAATAGGAACGAGGCCGAAGCTAGCGACAAAGAGAGTAAAGAGAGGCAAATCTTCTTCATTGAATGTCAGAGGCGAGAACCTGGTGGAACGAGGCAATGGGCAGCGCTCAAAAGATTCTCTTTCTACTGCTCGTGCTTCCACTTGAGCAGCGCCTGAATCTGTTCCTCGTTCAAGTTGAGGCCCGGGATCTTCTTGAGCCCCTTGACGTCGTGGTCCACATGGTCCTTGTAGCCATCCTTGTCCGCAACGTCCGTCTGCCCCTTCATCTTCTGCAAAAGCTTGCGCAGCGTCTTTTCATCCTGTTTGCTGTACCAGGTTTCATACAAAAGATCAGATTTTTGACATGAGGAGATGGCCCAACGAGATCTTAAAAGGACGTACTTGAAGAAAGCGGCTTCCATCGCCTTTTCCTTTTCGTGCATGTTTGCGTGGCCCATGAGCTGCATGGGCGAAGCAAAAGCGCGTTTCGAAACAGCGACGGCAGCGGCACGACGGAGGGCAAGCATCGCTCAGTGGTCGTCTCGGACGGTGTTCAGTAATTGACTGTTTGGACTCGTTCCAGGCTTCCTCCTCCCTTCGAGCTGCTAGCCGTGACTTCTTACGTAAAAAGTCGATCACGTAATCAAAGAATGGTGTGTGTGTGGTGGCTGACACACCAATGCTGTGGATCGCTTCGGTCTTCGAGTTTGTAACGGATACCGGAACTTCAACCAACTGCCGTCAAACGACCGAGGGCTACGATTCGGTTAGAAACTCTGATCCTAATTTAGTGCATCGATTTTACGGCACGGATCGTGTGAAGTTTCGAAACTAGCCTCGCAAACTCGATACTGTGGTGTGGCCACTCGTACTCACTTACACGGACACTCCATCGCACCATATACAGCCAATCACATCGCTCGAACGAGCCACATCCACAATGAGTGTTAGCAAATGGAGCAGCAGTGGCGACGAAGACGACGGCTCCGTGTGGTCTCCTGCGCGGTTGGCAGAGGAAGGCGTGGCTTACCGCGTCGTGTGCGTATAAACAGCGCTTTTTACGACCTTACTATCTGGTTCATTCTCACTTGTTTGCCTGTAGAAACGTCCTGGGCAGTGGCTTCGTGAACGACCGTATTGACATTAAACGACTGGCGCTATTAGTGCGCAATGCCGACTACACACCACGTGTACGCAATTGCTACTGGTTGTAACTGTCTGCTTGATCCAAATGTACTAAAATAGGGTACTCGTTGCTACACGTTGTGATCGTTACAGAGTTTCAATGCGTTAGTCATGCGCTTCCGAGCGCCTCGTGCGACAGTTCTCATCTACCGAAGCGGGAAGGTACGCGTTCATTTACTACTATTGTTGAGACAGTGGGTACTATACATGTATTTGTGTTGTATTGATGTGGTGTGTAGTTTGTGGTGATAGGAGCTCCCAGTGTCGAAGACGCAAAAGTAGCGGCAGAAAAGTTGGTTTCGATTTTAAAGGTGCACTGAGTGCTGTGGACGTGCATTGTATCTTTGCACTTATCTGCTCTCTCCTTTTTTTCTGCTGCTGCTGCTGGTATGGGTTGCTGCAGAAAGTGTCGTTTCCAAGCGACAGCAGCCCGTTTACGATTCGTAACGTAGTGGGCTCGACCGATGTCTGTTTCAAGATACGTTTGGAAGGCTTGGCACGGGATCATCTCCGCTTCAGCACGGTGCGTTCTCGTACTTTCGTTGTGCGGTGCTTTTCAATGCCACGTGATAATGATGAGTTATTTGGCGTGCTTTTGGTTCATTCTAGTACGAGCCCGAGATGTTCCCAGGGCTAATTTACCGCATGTTGCGCCCCAAGTGCACCCTGTTAATTTTTATATCCGGCAAAATTGTCATTACCGGATGTGAGGTGCGTGCTCGCGTAATTGTGCGTGAATCTGATTGTATTGTTAACAGCAGATGTTTCTATCTTGCAACAACTCCGTACAGAACCCTGCCGATGGAGAGAAGGCGGTTGGGAAAATCTTTCCTGTTTTGCTGCAATACCGGCTCCGTGAAGGCGGCTCTGATGAAAGCAGCGACGAGGATGACTGAGTGAACGTACGACGAGGTGCGCAAGCTGTCTTTATATACTGATCTGCGGACGAAATAGAGGCAGCTTACAATTTTGCTTCCTACGCGCACACCTGGCACTCCTAAACAATCTAGGACTGCTATCCATACCACCGGAAATACATCGAGCTCGAAACACTGCAACGTCTCACACTGGGCTTCACAATCAGCGAACGAGATCACGCTAAATAGTTATACATCTGGGCGTTGGTCGAGTCTCGCTCAAGGTACTCTCGGTCGATAAGACTCTCGATACGGCGCTTGATATCGGCAGCCTTGGCAGGGAAGCGAATCTGCGTGAAGATCTCCGACATCAGTAGCGCGTGCGATAATTTCTTGCGCGCCTTCATGACGCGGACAATTGCGGCGTCCACTTGGTACTGGCGATCTCGGAACACACGCTCGTGCGTATCTTCATTCTCCTTCTTCGTCTCCTTCATTTGAATGGAATTGATCTTGATGCGGATGAATTGGTTCGTGAAGTGGGTGTTGAATTCGAACAAGTCATCGTCATTCACATCTTTGCCCTTCGGTACCTTCTGTAGCACTCGCGTTTTACCACAGGCAAGCGATTGCAAGGTTCGTCGAAGCTCGCCGTCCTCAATACGCGTTTGTTCCTTGATCTCCTTGTAACCCAACGAATCTGCCCCGTTGAAACACAGTAGGACCACGGTCTGGTAGAGCGACACCACAAGCTCTTTTTTGCCTGATGGAAATGCAGCCTTCACTACACACTGTGCGAGAGAGTGCTGCCACTGGAGCTGACGTCCTTGATACTTGGACGAGTAGAACTTGTCGAATATCTCTTTCAGAGAAACCAGCGACGCAGGTAGATTAATCTCTACAGCAGCGTAGGGTGGCCAAAATCCAGTCGTAAGAACCTGAACATGCATATCGGGAATGCCACGGTGTCCGTGCAGCGCTTCCAACGCGTTCCTACATCGATCGGCACAATGAGACGCTGTTGTATGGTCACAATGGTGAGTAGAGCCGTACCTGCTTGCAGCGTGTTGCTGGAACTGGGTCATTACATTTTGCGATAGGTCGATATCCTTGAACATGCCCTCAAGCTGTCAAGCGATAAACAGCGTTCAGTAAACACGATGGTCATACGTATGGGTGCCCGGTACACAACACGGGTTCTCACTTACCTTGTTCGTAAATGAGCTACCGCATTCCGTTTTCAGCTTGGACAGCATTAGCTTTTCCAGGTCGAATGAAGCGCTCTTGCCCACAAGGAGACGCTTCGCAAGATCCTTCTTATAAAAGGCCTCAAACACGTCTTTGCCTTGAATGTACCGGAAGATAAACATAACACGGTCCAGGAGACTCTCCACTTCTGCTTCAGTGCCACCTTTGTTGCCAGTCCGAAGCTTAGCGTCAACAAACTTTGCCACAAGCTCAGCAGGACGGTTCGCGCGCACGTTGATTGCAGTCTCCATTGCTGACTTCATGGCAAATGAGAAGTCCACATTCGACTGAAACGAGTTGCTGAGGGCCGCGTCCAAGTCAGCTTTCAGCTTGAGCACTTTCTCCACAAAGTTTTTCTCTTGTTTCTCATCCATGACCAGCTTGGACACGTTCTTCCGGATGTAATCCGAGAACGCTGTCTTGAGATCGTTAATTGCGTCGACCCTTGCCAAAAGGGTGTACATCCGCTTCAGGTCTCCAATGCGCCCTCCATGCATCAACGATTCGAATCCGCGCTCTAGCAATGTGGCCACATGTGGTTTCAGCAATTTGCTTTCGACCACCAGAATCAATTGCTTCTTCGTCGATACATCAAGGTAGTGATTCACACGCTCGATTTCGTCGTGCAGACGCTTCTCAACGTGCACAAGAAATTGCGACACGCTCACACACTCAATCATTGCAGCTCCTTCTTGCAGGTAAAACCTCTCGGATGCCATCAAGAATGGCGTCTCAAAATCCGCATGGTACAAATGCAACGCCAGCAGCATCCGCAGTAATGTGTACAGGTGCGTGCGGTTGATAGCTTTGCCTTGGCGTTCTGATTCCACCAGTTCCAGCAGCGCGTCAATCAGCATCGTTTCCATGCTCTGGCGCTGCACGAAATTATTGCGCACCAAGTTCAGTCCCATGTCCCAAATGGACGCAACGTGCGGCGTCTGCATGACGTACGTGCGGTCCAAGTAGAGAAAAATCGTGCGAATCACGAGCATATCTTCGCAATGGTCTTCCCAGAGTCGATGCACGGCTTCGAGGAATAAATCCATATTACCGCCCGTGTATTGCACGAGATCTTCCACCCGCTCCCGAACGTGCACTGCACATGTCTCCTCCAGTCGTGTATATAACCTGAAATATCAAACATAATAAAACACAACACGACCACCCAAAACTGTGAGAAAAACACAATTCCTCCTTAAAACACCCAATCTAACCACCCCCACTAAAAACACCCAATCGAACCACCCAATCGAACCACCCACATATCCACCCACCTGGCTGCCATTTTCCAGGTGCACATGTCTTCGACCGAGCGATAGAGCTCTTCTCTGCTAAGCGACGACATCTGCTTCTCGTGCACAGCATGTACCGCCTCCTCGAGCGTTTTCCACGTATTTTCTTCAAAAGATTCGGGTAATTTGGGCGTAACTTTAAAGGGTTTGATCGTCATTTTCTTCTTCATCGTGGCACCCAGTTTCAGGCCTTTGCTGTTGCTCCGGTCCGTGCCGCGGCTGAAACTTGTGCGGCCATTGGCAGAGGACGTGAGGTCCGTGAAGGCCATGCTGTCGGGTAAGTGGTCGACGGGTTTTATGTTAGAGCGGCGACCGCTTTATTCGACCGTTAAACAAGCGTTAATGAAATGCGGATAGAGCTCGTTTTAATGGGGCAAGAGTTGATAAATGAGACGGTTTAAATGCAATAAAACACACTTTGGTAAATTCGTCTTGCCCTCGTTTCGATCCTTTACAGTCTGGGCTATTCTGGACTGAACCCGGATAAAACCCAGTGAGCTCGACTGTGCGTCGGATATTATCTTTTGCGAGCTTGAAGGGTGAAGCTATGAGCGAGTGTGCGCAAGGTTATATGCCGAGCATTTAAATCGTACTTATCTGTGTGTGTGTGTGTGTAAATAACGTGGTTAGGTGTGCTTACACGTACGAAGCGCGATCGAACCTGTCCCCACTGTTGGTATAGGCATATCCAGAGTCACTCTTTGGCAAGGTCACTATTGCACCACAATAGTGAACTATCTAAAGAGGGACTCCGGATGCTTGTGATCGGCTTAGAATCGATCAAAAGTGGACATACTCACCTAAGTAAGTGCTAAACGCTCACAAGCAAAGGCCGATCGCGTCGCTTTAGCCAACTATACTGGGTAAACACAGACACTGACAGCATCACACTCCTTCTTCAGTGACTGCTACTATTGTATAGTCGGCTTCAACTTGATTCAGTTCTATGAACTGTATTATCAAGGGGCGGGCTCCATAGCTTGCTCCCCTATCTTGTCCATTGACGAAATGACGTGACTTGTGCTTAGCTACAAATTACTGGTACCACGTGTAACGGGGCACCCGTTGTTTGGGGTGCCGCGAAACTTCACGTACACTAGTACGTGCAGAGGAAGCTAATCTACTTGAACGACTCGGTCAAGTAAAGGTAAAAAGAGAACTGCATTTATTATAGTAAAGATATCGATATAACTTCAGTCTTTATCTAACTATGTTAATCTACGCCGTCGTATGACGACAACCTGCTTACCACTCATTGCGCGCGTCTAGCAGCGATTGGTGGCAATCTATGGTTGTAATGTCTTATACCAACCAATCTTTGAGCAGCGCATGAATATTATCCTGCAAAGGGGATAACATTCCTTCAATATTATCCATCCCGGATAATATCGGTAGAATTTTGTCATGCTAGACAACATTCCTATTTGACACCGTTTGGTGTCAATTTCATGTAACGGACTACCCCGTTACATCACCCCCCCCCTTAACCATCAATCACCCGTTGATTGAATTAAATTGATTGGGACAGGGTGACATATGTTGATACACTGGAGAAGGGAGCACTTGTTGGTCAAGTCCCATTCATTTGCCAATCCAACGCATGGTTTCAAAAACCACGCGAGCTGCTACTGCAGCAGCAAGAAGAGCGGCTGCACGCATGCGTGCGACCGCGGAAATTGCCTTTCACACCTCGGCAGCAGGCGATGCGTCGCCTGTTGTCGTGAATCCTCCACGTGGTGAGTCACCACGTGCGACCGGTACATCCGCTGCGTCTGCAGCGGGTACAGCGAGTCGCAATCAAGACGAGTCTGAGATAGAGCTCATCTAATCTGGCGAGTCAATTGATGATGCATCCGACTCGAAGGCGACGCCTCACGCCTCCGAATCACTCGGGGCGGACTCTGCAAGAGCCAAGCTGACTGGCTCTGGTCAGCGCGGCGGTATCATGACCGAGATCTTCGGATCGAGTAATTATTCTGATGAATCTCCGCTTCACACAGGTCCGTCTATCGATAGGACGCGTGGGGATGGTAGTGATGCACCTATGCATAACCACGATGGAAGTAATTCAAGGGATCGGGGTAACACTGGTGCCAGTGCTCATGCTGGCACGAATCAAGAGGTCAGGGACCGAAATGTCCTGTGCCACACTCCCCAAGTGGAGTCTCCATGGATGCCGCCATCCAGAGAGTTGGACCGGGTGGCCGGCACGACTACCGAACGGGAATGAATCCCGTTGTTCGGTTGCAGGAAGATTTGTCCACCTGATTCCAGCACGGAAACTATCCGTGCTGAGGAAGAGTTCTTTACCGATGCGTTTTTAAACATCGGCGGTACAATGGTAGCCGTGTTCGGGAAAGCGAAGCTTTGGTGCAGGGATGGAATGCCCTCATCCACAACATCGAGTGTATTGGCCGTGAGGAGTGGCTCGCCAAACTTGATGCAGCTCGCATCAGGTTTGAGAAACGCAACCCAGTCGGGGCGCGATACAAGTTGCACCGGCTTTCAAGAGAGGCAGGATTACCCTGTCTCTCGTGGGGTGATTCGTGTCCAGGTTGCCTGGACAACTCGAATCGTGCCTCTAGGAAGGCCTACCTCCCTAATAATCCCTACTGGAGGGCGCGCATCTCTTCCGAGATGGCCGAAGGGATTGAAACCTTACAATCCCTGTACTCGCGTTCGGGGAGGTCGTCTTCCGACGGCCCTTCTTCAAACGCAGCGGGTGGGTCTCGTCATATTGCTCGACGAGACCCGGAACATCAACAATCAGCTGGGCACGAGGCTCCCAGATGTCCCACGCCGGTGGATAGCCACGCCAGCGGACGAGTTAACTCGTCCGGACGCCACTCACATTGCGGTGGTTCAAAATAAGATCCACTAGAAAATGTTGACCACCGCCATAATCCATTAGAGGATGTGGTGGTGGCGGGAACACCTGATCCGGCTCGAGGGTCGGATTAGCGTGGTGTTCAAGAGCTGAACCGTGTAACGGAACAGTTACAAGATGACTTGGCTCACGAACGGACTCGGCGTTACGAACTCCATGATCTTGTAAAGGATAATTTCATATCCTTATTGCACGATATTTCGGACGATCGTGCCGCTTATGCGTTCTCGCAACTTGAGAACGAACGTTCTACTCGTTCTCTTCGTGACGAGCTGGCTGTAGCTCGTCGAGAGATCGCTCAACTGCGTGAACAGGTCACTTCTCTAGTCGACCAGATTAGCTCGTTTAAAGGGGACCACTCGAAGGTGGTCTCGGCTCTCGACCGCGGAGATCTTCTTCGCATCTCGAAACGGGCTCGTACCGATAGTAAGGGCGGAGAAGACCGACGTAGAACGTAGGATGCGTGCGCATCTTACGGGGCAGTTCAATCGTGTTAGCGTTGCCCATCTGTCGCAACACAAGAAATGGACCGATACACTTGGGAAGTAATTTACTGCTGCACACGTTTGTCACTGCGTGTTCCGGTAGGTTTACTGTAGACAGTAAAACTAGGTCTCCTTCATCAAATGAAAGAACATTTGCTCTTCCATGTTTGTCTGCGTTTCTCTTCTGTCTGTCTAGTGCATCTGCAATAGAGTCTTGAACGAAGCGGACAACCGCTTCGCGATTTAGCAAAAATTCCTCTCCTGATTCACCCTTGTCAACAGCAGTGCGCTTCGTGTGCACTGCTGAAAGAACAGTGTCTTCACCAGTGAGGGTATCATCGTCCTCACTTTGGCGGTCATTGGAGATGCTGAATATGCCAGCATCGTCGTCATCGTCATCATCAATATCGATCGCATCGACATCGGCATTCATCAAGTCGAAATCGTTGTCGACGTGTGATGAGAAGAGCCAGATCGGGTTTTGTTCGAGCGAGTCCACCCACCCCTTAAACTAACTTCAAACTCTAAGAAGGCGGGTAAACGTGGATGGCGTAGGCCATTCACGAAGAATGGTGTATGCGATGAAGACGCGTGCAGTGAGTTGCTGATGGCGAATTCCGCTATCGGCCAGAACTCACTCCAGCTCGTAAACGAGTGGACATACCCTCGAAGTATCTCTTCGAGGACGCGGTTGACGCGTCCCGTCTGACCATCTATTTCTGGATGGTCAGAATTTGACATCGTCAACCGTGTTCCAAGTGAACGGAACACGGATTGCCAGAACTCCGCTGTGCAGCAAGGATCCCTATCGGACACGAGTTCACGGGGTAACCCGTGAAGTCGGAAGATAGTATCGATGAAGACACGCGCACAGCCCTGGGCTGTGATTGACTCTGGTGCAGCAAAACGATGTACCATCTTGCTGAACCGATCAACAAACACTAGAATACCAGTATTCTTGTGAACGTCTTTAAGAAACCCGAAGACAAGGTCCATCGATACGGACTGCCAACACTCTGCCGAAATCGGAAGAGGCTTAAAGAGTGCGCGGGATGAAGGACTAGGCTTCACCTGTTGACAAACTTCGCAAGTGTGAATGTATCTGCGCACAAACTCATACTGGCGGGCCCAGTAGAAGTCACGACTCACCATGAGGTAATTCTTTTCTCTACCGCGATGCCCACTTGTTGAGGCATCGTGACACTCATACATGATGCGCAATCGCAAATCGTTAGGAGCCGGAACGACGACACGAGCTGTGTCGCCGTTGACTGCTGTTTAGTACAGCAGTCCATTACGAACCGAATACCGTACGTTCGAAGAGCGGTTATGAAACTTCAAGCTTTTCAAAGCTTAAATGCACGGATTGGATATGCAATACATCAACCGCAGAAGAGACTCATCTTCTGCGTATGCATTCCGCCCGTCGTCGAGCAGATTCGATGTAGAACGCTCACGGTTAGTGTTGCTACCGTGGGATCACCCCTACATGTTGGGTTGAGCAGTCGGCCTGAAATCCGGCCGACGCGAAAGAGCGTCAGCGACGACATTAAGTCGTCCTTGTTTATAATCGACGGAGAAGTTGTACTCCGCGGAGAAATACAGCCGCCTTGACATATGTTGCGAGAGGTGTGGAATGTTTACGGCCGTGCGTAATGACGCATGGTCGGTATAAACGATGAAGGGCCTATCTCCTAAGAGATATACCCGAAAATTGGCCAGTGCATATTTCATGGCAAGGAGTTCCTTGTCATGCACTGGGTAATTACGCTCAGCTGCTTGCAGCTGACACGATTGATAACAGACGACACGCTCAAAGACGTCTGAGGCGTACTGCATTAAAGCGCAGCCGATTCCAATAGCTGGCGTCACAGACCACATGAAATGACCTATCCTGATCTGCAATCGCCAACACAGGCGATTGCACCAAGCTTTTCTTTCTGCCTTCAAAGGAGTGCTGACACTCAGCACTCCATGACCACCTCTCGTTTTTCTTTAGCAGACTAGAGAGATGTACGGTCATCTCGGCATAGTTGCGCGAGTATTTGTGCAAGTACGCCGCTAAGCCAGGGAACTTTCGAAGTCCCTTGACGTCGACTGGTACAGGCCAGTCGATAATCGCCTTGATCCTATCTATATCAGGGCGTACTCCTTATTCACCCACGATGCAGCCGAGAAGTGGTATTTCGTTTGCTTCGAAAATACACTTCTTGAGGTTATCATAAAGCTTGTGCTTCAGCATAAGTGTATGAGCCTGAATAACGTGTGTTATGTGGACTTCCAAATCCTTCTTTCCATCCATAGCACGGCTATGGACGAAGACATCAACAAAGCAACTCGGTGCGAAGTCGCGCACCGATCGCAACAGATTCGTAACACATCTGTTGAACGTTGCGGAGGCGTTGCTTAGCCCCTGTGACATTACTAGACACTCCCAGTGCATACCACTGGGGGTGCTCACTGCTGTGTACGGGATGTCCCGTTTACGCATGAGGATCTCATAGAATCCAATCATCAGATCCATGGACGGAAAGATGGTACTCTTTGCCATACCATCTATGATGACATCCTTTCCTGGGATCTGCGTTTGATTCGGTACCGTTGCAGCGTTCAATTTGCTGAACGCGTGCACTATCCGCCACTCTCCTGTGGCCTTTCGCACACAAAGGTCTGAGAGCTGTGTGGGGATGTTGATTTCCTCACATGACCCACCGCTAAGCGATCGGCAAGGAATTTGTCGATCGCTGTGACCTGTTCACGAGGCAGTGACCACTGCTTCATGACACAGTACTTTGAACCGGGTTTCAGTTCGATTTCATGCCGAGTGACTTTATCTTCGGGCAGCTCGCTTGGCACGGATTCCGGGAAAACATCTCTGAATTCGACCAAATATTAATGCATAGAATTTATCTTCGAAGACACCCAAATTTGAGACGTGTATCGCTCAATCCGGGTCTTCTCATCAAGGACACTCTCGTTTATAGATGAACTACTGTGAACCCGTTCGTTCGCAGCAAACACTTTTGTCGACCGAATATCGGCGACGTACTCGTCCTCTGTGACGAGTACGCAGATCTGCTTGATCTTGTCACTACGCATATCTCGCAAGAATCTTTTAGATTCTAGCGCTGGCAACTTGATCACCTCCGAAGCTGACTTCGGGGGCGTCACCAGATCAAGTGTATAAGCACCTAAACTTGATCCGTCATTCACCAAGACATTAACTGACTCGGTGAATTTCTGGGAAAACACATCCGCAGGTGGTTGGGGATCCACACTCTCAACATAACTCTCTCGGGAGTTGTCACTCTCAGGAACGCTGGATTTTTCTTCCGTTACGTGTACTGTCACAGTCACGTCCTCTTCGATCGACTCTTTCTCATTTGAGCGGGCTTGCTCTACGATCGACTCTCTGATAGTCAATCTCGCTTCTACGTGTTGTTGATCCTGAACAACACCAATCTCTCTTCTTGTATGCACCCTTCTTGGTGTGCATCCGTGTTTCAGTCCACTCGATCTCTTCTAGTGGTGAACCTTCGGGTCAGCCTGTGTCTTTACACAGGTGTAGGAAGCTGGTTCCACAGTGTAATGATCTTCTACATTGTGATCTTGTGCAGTCTTACCAACGACTTTGCCACAAGTGAGGCCATCGCACTCACTCGAAGTACATCCGCACGCTTGTGGACACTTCAAAACGTTTATCAGATGGACATCTGATGAACAAACGACAGGCATCTTCACGGATCGATGCTGCCAGCTGATCCATGGCTTATATTTTTTGAGCCATGGCAAATCGAGGATGACATCAAATTTGTCATCCAAATCTAGTACGATGAAGTTAGCATCGTACTGCTTTCCTTCTAGCGTGTAGTGGATTCCCACTACACGTTTGTTCACTGTTACGGATGCGCCTGCAGCAAGACACACCGTCATCCTCGTTGGAGGGAACTCTCGCTCAACATAGTTGAGCCTACTGCCCCCTAGCGGCTGGCGTTGAATGAAACTGTTCGACGCCCCACAGTCAACTAGGGCGCGAAGTGACATTCCACTTGTCACTTCGATCTTCAAAGTGATGAGAGACTCCTCATCACTAAGGGCAGTAAAACACAGTGACTGTGTATTGGGAGCAACCTTCGCCAAGATTCCTGCAAATTCTCTTGACGTTGCTGGATCGGCAGGGTGCTCCACCCCGACTGACCCTGTCCGTTTTTTGACGGTTCGACTTTCTGTCGCGGCTTAGCAACATGGTCGGACCCACGCCTCGGACCTTTCCTTGGCCAACGGCGGTCATCACGTCCTGTTATTCGATGTGATGCGGTGCTTGGGACACTACACTCATGGGCGTAGTGCCCAAGCTTCTGACAGCGATGGCATCTTGCCGTTCGCTTGTGACTCAGAGAGCGAGAGTTCTCGCTCTCGATGTAACAGAGGTACATTAGATAGGGACCTCCTTTTTCCTGCCGTCTCGTCGGACGATAGTTTGACGAGTTATCCTGAGACTGTCTCAGGCTGAAGTCTTCTTGTTCCGCATACGCTATCGCCCTTTCCAGCGTATGGAAGTCCTCTCGAACATGTAGGCTTTCACCGGCCCATCCACAAGGCCATAGATTTACACGTTGATGAGCGTGTGATCATCAACAGGGTTGTCCGTAACGCTACTCGCAAGGTAGAGCAGGTTCTGTGCGTAAGCGTGCACGTCACGCCTAACTTGATCGAGCGTCAGAGTGCAGAGCGTGCTCTGAACTTGGCTCTCGGCGGCTCAAACGTCTCTTTGAGCCGAGACTACAAGATCTGCTACAACTCAAATACGTTTGGGTCGTGAAGCTTGAGCCCTAAGGCCCAAGTCTTTGCTCGTCCCGTCAAATTTGACAGGGCGAAGGTGACTTGCATCTCGTCATCCTCGATGTGACGGGCCCTGATGGCATCGTCTAACTCGACAAACCATCTCAAAAGGGAATCTTCATTGGTTCCCTTATACCTTGAGATATCATTCTTCAAGGTTTCGGGTCGACGCATGTGCGTCGGCTCGCCCATCGACTGATGAGAGCCTTGCTGTTGTAGCAAGGCTATCTGCTGTCGTTCGCCGGCAAGTTCCCCTTGTAGGAACTTGTTGATAGCAGCATGTTGCTGGTCTCTGCTTAATGACTCCAACATACCACTGATGGTGGGTGCGCCCACGAGCACACTCATGCGACCGACTACCTCCCATTCTGAGTCACTCAGATGGTAGAAGCCTTCACGTGTAACGTAAGATCTGCCGTCTTCTACGTCCACCATGTTCATGTTGGACGGACACTAAGTAGTCGTTGGACGGACTACGAAGTGCTACCAGGTGTAACGGGGCACTCTTTGTTTGGGGTGCCGCGAAACTTCACGTACACTGGTACGTGCAGAGGAAGCTAGTCTACTCAAACAGCTAGTTTGAGTAAAGGG